CTGTGCCGCACGCCCCGTGGCGTGCGGCAGTTTTTCTTCCCGCCGTGCGCCCCGAGGCGCGCGGCGGTTTTCTGCCCGCCGTGCGCCCCGTGGCGCGCGGCGGTTCTCTGCCCGCTGTGCGCCCCGAGGCGCGCGGCGGGCTTCTACCCCGTCACTCGCCGCGTCGCCCTCGGGAGGCGCTGCGACGGGCGACGGGGACCCGCGCGTCGCCCCCCGTCGCCCGTCGTGGCCTGCGCGCGGCCCGTACAGCCGGCGCGCGGCCCGTACGGGCTGCGCCAGGCCTGCGCGCGGCCCGTACGGGCTGCGCCAGACCCGCGCGCGGCCCGTACGGGCTGCGCCAGGCCCGCGCGCGGCCCGTACGGGCTGCGCCAGGCCCGCGCGCGGCTCGGGCCGCCTGCGCGCGGTTCGGGAGGCTGTGCCAGGCCCGTGGGCGGCCCTTTCCTCGCTGCCCCTGCCCTCCCCGCTGTCCCCCGTGCTTCTGCTGGCGCCCCACCCCTCCTACAGCCCGTTCTCCTGAATTAGGGTTTGGGGGTGAGGGGTATGGGGGTGAAACTACTGTGTGCCGTTCCCTGCTCCTCCTCCTCCTCCGTCTCCCTGTGCTGCAGCTGCCGCTGAGGGGGGGTGGACTTGTTGGAGCCGTTGGAGTGGTGCTAAGGGGGGGTGAAGGGGGAGTGGAGCTAGCGGTGTAGCAGCGGGTGTGTGTCAGGAGGGGTGGTACTGTTTGGGGGAGGTCGAGTGGAGGCAGCAGTCTTGTCGTCAGCAGCAGCAGCAGTCCGGAGGCTACAATCTCCGGTAGTCGCCAGTCGCCCGTGGGTCCGTTGCTCGTCTGCCGCTACTTTTAGCCGCGGGGCCAGTTACCCCAGTAGTCCGGAGCGTTGTTCCGGTAGCCACTGAGCCAGCAGCTCGTCTGTGTGTCTGCAGCGTCAGCAGTCGCCTCCCATCTTCTCTCCCCCACAGTCTCTCCTCCTCCTCACTTGCCCTCTGCGATAGCCTCTAGCTTTGCTCATAATTGTGAACTTTAAACTATTGCTTCTTGAACTTGTGCTCAGAATGTGTGGTGACATTGTGATCCACCCTGAGCTTGTACTGCTTTGCTTGCTCTGCTGATTACACCCCACTTTGGCTATGGGGGTGTGTCAGAATATTATGCTCTAGCCTGTAGTGGGGTGCTCTATAGCGAGTACAACCCTTCTAGGGTTTGCTATTTGTATCCGCATTCTTGCTAGTGCAACCTCCTCTTTTTTGCCTAAACTTCTCTTGCCTAGCTAGGACTTACCTAGCTATGGCGCCCTCTTCTTCCTACTATTTTCACAGTAGTTACGCGATGCAACATGGTAACTGTCAAGAATAGCAATAGTCGAGGTTATTGTAGGAATGCAATTCAGTTAATAAGGGAATGTACCCCTCAGAGTACATGTCTAGCTAGAACTGCTATTTATTTCTTGTATCACTATCCTCTAATCATCTTGTTCTCTTTCCATCTTATTAACAAGGTCATTCAGAGACTTCATAGTTTTTTCTCAATCTTAGCAAACTTATCCTGTCCACTACGATTCCTCAGTTATAACAACATTTTCTTTGTACTTTTTTTTCAGACGGGTCAAAATCCTAGCCAGAGCCCTGCTCCGGACCTCCGCCTCCACATTTCCCAACCTCGGCGCTAGGCCCGTAGCGCACCCCAATTCGTCGCGTTACCGTTACCACGTTAGCTTCGCTATATATTCTTCGCTCATGCCTTCGCTCAATGTACTGTCTTTGCTTCGATAGTGCAATTCTCGCTCGCTCGCTGAATTGCACTCGTAACACTCGTACATTATTGCGATTTTTTTTTTTTTTTTTGGTAGGTGAAAATGCATTATACAACGCAAAAACACCGTCGGTCGTAATCGTAGCTAGAGGGCATTGGTAGTGTATACCGTAAACTCTCAGATATCTATGGAGGCTTATAGACTAAACGCCTAAAAATTCCTATCTGCCCACTATGGACTCCCATTGTGCCGTTGGCACACTTCAGCACTGCCACAAACACCTCTGTATCCAGCTGCTGAGTGTGTCGCTTCAACTTTGAGTGGTTGGCTCCGAACCTGCCTTGCCAAGATTGGTTTGTAACAAAAACAGCTCTGGCTCGTTGCTGCTGAACAGGGCCTTGGTGACGGATTTGACACTTTAGCCTTGGTTGCTTGGCTCCAACCCTGCCTTGGGTTACCGCAAAAATTGCCCTGCTTCGAAATTGCTGCCTGGCAGGGCCTTGGGAACGGATGTTTCCTATCTTCATTGCAGCCATTTGAGCCGATTGTGCGAGTGGTGTGATGGGAGCAGCAGAGAGCAAAGTACCTTCACAGAGAAAAGCACCTCCAGCAGCTCGTCCTGATTCATGGCGCCGAAACAATCTGACGACTTCGTCGGTATCCTCCAAATGAAAAAATGCCTCTTGTAGCGTAGAGAAATTCTCAGCGTCGGAAGCGTCGATTTCTGACCTCCTGTGTTCCCGAAACATAAAGTCGGAGTAACCTTCCACTCTCTTCATCTGCAACTCCCGTGATCTGGCTTTGGGTGTCACTGCGTCGACCAACGTTGTATAAGCATCTTCGACCTTGAAACCTTCACTAGCCAAGCTTAAAATAGGAAAATCTTGATGCACTTCCGACATGCTTTGCCCTGACGAAAATAGTTTAATCCGTCTCTTTCGTTGAGACTTGCGATGCTGCTGTCGTCTTGATTTATGTTGAATGGCAGAAAACGACGATAATCTGAAGACATTTCGGTTGGTAATTATCTTGCACTTGATCTTGCAGCCTTGCTTTGCATGAGCGTCGTTCTCTTTTTGCTCCCTTGAATATAGCGCTGGAACCGTCTTAACTTTGTAAGGACGAACAGAGCAATGTCTGGATAAGCACGTGCAGTTCATTGACTGACGAAGAGGATCACGCGGGAAAATACTTGACGACCCAATGCTCTCTGTGTGAGCACAATGTTGGTGTCTTGATAGAGTTCCCGATTCGTAGATCTCAAAAATAGATTCGGATTCGTAGCATTATTGCGAATTATGAGATATAGCTTATCAAGTGAGAAGGGGGTGCATCAAGGAATGAGAAGCATTGTTATTGGCGAGTACGGTGGAAAAATCCCACAATTGTCGCGAAACGCTAGGGTCGCTGTCGCGAGTTAGGAAAGGTGAGGCGACGTGCGATTGTGCTTCGCGAATTGTGCTACAAGCCTCCCCCTCCGTTTCTTTCGTTTGCAGCCTCCGAAAGTCCCGTCTTCCTGTCCCCTTCGCTTCGGAAAGAACTCTCCCGCATCGCCCCCCTCCCCCTTGTACGTCACGCACCAGCAGCAAGCAACAAGGGAGATTATGGGGCATAGCAGCGCCCCGAGACGCGCTTTCACCGTCACTTACGGTCGACCCAACACACCAACATCGCCATGTCATCCATTGAAAATAGCGCCGGAAATCAGCACTGGTCAACTTCAGCCTGTTACCAATTTCAGCCCTGGTTCAGTCCGTTTCAGGTCACTACCCCTGGAATATTTTAAGCACGAAAATCCTCGTTTCCTCCCAAGCCTGCATCTCGCAGACGGCAGCTGGCGTAAGAACGCGCAGCAGCAGGACACTGATAATTTCACTCGTACTCGCACCTAGCACGATATGAAGCGACTCAGCAATCTTGCAAAAGTGCCCCTCGCTGAGACTACTGCCACGGGCGGCGCTAACTGCGTGGATGTAGCGACGCAGATTGCCGAGTGTTGCTTGGGGGAATCTACGTCATCGCAGCAAATGCCATGCTCAAGTCAGCGCCGTGTCTTGCCTATCTCCGCCCTTTACCTCGCGCCTCGCGTCTTCGGTGGTAACGACGCGTGGGGTGCTGCCGATAATGGTCCAACAGCTGTTGCATCAAGTGATGGCGCTGCTAAAGGTGATGCTGCCGTCACGGTCCCCCATTCTGTTGGGACGGGTGAGGACTCGCAAATGGTGGCTGCAAGCAAGGCGCTGAAGCGCACCGGCAAGGGTGGCGACGAAAGCGACGAAAGCGATGAATGCGACAATTGCAAGAAAATCACCGACGAATCTGACAACAATGTGGGCGATTCGGATGACGAGGCGTCCGTGGCATCCACTTTCTCGTGCTTTTCCAGAAACACATCAACTTCGTCATTGTCCGATGCCATCGCACAGGTGGCTGGGAACAAGCAGTTTGCTACTGAGGAGAGTGATACGGAAGTTCGTTTGCCCGACGATCTCTACACGAAGGAAGCGCGTATAGCATTCTCGGATGAAGACATCACGCAACGGGCGACGGGAGCGACCAGTGCGCTCCACCAGCTGCAGCTGCCGCAGGCGAGACTCGTGCTGATAGAGTCGTGCATGCAACGAATCTACGTGCAGCAGGCGATGTTCTTGGAGCACCAGCGAAGGATGCAATGGCTACAGCAGCAGCACATGCAGCAACAGCACTTCCAGGGCGGTACTGCGGGGTGGCAGTCAGCAGGAATGCCTCGGCGAGCTTTCGTTCCCCCACGCTTCCGTCGACCTCAAGACCCTTGTGGCACAGGGGTGCTCCTTCTTGGAGCTGCCTATGGTTGCTGCTGACGACCATGGATATCCTACCGAACCCTAATAGCAGGATGACATGCAAGCCAGGAGAATGCTCGAATAAAAAGACAGACGGGTCACTGCTGTGTGCAGGGCAGTTGCATCCGCACGCTGATGGGAGCACCCACATCATATTGCATTGTACACTCTTCCAGGTCTCCCAATGTATGGTACATGTGCATAGCATCATGTTCTTGGAGTCTCAGTAGAGAACATTCCATTACTCATCTGGTAACCCCGTAAGCAAGTTTCCATCATTAGGGGTGTCTAGTACAAGTTATACGGGGAAACAATAAGCATTGCCCATGGTACCGTACCATTGATTATTGTCAGGAACTTCCAACAATCATCATTGCAAGCAACGTCTTGCACAAAGGAAGTTGCTAACACACCCATGATTGATTGGTCATCATAAAGCATCGGATGCAATGAGGACGAGCAAGGCAGTCCATCCGGTGAATGGATGTGCTCCCTTCCCTTTGCCATCCGCTGTGTTGTCGTACTGCTCCCAGAAATACCCACTCTCCTCGTACCGTTCCACGATGTTCCTGCCAACACATGGTGGTGCATGGTGCACAGCACGGTAAGGAAAACCCCAAGAGCAGGAGCACACGGGTTTTCATGGAGGGGCCATGGGGTAGTTAGAGAAGGAACCAAGCACGAATTTGATAGTTGAAGCGATGGCTAGTGAAGGCAGTGGGTGGCATGCAGTGGGGTACCTGACGAGGTTGTAGCGCAGCTCCCGGTACAGCTCTGCTGCCCGTGCACTGTTTGGCCCTGCCTCTGAGGGTGGGCAGGGCAGGGGAGAATGGGTGACGAGGGAGGGAAGAACGGGTGACGAGGGAGAGAAGATCGGGTGACGAGGAAAGGACAACTGGTTTGCGAAAGAAGCATGCATATGTGAACGTGTGTGCACATGTGCATGCATGTGTCTGTGTGTGTGTACACACATGCAAACATGTGTGAGTGAGTGTGTGTGCACGACCGTACACGTGTGTGTGTGTGTGTGTGTGTGTGTGTGTGTGTGTGTGTGTGTGTGTGTGTGTGTGTGTGTGTGTCACGCGTGCGCGCATGCATGCATGTGTGTGAGGTCAGGTGCACGGCTATGCATGGATGTGCAAGATTCCGTATATACGTGAAAGCATGCATTAGAAATGGAAGGAGGGCGAGGGGGACAGCGGTATGCCATGGGAGTGAGAGAGAGATAAAAAACCATCTGATTCAGGATGACAATTCACACAAGAACCTTGCATAGGGCAAGGTCAGGAGTGATGATCGCACTCCTGAGGTCAGCAGCACGGCACACGAGGGCGCGAGCACAAGAGAGCAAGGGAGGTGGTGGCCCACCCCGGGGGGTGAGGGCGTACGGGTGGAGTAGAAGCGCAGGGCGGAGAGAGCAAGGTAGTTGATGTTGATCCACACGGGCCCCCGCCAGTACGGTGGGTCATGCTCCGTGTTGCGCCGCATGTACAGCGTGCTGGGGGAGGGGCACACGTGCACACCAGCCGTGGAAGTTTGGTTAGAGACAAGGACCTGAGCGTGGTTGCTGGTGCAGCGAGAATGAGCATGGGCATGGGCATTGACGTGAGAGCATGGAATGGCATGGGCATGGGAATGGGGGGCATAGGCGTGGGCAAGGGCATCGGCGTGCGCATGAGCATGAGCAGCAGCATCATGGCCGTGGGCATGGGCATGCAATCTCCCCATCTGCCATCTCCCCACGTGCCATGTGGGCACATGCTATGTGGCAGTGTGGGGTGTCACCTGGTGGTGGCGAGGGAGCGTGTCACCTGGTGGTGGCGAGTGAGCGCAGGCCGAAGGGCGTCCACAGCAGCTTCTCCTCGCGCAGCGCCTCCAGCTGCTGCCCCAACTCACTCGCGTGCTGCCCGTGCCATGGGGGGGGGAGGGGACAGGCAGAGATGGGGCACCGAGACAACGACAACGCAGCACGAGAGGATGGGCGAGAAAAGGGGAATGGGCGTGGAGGGGAAACGGATTGGAGTGGCAGGGTGGACGGAATGGAAAGGAGCGGAACGGAACAAACAGCTTACAGGCGGAATCAAGCGCAGCAGCAGCGGGAAGAGTGAGACGTATCCAAAGTGTGGCACGAATCGCAGTGTGGGAGAGCCCTTGACCACGCGGCGCTGCTCCCGCCGCACGCTGTACGTCACCGGGTCCACCTCCTCCACCACCTCCAACCGCACCTGGTGGACACATGGCACACAGCAGGACGCACGGCAGGGCAGCAAGCAGGACAGGGGGCAGGGCATCGAGGAGCGCGGCAGGCAGGGCGTGTGGATATGGATGTGGGGAAATGGACACCTCTTAACCTCCTTTCACCTCCCCGTCGCTCCTCTCACCACTCCACGCAGCCTCCCCATGCCCCACCCCCCTGCGCCCATGCACCGCCCCTCTGCGCCCATGCACCGCTCCCCTGCCCCCATGCACCGCCCCTCTGCGCCCATGCACCGCCCCTCTGCGCCCATGCAGCGCCCCTCTGCGCCCATGCACCGCCCCTCTGCGCCCATGCACCGCTCCCCTGCCCCCATGCACCGCCCCTCTGCGCCCATGCACCGCCCCTCTGCGCCCATGCACCGCCCCTCTGCGCCCATGCACCGCCCCTCTGCGCCCATGCACCGCCCCCCTGCGCCCATGCACCGCCCCTCTGCGCCCATGCACCGCCCCCCTGCGCCCATGCACCGCCCCTCTGCGCCCATGCACCGCCCCCCTGCGCCCATGCACCGCCCCTCTGCGCCCATGCACCGCCCCTCTGCGCCCATGCACCGCCCCGCTGCGCCCATGCACCGCCCCTCTGCGCCCATGCGTCCCCCTGCTGACCTTGTCAGTGTGGTTGCCGTAGTCGGCGTAGCGCTGCCTCCTGCCGTCCCAGTGCAGCTGGTGGCGGGGGCAGGGCGGGCGCACAGCAGGGGGAGGCGGACACGAGCATGGGGCGGAGACATGAGGGAGACGAAGAGAGGGCAGGTGCATGGGATACACGAGGGGCACAAGGGAAAGAGATGGGTGTGGGTGGGGGAGAGAGGGTGGGGTGCAGAGCGGGGAGGATGTTGGGCAGCCAGCCTCTGACTAGACCAGCTGGCGTTGCTTCCCTCCAGCCCCCATCCTCTCACCGCAACCTTACCCACCCCTTTTAATTGCCTGACATGCAAATCCTCCATCCCCTGTACCTGCCATCCCCTGTACCTGCCATCCCCTGTACCTGCCATCCCCTGTACCTGCCATCCCCTGTACCTGCCATCCCCTGTACCTGCCATCCCCTGTACCTGCCATCCCCTGTACCTGCCATCCCCTGTACCTGCCATCCCCTGTACCTGCCATCCCCTGTACCTGCCATCCCCTGTACCTGCCATCCCCTGTACCTGCCATCCCCTGTACCTGCCATCCCCTGTACCTGCCATCCCCTGTACCTGCCATCCCCTGTACCTGCCATCCCCTGTACCTGCCATCCCCTGTACCTGCCATCCCCTGTACCTGCCATCCCCTGTACCTGCCATCCCCTGTACCTGCCATCCCCTGTACCTGCCATCCCCTGTACCTGCCATCCCCTGTACCTGCCATCCCCTGTACCTGCCATCCCCTGTACCTGCCATCCCCTGTACCTGCCATCCCCTGTACCTGCCATCCCCTGTACCTGCCATCCCCTGTACCTGCCATCCCCTGTACCTGCCATCCCCTGTACCTGCCATCCCCTGTACCTGCCATCCCCTGTACCTGCCATCCCCTGTACCTGCCATCCCCTGTACCTGCCATCCCCTGTACCTGCCATCCCCTGTACCTGCCATCCCCTGTACCTGCCATCCCCTGTACCTGCCATCCCCTGTACCTGCCATCCCCTGTACCTGCCATCCCCTGTACCTGCCATCCCCTGTACCTGCCATCCCCTGTACCTGCCATCCCCTGTACCTGCCATCCCCTGTACCTGCCATCCCCTGTACCTGCCATCCCCTGTACCTGCCATCCCCTGTACCTGCCATCCCCTGTACCTGCCATCCCCTGTACCTGCCATCCCCTGTACCTGCCATCCCCTGTACCTGCCATCCCCTGTACCTGCCATCCCCTGTACCTGCCATCCCCTGTACCTGCCATCCCCTGTACCTGCCATCCCCTGTAACCTGCCATCCCCTGTACCTGCCATCCCCTGTACCTGCCATCCCCTGTACCTGCCATCCCTGTACCTGCCATCCCTGTACCTGCCATCCCCTGTACCTGCCATCCCCTGTACCTGCCATCCCCTGTACCTGCCATCCCCTGTACCTGCCATCCCCTGTACCTGCCATCCCCTGTACCTGCCATCCCCTGTACCTGCCATCCCCTGTACCTGCCATCCCCTGTACCTGCCATCCCCTGTACCTGCCATCCCCTGTACCTGCCATCCCCTGTACCTGCCATCCCCTGTACCTGCCATCCCCTGTACCTGCCATCCCCTGTACCTGCCATCCCCTGTACCTGCCATCCCCTGTACCTGCCATCCCCTGTACCTGCCATCCCCTGTACCTGCCATCCCCTGTACCTGCCATCCCCTGTACCTGCCATCCCTGTACCTGCCATCCCCTGTACCTGCCATCCCCTGTACCTGCCATCCCCTGTACCTGCCATCCCCTGTACCTGCCATCCCCTGTACCTGCCATCCCCTGTACCTGCCATCCCCTGTACCTGCCATCCCCTGTACCTGCCATCCCCTGTACCTGCCATCCCCTGTACCTGCCATCCCTGTACCTGCCATCCCCTGTACCTGCCATCCCCTGTACCTGCCATCCCCTGTACCTGCCATCCCTGTACCTGCCATCCCCTGTACCTGCCATCCCCTGTACCTGCCATCCCCTGTACCTGCCATCCCCTGTACCTGCCATCCCCTGTACCTGCCATCCCCTGTACCTGCCATCCCCTGTACCTGCCATCCCCTGTACCTGCCATCCCCTGTACCTGCCATCCCCTGTACCTGCCATCCCCTGTACCTGCCATCCCCTGTACCTGCCATCCCCTGTACCTGCCATCCCCTGTACCTGCCATCCCCTGTACCTGCCATCCCCTGTACCTGCCATCCCCCTGTACCTGCCATCCCCTGTACCTGCCATCCCCTGTACCTGCCATCCCCTGTACCTGCCATCCCCTGTACCTGCCATCCCCTGTACCTGCCATCCCCTGTACCTGCCATCCCCTGTACCTGCCATCCCCTGTACCTGCCATCCCCTGTACCTGCCATCCCCTGTACCTGCCATCCCCTGTACCTGCCATCCCCTGTACCTGCCATCCCCTGTACCTGCCATCCCCTGTACCTGCCATCCCCTGTACCTGCCATCCCCTGTACCTGCCATCCCCTGTACCTGCCATCCCCTGTACCTGCCATCCCCTGTACCTGCCATCCCCTGTACCTGCCATCCCCTGTACCTGCCATCCCCTGTACCTGCCATCCCCTGTACCTGCCATCCCCTGTACCTGCCATCCCCTGTACCTGCCATCCCCTGTACCTGCCATCCCCTGTACCTGCCATCCCCTGTACCTGCCATCCCCTGTACCTGCCATCCCCTGTACCTGCCATCCCCTGTACCTGCCATCCCCTGTACCTGCCATCCCCTGTACCTGCCATCCCCTGTACCTGCCATCCCCTGTACCTGCCATCCCCTGTACCTGCCATCCCCTGTACCTGCCATCCCCTGTACCTGCCATCCCCTGTACCTGCCATCCCCTGTACCTGCCATCCCCTGTACCTGCCATCCCCTGTACCTGCCATCCCCTGTACCTGCCATCCCCTGTACCTGCCATCCCCTGTACCTGCCATCCCCTGTACCTGCCATCCCCTGTACCTGCCATCCCTGTACCTGCCATCCCCTGTACCTGCCATCCCCTGTACCTGCCATCCCCTGTACCTGCCATCCCCTGTACCTGCCATCCCCTGTACCTGCCATCCCCTGTACCTGCCATCCCCTGTACCTGCCATCCCCTGTACCTGCCATCCCCTGTACCTGCCATCCCCTGTACCTGCCATCCCCTGTACCTGCCATCCCCTGTACCTGCCATCCCCTGTACCTGCCATCCCCTGTACCTGCCATCCCCTGTACCTGCCATCCCCTGTACCTGCCATCCCCTGTACCTGCCATCCCCTGTACCTGCCATCCCCTGTACCTGCCATCCCCTGTACCTGCCATCCCCTGTACCTGCCATCCCCTGTACCTGCCATCCCCTGTACCTGCCATCCCCTGTACCTGCCATCCCCTGTACCTGCCATCCCCTGTACCTGCCATCCCCTGTACCTGCCATCCCCTGTACCTGCCATCCCCTGTACCTGCCATCCCCTGTACCTGCCATCCCCTGTACCTGCCATCCCCTGTACCTGCCATCCCCTGTACCTGCCATCCCCTGTACCTGCCATCCCCTGTACCTGCCATCCCCTGTACCTGCCATCCCCTGTACCTGCCATCCCCTGTACCTGCCATCCCCTGTACCTGCCATCCCTGTACCTGCCATCCCCTGTACCTGCCATCCCCTGTACCTGCCATCCCCTGTACCTGCCATCCCCTGTACCTGCCATCCCCTGTACCTGCCATCCCCTGTACCTGCCATCCCCTGTACCTGCCATCCCCTGTACCTGCCATCCCCTGTACCTGCCATCCCCTGTACCTGCCATCCCCTGTACCTGCCATCCCCTGTACCTGCCATCCCCTGTACCTGCCATCCCCTGTACCTGCCATCCCCTGTACCTGCCATCCCCTGTACCTGCCATCCCCTGTACCTGCCATCCCCTGTACCTGCCATCCCCTGTACCTGCCATCCCCTGTACCTGCCATCCCCTGTACCTGCCATCCCCTGTACCTGCCATCCCCTGTACCTGCCATCCCCTGTACCTGCCATCCCCTGTACCTGCCATCCCCTGTACCTGCCATCCCCTGTACCTGCCATCCCCTGTACCTGCCATCCCCTGTACCTGCCATCCCCTGTACCTGCCATCCCCTGTACCTGCCATCCCCTGTACCTGCCATCCCCTGTACCTGCCATCCCCTGTACCTGCCATCCCCTGTACCTGCCATCCCCTGTACCTGCCATCCCCTGTACCTGCCATCCCCTGTACCTGCCATCCCCTGTACCTGCCATCCCCTGTACCTGCCATCCCCTGTACCTGCCATCCCCTGTACCTGCCATCCCCTGTACCTGCCATCCCCTGTACCTGCCATCCCCTGTACCTGCCATCCCCTGTACCTGCCATCCCCTGGGGTACCTGCCATCCCCTGTACCTGCATCCCCCTGTACCTGCCATCCCCTGTACCTGCCATCCCCTGTACCTGCCATCCCCTGTACCTGCCATCCCCTGTACCTGCCATCCCCTGTACCTGCCATCCCTGTACCTGCCATCCCCTGTACCTGCCATCCCTGTACCTGCCATCCCCTGTACCTGCCAATCCCCCCTGTACCTGCCATCCCTGTACCTGCCATCCCTGTAACCTGCCATCCCCTGTACCTGCCATCCCCTGTACCTGCCATCCCCTGTACCTGCCATCCCCTGTACCTGCCATCCCCTGTACCTGCCATCCCCTGTACCTGCCATCCCCTGTACCTGCCATCCCCTGTACCTGCCATCCCTCCCCTGTACCTGCCATCCCCTGTACCCTGCCATCCCCTGTACCTGCCATCCCCTGTACCTGCCATCCCCTGTACCTGCCATCACCTGTACCTGCCAGCCCCTGTACCTGCCATCCCCTGTACCTGCCATCACCCTGTACCTGCCATCCCCTGTACCTGCCATCCCTGTACCTGCCATCCCCTGTACCTGCCATCCCCTGTACCTGCCATCCCCTGTACCTGCCATCCCCTGTACCTGCCATCCCCTGTACCTGCCATCCCCTGTACCTGCCATCCCCTGTACCTGCCATCCCCTGTACCTGCCATCCCCTGTACCTGCCATCCCCTGTACCTGCCATCCCCTGTACCTGCCATCCCCTGTACCTGCCATCCCCTGTACCTGCCATGGCCACTCATGCCTGCCCCTCCCACAGCAACTGGCTGCTCTCACCGCCCACCCTTCTACCCGCCCACCCATCCACCAATGCATCCACCCACCCGCCCATTACCCACCCAAGGGGCGTGGGTGCAAGAGGCATGAGCGCGAGGGGTACCTCATTGAGGCGAGCGAAGTCCGTGAGCTGCTGGGCTGTGGCCTCGTACTCCTGCATTCATGCGGTCACGCATGCACACATGCACACATTCATACATGCACACATGCACACACACATCCACGCACTCATGCACGCACGCATGCACACACACATGCACACACGCATGCACGCACGCATGCACGCACTCATGCACGCACACATGCACACATGCACGCACTCATGCATGCACACATGCACGCCCTCATGCACACACTCATGCATGCAGACATGCACACATGCACGCACTCATACACGCACGCACTCATACACGCACGCACAACACACGCATGCACAGTTGCAGAAAATGCAAGGAGTGGGAGTGAGGTTACTGCAGCGCAGAGGCTGCATACAGAGCACAGGCGGCCACGTTGCTGCATGCGGCCACACTGCTGCTGTGAGGAGGCAAGCTGGGCGAGATGGCCCACAATCGCTCTCGCACACGCCCCCTCTCACCCGCACGCCCTCTCATCTCACCTGGACATCCTCCCCCACCACGCTGCCGATCTTGGCGATGGCGGCAGCAGCGGTGGCGAGCCAGCAGCGCAGGTCCACGTGGCGCTCGTCCTCTGACGGGTGCGAGGCACGCGGGTAGTCGTCCAGCCCCGACTGCAACGTCTGGTGGCGGGGGGGCGCGGGGGGGGGGAGGCGAGGGGCGGGAGGGGCACGTCGATAGGAGTGGCAGGGGTGAATGGATGGCTTGGAGTGGGGCGACATGCAGGCAGGGATGTGTGGCAGGGAGGGAGAAAACAGTGAGGGAGCCGGAAGATTGGTGCAGCAACAAGGGAAGAAAACAAAGAGGGCAGAAAGGGGAGCAGGAAGGAGAGCAGGAAGGAGAGCAGGAAGGAGAGCAGGAAGGAGGGCAGGAAGGAGGGCAGGAAGGAGGGCAGGAAGGAGGGTGGGAAGGAGGGTGGGAAGGAGGGTGGGAAGGAGGGTGGGAAGGAGGGTAGGGTGGCACTGGCCAAGGAAGGAGGGCGGGGTGGCTGAGGGTGGCACTGGCCAAGGAAGGAGGGCGGGGTGGCTGAGGGTGGCATTGGCCAAGGAAGGAGGGCGGGGTGGCTGAGGGTGGCACTGGCCAAGGAAGGAGGGCGGGGTGGCTGAGGGTGGCACTGGCCAAGGAAGGAGGGCGGGGTGGCTGAGGGTGGCACTGGCCAAGGAAGGAGGGTGAGGGTGGCCGAGGGTGGCACTGGCCAAGGAAGGAGGGCGGGGTGGCTGAGGGTGGCACTGGCCGAGGAAGGAGGGTGAGGGTGGCCGAGGGTGGCACTGGCCTTGGGGTTGAGCTCGCGCACAGTGTTGGCATCACGGCCCCGCCAGTAGTAGCTTCCAGGCAGCTTCCCTGACGGAAGGCAGAGGAGGAAAGGAGAAGGGCGATGCATGAGGGAGCACAGCTGCCGCCTCAACCACCTTGCCGTGCTGCATGCCACCCACTCACAACCACTTTGCCAGCATGAAGCGTTGCTCACGTGATGTGAGGAGGAGCATTGCTCACGTGAAGGGGGCGGCAGGGCAATGGAGCAATGGTGGTGGTGGTGGTGAGGGACCATGACCCATGTGGGAGAAACCTCCTCCCTCTCACCGCAACATCCACTCTCCCTTTGCATGCCATGCCCGCACTCCACCATCCCAGGAAGGCGGCGGTGAGGTGAGACTCTACTGCGACCTCTCTCATAGCGTTGCCCCTCTCCGCTTCCACCCACACATGTCCATTCACAAGGTGCGGTACAGCAAAATGGAATGAAGAGGTGTGGTGTGCCTATGGGCCACCCCACATGCGCTCTGCTTTTCGCATTCGCCAGAAGTGAGCGGCCCGCCCTGCCACACACACACGCACCGGCCTGCGAGGAGTTGAACCAGCGGAACCACGCCTTGAGGCGCGGCAAGCATGCATGCAGGAATGACACCCTGTCACACCCCTCCGCCTCCCCGCCTCCTGCCCCCACTTCCTCCCCCACCCCCTCCTTCGGCACGAACGACCCATTTGGCAGCCGCTGACACGTGGCAGCACTGCGAGCTGCCAGATCAGCAATCTCTGTGGAGAGACGGGTGATAAGGGGAGAGGGAAACGGATTTCTGGAAGACAATAATAAGGCAGCGAACAATTAGACCAGCATCCTAGGTTCGCGCATCCATTGCAGCATAGCGTCAGGCAGTTACAAGCGCAAGCTATGTAGATGGTGAAAGTCCAGAGCAGGCAGACATGGAGAGGAGAGCAGGCAGACATGGAGAGGAGAGCAGGCAGACATGGAGAGGAGAGCAGGCAGACATGGAGAGGAGAGCAGGCAGACATGGAGAGGAGAGCAGGCAGACATGGAGAGGAGAGCAGGCAGACATGGAGAGGAGAGCAGGCAGACATGGAGAGGAGAGCAGGCAGACATGGAGAGGAGAGCAGGCAGACATGGAGAGGAGAGCAGGCAGACATGGAGAGGAGAGCAGGCAGACATGGAGAGGAGAGCAGGCAGACATGGAGAGGAGAGCAGGCAGACATGGAGAGGAGAGCAGGCAGACATGGAGAGCATACGACAGTCAGACAGCAACACGTGGTGAAACGCATTGATTCATTGCAATAGAATCCGCCGAGGCGATGGGACAGGGTCGTTGGTTCGAGTGAGAAGAAGAAAGAGGTCGAAATGCACTCCTAATGCACACCGGTGAGAGGGAGGAAGAGCGTGGGCGGGTTGCCGTTGGACACATGCTGCTGTATGAACTCCTCCGGTACCTTGCTGTCCTTGCCATGGGGGAATGGAGGGGTGGGGGAGAGGGAGGGGTTCACACGCACACGGAAAGGAAGAAGGTGCAAGCAAAGGGACACCCGTGCGGTTAGAAACGAGCAGTTGATGGGCACACCTTCATGTCACGGGATGCAGACAGAGGCAACACACAGCACTGCACATTCACAGTATGAAGCACTGAGAGCTGAGAGCGCCAGGTGAGGAGCAAGGAGCAGAGAAGGCAGATGGCAGGCAGAGAGGAGTGTCATGAGCGCACAATGGCAGGCAGAGAGGAATGCCATGAGCGCACAATGGCAGGCAGAGAGGAGTGCCATGAGCGCACAATGGCAGGCAGAGAGGAGTGTCATGAGCGCACAATGGCAGGCAGAGAGGAGTGTCATGAGCGCACAATGGCAGGCAGAGAGGAGTGTCATGAGCGCACAATGGCAGGCAGAGAGGAGTGTCATGAGCGCACAATGGCAGGCAGAGAGGAGTGCCATGAGCGCACAATGGCAGGCAGAGAGGAGTGTCATGAGCGCACAATGGCAGGCAGAGAGGAATGTCATGAGCGCACAATGGCAGGCAGAGAGGAGTGCCATGAGCGCACAATGGCAGGCAGAGAGGAGTGTCATGAGCGCACAATGGCAGGCAGAGAGGAGTGTCATGAGCGCACAATGGCAGGCAGAGAGGAGTGTCATGAGCGCACAATGGCAGGCAGAGAGGAGTGTCATGAGCGCACAATGGCAGGCAGAGAGGAGTGTCATGAGCGCACAATGGCAGGCAGAGAGGAGTGTCATGAGCGCACAATGGCAGGCAGAGAGGAGTGTCATGAGCGCACAATGGCAGGCAGAGAGGAGTGTCATGAGCGCACAATGGCAGGCAGAGAGGAGTGCCATGAGCGCACAATGGCAGGCAGAGAGGAGTGTCATGAGCGCACAATGGCAGGCAGAGAGGAGTGTCATGAGCGCACAATGGCAGGCAGAGAGGAGTGTCATGAGCGCACAATGGCAGGCAGAGAGGAGTGTCATGAGCGCACAATGGCAGGCAGAGAGGAGTGTCATGAGCGCACAATGGCAGGCAGAGAGGAGTGCCATGAGCGCACAATGGCAGGCAGAGAGGAGTGTCATGAGCGCACAATGACAGGCAGAGAGGAGTGTCATGAGCGCACAATGGCAGGCAGAGAGGAGTGCCATGAGCGCACAATGGCAGGCAGAGAGGAGTGTCATGAGCGCACAATGGCAGGCAGAGAGGAGTGTCATGAGCGCACAATGGCAGGCAGAGAGGAGTGTCATGAGCGCACAATGGCAGGCAGAGAGGAGTGTCATGAGCGCACAATGGCAGGCAGAGAGGAGTGCCATGAGCGCACAATGGCAGGCAGAGAGGAGTGTCATGAGCGCACAATGGCAGGCAGAGAGGAGTGTCATGAGCGCACAATGGCAGGCAGAGAGGAGTGTCATGAGCGCACAATGGCAGGCAGAGAGGAGTGTCATGAGCGCACAATGGCAGGCAGAGAGGAGTGTCATGAGCGCACAATGGCAGGCAGAGAGGAGTGTCATGAGCGCACAATGGCAGGCAGAGAGGAGTGCCATGAGCGCACAATGGCAGGCAGAGAGGAGTGTCATGAGCGCACAATGGCAGGCAGAGAGGAGTGTCATGACCGCACAATGGCAGGCAGAGAGGAGTGCCATGAGCGCACAATGGCAGGCAGAGAGGAGTGTCATGAGCGCACAATGGCAGGCAGAGAGGAGTGTCATGAGCGCACAATGGCAGGCAGAGAGGAGTGTCATGAGCGCACAATGGCAGGCAGAGAGGAGTGCCATGAGCGCACAATGGCAGGCAGAGAGGAGTGCCATGACCGCACAATGGCAGGCAGAGAGGAGTGTCATGAGCGCACAATGGCAGGCAGAGAGGAGTGTCATGAGCGCACAATGGCAGGCAGAGAGGAGTGTCATGAGCGCACAATGGCAGGCAGAGAGGAGCGTCATGAGCGCACAATGGCAGGCAGAGAGGAGTGTCATGAGCGCACAATGGCAGGCAGAGAGGAGTGCCATGAGCGCACAATGGCAGGCAGAGAGGAGTGTCATGAGCGCACAATGGCAGGCAGAGAGGAGTGTCATGAGCGCACAATGGCAGGCAGAGAGGAGTGCCATGAGCGCACAATGGCAGGCAGAGAGGAGTGTCATGAGCGCACAATGGCAGGCAGAGAGGAGTGTCATGAGCGCACAATGGCAGGCAGAGAGGAGTGCCATGAGCGCACAATGGCAGGCAGAGAGGAGTGTCATGAGCGCACAATGGCAGGCAGAGAGGAATGTCATGAGCGCACAATGGCAGGCAGAGAGGAGTGTCATGAACGCACAATGGCAGGCAGAGAGGAGTGTCATGAGCGCACAATGGCAGGCAGAGAGGAGTGTCATGAGCGCACAATGGCAGGCAGAGAGGAGTGTCATGAGCGCACAATGGCAGGCAGAGAGGAGTGTCATGAGCGCACAATGGCAGGCAGAGAGGAGTGTCATGAGCGCACAATGGCAGGCAGAGAGGAGTGCCATGAGCGCACAATGGCAGGCAGAGAGGAGTGTCATGAGCGCACAATGGCAGGCAGAGAGGAGTGTCATGAGCGCACAATGGCAGGCAGAGAGGAGTGCCATGAGCGCACAATGGCAGGCAGAGAGGAGTGTCATGAGCGCACAATGGCAGGCAGAGAGGAGTGTCATGAGCGCACAATGGCAGGCAGAGAGGAGTGTCATGAGCGCACAATGGCAGGCAGAGAGGAGTGTCATGAGCGCACAATGGCAGGCAGAGAGGAGTGCCATGAGCGCACAATGGCAGGCAGAGAGGAGTGTCATTAGCGCACAATGGCAGGCAGAGAGGAGTGTCATGAGCGCACAATGGCAGGCAGAGAGGAGTGTCATGAGCGCAAAATGGCAGGCAGAGAGGAGTGTCATGAGCGCACAATGGCAGGCAGAGAGGAGTGTCATGAGCGCACAATGGCAGGCAGAGAGGAGTGTCATGGGCGCACAATGGCAGGCAGAGAGGAGTGTCATGAGCGCACAATGGCAGGCAGAGAGGAGTGTCATGAGCGCACAATGGCAGGCAGAGAGGAGTGTCATGAGCGCACAATGGCAGGCAGAGAGGAGTGCCATGAGCGCACAATGGCAGGCAGAGAGGAGTGTCATGAGCGCACAATGGCAGGCAGAGAGGAGTGTCATGAGCGCACAATGGCAGGCAGAGAGGAGTGTCATGAGCGCACAATGGCAGGCAGAGAGGAGTGCCATGAGCGCACAATGGCAGGCAGAGAGGAGTGTCATGAGCGCACAATGGCAGGCAGAGAGGAATGTCATGAGCGCACAATGGCAGGCAGAGAGGAGTGTCATGAACGCACAATGGCAGGCAGAGAGGAGTGTCATGAGCGCACAATGGCAGGCAGAGAGGAGTGTCATGAGCGCACAATGGCAGGCAGAGAGGAGTGTCATGAGCGCACAATGGCAGGCAGAGAGGAGTGTCATGAGCGCACAATGGCAGGCAGAGAGGAGTGTCATGAGCGCACAATGGCAGGCAGAGAGGAGTGTCATGAGCGCACAATGGCAGGCAGAGAGGAGTGCCATGAGCGCACAATGGCAGGCAGAGAGGAGTGTCATGAGCGCACAATGGCAGGCAGAGAGGAGTGTCATGAGCGCACAATGGCAGGCAGAGAGGAGTGCCATGAGCGCACAATGGCAGGCAGAGAGGAGTGCCATGAGCGCACAATGGCAGGCAGAGAGGAGTGTCATGAGCGCACAATGGCAGGCAGAGAGGAGTGCCATGAGCGCACAATGGCAGGCAGAGAGGAGTGCCATGAGCGCACAATGGCAGGCAGAGAGGAGTGTCATGAGCGCACAATGGCAGGCAGAGAGGAGTGTCATGAGCGCACAATGGCAGGCAGAGAGGAGTGCCATGAGCGCACAATGGCAGGCAGAGAGGAGTGTCATGAGCGCACAATGGCAGGCAGAGAGGAGTGTCATGAGCGCACAATGGCAGGCAGAGAGGAGTGTCATGAGCGCACAATGGCAGGCAGAGAGGAGTGTCATGAGCGCACAATGGCAGGCAGAGAGGAGTGTCATGAGCGCACAATGGCAGGCAGAGAGGAGTGTCATGAGCGCACAATGGCAGGCAGAGAGGAGTGCCATGAGCGCACAATGGCAGGCAGAGAGGAGTGTCATGAGCGCACAATGGCAGGCAGAGAGGAGTGTCATGAGCGCACAATGGCAGGCAGAGAGGAGTGCCATGAGCGCACAATGGCAGGCAGAGAGGAGTGTCATGAGCGCACAATGGCAGGCAGAGAGGAGTGTCATGAGCGCACAATGGCAGGCAGAGAGGAGTGTCATGAGCGCACAATGGCAGGCAGAGAGGAGTGTCATGAGCGCACAATGGCAGGCAGAGAGGAGTGTCATGAGCGCACAATGGCAGGCAGAGAGGAGTGTCATGAGCGCACAATGGCAGGCAGAGAGGAGTGTCATGAGCGCACAATGGCAGGCAGAGAGGAGTGTCATGAGCGCACAATGGCAGGCAGAGAGGAGTGCCATGAGCGCACAATGGCAGGCAGAGAGGAGTGTCATGAGCGCACAATGGCAGGCAGAGAGGAGTGTCATGAGCGCACAATGGCAGGCAGAGAGGAGTGCCATGAGCGCACAATGGCAGGCAGAGAGGAGTGCCATGAGCGCACAATGGCAGGCAGAGAGGAGTGTCATGAGCGCACAATGGCAGGCAGAGAGGAGTGCCATGAGCGCACAATGGCAGGCAGAGAGGAGTGCCATGAGCGCACAATGGCAGGCAGAGAGGAGTGTCATGAGCGCACAATGGCAGGCAGAGAGGAGTGTCATGAGCGCACAATGGCAGGCAGAGAGGAGTGCCATGAGCGCACAATGGCACGTCACAGGCCATGCCTCTCACTTCCACTTCCACACCCACCCGCACTGATGATGCAAGCACCATGCGCCATCACTCCAATCCCGCTAGCTCCTACGCACCAGAGAATGGTCCCAGACCCTGCACAACCACCTTACCGCCTCACGCCCCTGTACCCACACCCTTTCCTCTCCCTTCTCAACCCCCACTGCCCTTGCTGCCCCCCCTCACCTCAGGGGCCACAGGAAAGGAAGCTTCCATGCGGCGCTCCACTGCCGCATCTGCCTCCCCCATGCGTCGCGCCAGCGTACGGCCTGGTGGCGGCGGGAGGATGGCAGGGGTGGGGTGGGGAAACGAGAGGATTAGGTGGGGTTGTGGATGCGTGTGTAAGAGTGTGTGGGTGGGTGTGTGCGTTCATGTGTGTGGTACCCACCGTATTGTTCAATAACAAGCACCACCAGAGAGAGTGGCACCTGAGAGGAGGTTGAGGCGTGTGGCAGCTTGTTGCGAGGGCGAGTGGTGGGAGGAGGCAGCGGGGAGGCCGGAGAGGAACACAAAGTCCACCACCGCTGGCAGCCACACTGTCAGCTGTGGGGCGGGGAGTGTGATGGGTGGCGGGGAGATGGAGAGGGAGAGAGGGTGAGAGGTGATGGAGAGGGCGTGAGAGTGGAGTGAGAGGCGATGGATGGGTGGTGCGAGAAGCACACGAAGTGGTGACAAGAAGAAAGAGAGCAGAGACATGCGCGGGACTCAGGAGCACAAACAGAGGCGAGCAGATGTGGTGCAGTCGAGTGCGGTGGCGGCGCACAAGTAGACGTTGCAGCTTCTGTGCCTTTCAAATGCAAGAGGTACGAAGCAGCATTGCCATCCCTATTGCACCTGGATGATTGCCACGTTGGCGCCCGGCTGTGCCTTGTTGCCCAGTGTCGGCTGCTGCGTGGCTTGGTACTGCCGGAGGGGGGTGGGGTGGGGAAGTATGCAAGGGTGGACGATGGGGTGTGAGGAGCTAGAGCAAGAGAATGAATGGTAGGAAAGGTCACGAAAGAAGGACAGCTTGGGATGCTGACATGCAATGCGAGCATGCAGAGGTGCTGGTGCATGCAGGGAGCAGGGCAGCACGCAGATGATGGTAGCACGCAGATGATGGTAGCACGCAGATGATGGTAGCCCGCAGATGATGGTAGCCCGCAGATGATGGTAGCCCGGGCATCAAAGCACGTACGTGGCGGATGAGGGCGGCCTTCACAGCGTCTGACAGGTTGTGCATGTGCCGCGTGTGCACCGCCTCAAAGGTCGCCCCTGGCCCCTCCGCCTGCTGCTTGAAGACAAGGGAGAAGGGCGTGGGGGGGCCAGGGAAGAGGTTTAGATTGAGAAGCAGCGGTGGGAAGCGTGAGTGCAACACACACACTGCCCAGGGCGCACAGCTGCCGTACCTGCCAGGGCGCACAGCTGCCGTACCTGCCAGGGCGCACAGCTGCCGTACCTGCCAGGGCGCACAGCTGCCGTACCTGCCAGGGCGCACAGCTGCCGTACCTGCCAGGGCGCACAGCTGCCGTACCTGCCAGCACGCACAGGTGGCATACCTGCCAGCACGCACAGCTGCCATACCTGTGTGACGGCATGCAGCTCCCAGCGCCCAAACACATCCGACACCCCCCCCGCCACCACCGCTGCCCGTTGCCCCCCTCGCCCCTCCGCCTGCTCCTCCCCACCCTCCTCGCCCATCAGCCTCCTCCCCTTCCTTCCCCCCCTCTCAACCCCTCGCCCCGCCCCACCCCTTCCCACGCCACTGCCCTCCACACTCCTCAACCTTCTCCTCCCCACCCCCACCCCCTCCTCGTCCTCCTCCTCCTCATCTTCCTCCTCGTCCTCAAAACCCCCTCGCACCCACTCCTCGTCACCCTCCGCCCCCCCTCGCTCCCCAATTCCACGGGCCTCCTCGTCCCCGCCTCTCCCCCCAGCAGCAGCGGCGGGGTGCCGCACGAGGCGGGCCACTTCGGCGGGCGCGGGCAGCGCCAGCAGCGGGGCGGCCGCCTCATCCGCCACGTAGAAGAAGAAGGTGCTGCGGGGGGGGTGGAGGGGGGCAGAGAGGGGAGCAAGGGGGACAGGCAGCGGGGACGAGAGAGGTCAGAGACGAGGGCAAGTGACAGACTAGTGAGAAACCAAACTGGTGTGTGGGGTGGTGGTGGGGAAGGGAGAAGGGAAGAAAAGGAAAAGTGGGAGCAGGCCTCAACGTGGCAATAATTGGTGTTGACTCACAAGGGCATTGACTGGGCGTTGACTCACAAGGGCATTGACTGGGCGTTGACTCACAATGGCATTGACTGGGCGTTGACTCACAAGGCCATTGACTGGGCGTTGACTCACAAGGGCATTGACTGGGCGTTGACTCACAAGGGCATTGACTGGGCGTTGACTCACAAGGGCATTGACTGGGCGTTGACTCACAATGGCATTGACTGGGCGTTGACTCACAAGGCCATTGACTGGGCGTTGACTCACAAGGGCATTGACTGGGCGTTGACTCACAAGGGCATTGACTGGGCGTTGACTCACAATGGCATTGACTGGGCGTTGACTGCGCCGCCCACCCTCTCACGGTTGAGGTCAACGGCCACGCGCACGGCCCAGTCACCACCGTACCCCGTGCTGCCGTTGAGCGACTTGAGGAACGCCATGCTCAGATCGAACGGACCGTCCTTCACCTCCTGTGATGTGAGTGCACGCACAGGGAACATACTTGGAACCATCCCCATCACCCTGAAACAACTGTCTGCTCCGTTTACGCACATGCATGCGCGGATGTCAGTGAGCAACATTTGAAGTTCGTGCAGCTAAGAAGCAGTCCACGTGAATTTCTCCATGCACCCTTTCCCCACCCCATGCACCCTTTCCCCACCCCATGCACCCTTTCCCCACCCCATGCACCCTTTCCCCACCCCATGCACCCTTTCCCCACCCCATGCACCCTTTCCCCACCCCATGCACCCTTTCCCCACCCCATGCACCCTTTCCCCACCCCATGCACCCTTTCCCCACCCCATGCACCCTTTCCCCACCCCATGCACCCTTTCCCCACCCCATGCACCCTTTCCCCACCCCATGCACCCTTTCCCCACCCCATGCACCCTTTCCCCACCCCATGCACCCTTTCCCCACCCCATGCACCCTTTCCCCACCCCATGCACCCTTTCCCCACCCCATGCACCCTTTCCCCACCCCATGCACCCTTTCCCCACCCCATGCACCCTTTCCCCACCCCATGCACCCTTTCCCCACCCCATGCACCCTTTCCCCACCCCATGCACCCTTTCCCCACCCCATGCACCCTTTCCCCACCCCATGCACCCTTTCCCCACCCCATGCACCCTTTCCCCACCCCATGCACCCTTTCCCCACCCCATGCACCCTTTCCCCACCCCATGCACCCTTTCCCCACCCCATGCACCCTTTCCCCACCCCATGCACCCTTTCCCCACCCCATGCACCCTTTCCCCACCCCATGCACCCTTTCCCCACCCCATGCACCCTTTCCCCACCCCATGCACCCTTTCCCCACCCCATGCACCCTTTCCCCACCCCATGCACCCTTTCCCCACCCCATGCACCCTTTCCCCACCCCATGCACCCTTTCCCCACCCCATGCACCCTTTCCCCACCCCATGCACCCTTTCCCCACCCCATGCACCCTTTCCCCACCCCATGCACCCTTTCCCCACCCCATGCACCCTTTCCCCACCCCATGCACCCTTTCCCCACCCCATGCACCCTTTCCCCACCCCATGCACCCTTTCCCCACCCCATGCACCCTTTCCCCACCCCATGCACCCTTTCCCCACCCCATGCACCCTTTCCCCACCCCATGCACCCTTTCCCCACCCCATGCACCCTTTCCCCACCCCATGCACCCTTTCCCCACCCCATGCTCAGCCAGCTCTCTTCCACGTGCCTCACAGCCCTTCACCCACGCCCCTCCCTCCCCTCCCCTTGCCCCTGCCATTCCCCCTCGTCTGCACCTGACGGGCATAGCGGCGGCCGTCGTGGCGCAGCCAGGAGTAGGAGTGCAAGACAGGGTCGTGCTGCTCGCATGTGTGGCGGATCACAAAGTCGTCCTGCCTCGGCGCCCACCACATCACTCCCGCCACCACCGACTGAGGCAGGCTGGGGGGTAACGTAAGGACAGGGGCAATGACACGACACGCAAGGGAAAACATCAGGATAGGACATGGTGGCAGCATGGGGAGGAGTGCGTGGAGCAGCATGCAGTGGCGGCACAGCATGCACCGCTGGCAAGCACGGGGCAGCACCACCTCTACTGCCGCCTGCACTGCAGTGCTGCCACGCACGCACACTGTGCCTCTTTAGTGGCGCCCCCTCTCCCGCTACAGCACAGCACGGCACGGCACGGCACGGCACGGCACGGCACGGCACGGCACAGCACAGCCCAGCACAGCCCAGTCCAGCCCAGCACAGCACAGCACAGAACAGCACAGCACAGCACAGAACTGAACTGAACTGAAGGGAACGGCACGGCACAGCACGACACAGCACAGCACAGCGCAGCAAAGCAGAGCAGAGCAGAGCAGAGCAGAGCAGAGCAGAGCAGAGCAGAGCAGAGCAAAGCAGAGCAGAGCAGAGCAGAGCAGAGCAGAGCAGAGCAGAGCAGCGTACCGTGGGCGAATGCCGAGGTAGAGTTGCGGGCGGTATGTTCCCCACAGCATCCCCTCCGCATACCCTCCCTTGAACTGCCCACACATGCCATGCCATGCCATGCCATGACGACACATGATGCAAATGTCATAGCAAGCAAGGTCATGCCATGCCATGGCAGCACATGATGGGAGGAGGGGGGTCAAGCAACCTCATCCAGTCCGCAAGCCAATATGATGCACCCGTGCCGTGACATGCCAGCCGCAATGCCACAACGCATCCCATGCACCGTGAGCAACACTCACAAAGCACCCATGCACCTAAGCGCCCATCCGCCCATACATGCAACCATACACCCACACATTCATGGATCCATGCTCACTGCTATGAAGTGCTTCGCACGCGAGGAGGAGCGACGGCCTTGGTGAGGCATGGCTTCCACTCCTGGCGCCGCTGCTGCTCCTCGCATGCCACATGCTCATGCTCATGCTACCCACGCGCTGTGTCGCTGGGAGAATCAACCCACGCCCCTCACCATGCGAAGCACCTCACCATGGGGAGATCCGCCACGCGCGGGGCGTTGAGCGGCGTGAGGTGGCGCTGCTTCTCGGAGGCTCCGAAGAGCGCGTCGCCCCACGTCAGCACGACGATCACCGCCGCCGCGCATCCCGCAGCTAGTAACAGCGCAAGAACCGCCGCATTCCACGCCAGGTTTGTCGGCGCAGCCTTTCCTCGGTGCGGGTGGTGCGCCGCCCTGTGCGCCTGTGCGCGCTTTCCCGCCGCGCCGCCGTCAGCGCGCGGGGAGGAAGGCGCGTCCCCTCCGCTCCCACCCCCGCGTCGCCGCGAGGGAGGAGGCATTGTGGGGGAAGCGCAGCAAGACGAGTGAAGCTAGGAGCGCGCTGGTGGTGGGCCGCACGGGAGTATGCGGCGGCGACCGGGATGTGATGACGGGAAATTCGTGGCTTTGCCACGCTCAAATTCGTGCCTAGATGCACTAGATCGCGATGGTACAACATTCACTTTGTAACAAGTATTTTCAAGGTGTGCGGAACCAACAGATGACTCTTCTGGGCTACACTACATGGGGATTGTGTGCTGTGACCTACATTTGTGGCGGGGAGTTTTTCACCCCCGATCTATTGGTGGTTAGAGGTCCCATCAAAATAAGTCAAACAAAAATAACCTGCGCATTTGTTGCAAAAAAGCAATGGAAAGAATATGGCAATATGTGAGGACAAGGCAAACTAAAAGGTATTTATGGGATTTGCAACTTCGGTGGTGCATGCCGCACCATGCGCTTGCTCACATACGGAAAATTCTGTGCTGGAACGTGGCATTTGTAACTTGCATGCATATGTACAGCCAAGGATGGGAGGTGCAGGTGGTCAGCAGCCCATGTTTCCCCATGCTGCTGCCATCCCCCCTCCCATGTCCACTTGCAGCCCCTTGTGAGGTGCTGCCCCGCCCTCTGCTGCCAGCCCGGCGACTGGCACCTCAGCACCTCGCGTGCAGCCCACAGGAGCGGTGTGCGTGGTGTCAGTGGCGTGAGTGGCAAAGACGGCGTGGGTGGGGCCCCACGGGGGAGGCAGCAACAAGGGGAGGTGGTACCTGGAGGGCAAACATGGTCAGTAATTAGGACACAGAGGCTGATCACAGCGTAGGAACGGTTGCGACAGAAGCAGGAAAGGAGTAAGTAGAAAAAGGATAGCATGATTCACAGAAAAGGCTTGCAATGGCGGTGCAAGTACCAGGGGGGATGGATAATGATGGCTGTGCCGGGTTGAATGGCAGGTGCGTGCGAAGCACTGGGGGCAGGAAAGGCAGCGGCAGTGCCAGCAGTGGCTGCAAACGGTGCGGAGCTGTTGAGGGTGGTGCTGCTGGTGGGGATGACTGCAAGGAAGGGGCGGGCCTGCTTCTGATGAGAGGCGTTGCCTGGCACGTGGGGGAAAGGGGGGAAGAGGAAGTGGACGAGTGGGAGGGTGGACGAGCGGAGAGCACAAGGGGTGTGACATGCAGAGGAGGAGATTAAGAAAAGAGAGGGGGGAAATGATGGAGCATGGATCAATGGGCACGTACGCACATGCTGCCTGTTATGACTCAAGCGTGGGCCATAAGAGTGAGTGAGCCAAAAGAGTGACTGCGAGCCATGAGGGTGAGTGCGAGCCATGATGGTGAGTGAGAGAAATGAGGGTGAGTGCGAGCTGTGAAAATGAGTGGGTGCTGTGAGAGTGAGTGGGAGTCGTGAGGGTGAGTGTGATACAAACAAGCCACCTCAAGGCGCTGCCCACCTGCGGATCTCGTTGCTTCTCCTGCCACATTCTCGTCTCTATCTGCACCTCCCACACTCGGATCGCCTGCATGCCAACTCATGGAAGCAGCTGACGTGGCATGTTGCTGACTCTGCAGGCACAGGCACACTGCCACGTGGCCCTCGAAGCTCACACTCGTTACAGTCACATGCAAGTCACGCATGCCATCCCAAGGCGCGTGCGCCTGTGCTGCATCTTCCCGTGTGTGCGGCACTGCCTGTGCACCATGCACTTCCTCGTGCACGCTGCCTGCCTGTAACTCGTGCTGCTGCTGCTGCTGCTGCTGCTGCCGCTGTGCCGCTTCCAGGTGGGCCAGTCAGGACTTGAAGGGCAGACTGCACGGGGGACAAGAGGGTGGTTAGCTTGTGGGGGAGTGCAGGAGTAAGAGCGAGAGAGCAAGAGGCAAAGGGAGGGAGGCAGCGAGGAAGGGGGAAGAATGAGGGATGGGGAAGTGAAGAGGGGGCTTGGAGCAGGAGGAAGGCGTCTGCTGCACAGGGAGTGGCGAGGACCCAAGCAGCATAAAACCATCATAAAGTCACCTGCATACAATCACCTGCAAGAAGTTACCTTGCAGCGGTGGGCCCTCTGGGCCTGCCCCCTGAGGAGGCAGTGGCGCGTGCTCTCGGGGTGGGAGGGGCACACGAGGGCGAGGGGAGTGGCGGCAGCAGCGAGGCGAGCGAGGTGTGGGGCGGGGGGAGGACGGGCGGAATGGGCTGCAAGGGGGGGAGGCGGACGGGAGAGAGGTGAAGACAGCGAGGGAGAAACGTAACGGGAGTGACAGGAAGGTGCGGAAAAGTCCAGGGAGGTGAAAGGAGGAAAACACGAGATGAGTGGAGCGTGCCTCGCGATCAGACAAAGCATTGAAATTGAAAAGACGCCGGGTACATGGGTGCATGGTGCATGGTGCATGGGTGCATGGGTGCATAATGCATGGGTGCATGGTGCATGGGTGCATGGTGCATGGGTGCATGGGTGCATGGGTGCATGGTGCATGGGTGCATGGGTGCATGGTGCATGGGTGCATGGTGCATGGTGCATGGGTCATGGGTGCATTGTGCATGGTGCATGGGCGCATGGGTGCATGGTGCATGGTGCATGCGCACAGAGGTTGGATGCTAGCCAGTAATCCCATGGTGGCTGACAGCACACCGCCTGCCACACCTGCCCATGGAGAGTGTCTCCCCCAATGCGCTCCACGCCCCTTGCCACCCACTCAAACATCGCCGCCTCCCGCTGCTGCTGCTGCTGCTGCTGCTGCTGCTGCTGAGATTGATGTTGGTAACTCAGAGGTTGCAGTGCTTCAGCCTGCACCTCGTGCTCATACCGCTGCTCGCACCGCTGCTGGCAGTGCTGGGAGGAATGCCCCTGCAGCGGCTGAGACGCGTGCAGCTGTGACAGCTGCTGCTGCAGCGCCATGGGTGCCGATGCTGGCGCTGCCTGCGAGCTGGTGGGCGCCGGGGCTGTTGTGGCACGCACCTGGTGGGGTGTGGGCGCATGCACATGGATGGACATGCACGCCCACACATGGATGGACATGCACGCCCACACATGGATGGACATGCACGCCCACACATGGATGGACATGCACGCCCACACATGGATGGACATGCACGCCCACACATGGATGGACATGCACGCCCACACATGGATGGACATGCACGCCCACACATGGATGGACATGCACGCCCACACATGGATGGACATGCACGCCCACACATGGATGGACATGCACGCCCACACATGGATGGACATGCACGCCCACACATGGATGGACATGCACGCCCACACATGGATGGACATGCACGCCCACACATGGATGGACATGCACGCCCACACATGGATGGACATGCACGCCCACACATGGATGGACATGCACGCCCACACATGGATGGACATGCACGCCCACACATGGATGGACATGCACGCCCACACATGGATGGACATGCATGTGCACATGGACACACATGTCAATATTAGTGGTCATTCTGAACCACCCGCCATACGTTCACACCTACAGTGCGTAGACGGGACAGCTCACTTGAATCAGCATGCGCTGTGGGTCATCCATGCCACGTCATATGTTATTCCACCATCCCCATGCGCCATGCACGATGCACCAAGCACCACGCAACAAGCGCCATGTGCAATGCGCCCTGCACCAAGCACCACGTGCCAAGTACCAAGCACGCACCTTGTCCTTCTTCCCACGGTACCGCCCGCCTCTCCCCTTCCCCCCATGCGCCAGGGGTGGAGGTGCGCCTGTCAGCTGCAGCAGCTGCTGCGCCAACCCTCCCACCGCCCCTCCTCCCCTGCTGCCCTCCATCTCTCCCCCCTGCGAGCGCCCCTGCCCTTCTGCCCAAGCCTGCCCCTGCATCTCCTGCCTCGCACGCGCCACTGAAGCCTTGCCCGCCGCCCGCCCCCTCTGTGACGTTGTGATGGGCGGGGAGGAGGATGCAGGGTGGGGAGGAGGCGGAGGCAGCACGGGGGGTAGCAGGGAGACGAGGCTTGGTGATGACTTGGCGACGGTGGTCCGTGTGGGTGCTGATGGGATGACGGCTGCTGCTGCCAGTGCTGCTGCTGGTGCTGCCATGGCAGCAGTCGCTGCAGCAGGTGCAGGTGGCGCCGGGGGTGCAGCAGGTAGCGAGGGAGGGTGGAGAGTGGCAGGGGGAGGGTGGGCAGGTACAGGTGGGCAGGTGGAGAGCCCAGGCTGAGCGGCTGTCTCACACGGCTGGGGTGCAGGTAGGGGCGATGCGGCAGGCACCAGTGCTGGTGGATGCAGTGGTGGCGGCGGGCACGGGGCGGGCATGAAGGAGAGGCGCTCCAGCAGCCCCTCCGCCACGCGCCTGCTGTACTCCCCCTGCCCGCCCTCCCCCTCGCGCCCTCGCTCCTGCACTGCCTCCCGTGCCTCCTCCCCCTCACCCACATCGCGAGCCTCCCTAGCGGCATGTCCAGCCTGGGGTGCATCGTGAGCGTCCACGTGGTCGTCGGGGAAGCCGTCCTCCTGGTGGCACAGAGGGCCGCAAACGCACGATGAGTTGCAGAGGGAGCATGGGCGTGAAAGTAGCAGGGCGTACCATTCTTGTGAGTCGACCATTGCTTGTTGATAGACAGAAAGATGGGCAGAAAGGGGCGCGAGTGTGCATGAAATGGCACGGATGAATGGCACGTGGAAGAGAAGGTGAGGGACGGCAGCGAGCAGCACAGGGCACACAGCATGCAAGCACAGCAGGTCGGCATGGATAGCATGGCACACGGGCACATACCCAGTCATCAGCAGTGGGCGAGTCAAACCATCGCAGGCCCCACTTGGCCCGCTGCCACGTGTCACCTTTTTCCTTCCCTGCCACGTCGGATGCTGCCAAACCCGGCCACCCAAATTTCACTCCTGACGCGTCCCTGCTATTCGCTGCTGACTCTCCAAGTGCAGAGACAGCGGCTTGTGGTTCACCAATCAAAGGCTGCCAAGTGGAATGAGAGAAAAAGCGGAGCAGGGGAAGAGCAGGGAGGGCAGGACCAAGGTGCGGAAGCTGAGAAGGGAAGTAGGTGGCGCCACTTGACGACCATCATCGCTATCACCATCCTCCCTGCCTACGTGCTTCCTCCCCTCCGTCCCACGGCGCTCACCTTCGGCCCCGCTGCATTTCGTCCGCCCGCCGCGCCCTTGCGCTTCATGAGGCGCTCCAGCGCGCCCCTGTCGTCCGCCTGGTACACCACGCGCTCCCACACGCCCTCGCTCTCCGCCTCCCCGCGGCCCCACGCACCCTCTCCTCCTCCCACGTCTCCCCCACCCCATCGGTCTGCGGCCATCGCCACAAACGACGCGCGATGCCAACTCTGGTCCGCACGCAGTGCGATTGCCCGCGTGCGCCCAAAAACACCGCGATTTAGTGCGATTGCTTTCAATCAAACAGGCAGGGAAAGTTTGCCCAGAATGTCGCTCTCGTGCTGCCACTTTGACCACAAATTCTTTTAGTCCCAACTATCGCAAGTTCCTTCTGATCCGTCCGTCGCCAGCGCGGGCGTGTCACACAAAGAGAAATGGCGTCTTCGATACGCCTTAGTGCTGAAACCTTCGAACTTTTCCCAAGGCTGGTTTCGTGGTTTGTAATGTCAAATGCATCACGTAGCTGCGATTCGATAAAACAGTAGAGTGTTGCGATATTTACATCGTATAGATGTGAATCATAGTGAAACGAAGTACTAGTAAATTTACTTTGTATCCTAACTACTCTAGTATTATGGTTTCGGGTTTAGGGTAATATTAAAAAGAATATTCTGAGCATATATATCATGGCATTATGATCTCTTCTTGATGTACTGGAAAAGGAGGAAAATATATAATAAAGGTTGTAAATGTGGCTGCAAAATGATCTGTATTCCTGGCATTAGATGAGAACCAGCACTGCGGATCCCTACGTCATGTAGTTCACTGCGGATCCCTACATTGTCTGCGTCCTTTCCCCCGTGCATTTGGTTTTGATTGCGAGCAAACTGGGCAAATCTTGAAATCATGGCCATGGCGGACGCATCACCTGTTAGGAGCCCCAGAAGCCCTAGAAGTCCTAGAAGCCCTAGAAGCCCGAGAAGCCCGAGAAGCCCAAGGAGGACGCCAAGCCCTAAAAGTCCTAATCGCTCTAGGAGCAAGGTGAAGCGAGAGCACGATGATGACGTGGAAGATCGGCGGGATGACGCGAAACGTCAAAACACCCGCGATACAGGTGAGGGTTCCTCATCTGCCCTCCAGGCCAAGCTTAGCTGGACCTGATTCTTACGATCGACTTTTCTCTGTTTTATTATCATGTTTTTTCTGACCGATTTGACCTAATTGATTTTTTTTTTGGTTCGGTATTGTTGGGGTTGAGCAGAGGAGGTGCGGGCGTTGGAGTCGACGCTGCGGTTCCTGGTGTCGAACAACTTCGCGGGGTCGGTGATCGGCAAGGCGGGGCAGGTGATCTCGGAGTTCCAGGTGCAGTCGGGCGCCAAGATCGTCATGTCGCGCGCGCACGAGTTCTTCCCCGGCACCGCGGACCGCATCGTGCTCATCAGCGGCACCGTCAGCGCCATCCTCACGGCGCTGCACCTCATCCTCTCCAAGCTCGCCGACGTACGCCGCCCAACCAACCATCGCCTTCTTGCCGTCGTTCGTGCCTTTTTTTTCTTGCAGCCTTTTCTAGCATACTGCTTTGACAAGGCAGAGCAGTGTCTTGGCAGCACTGACGGGATCTTCAAAATTCATGCTCTACGCGTTCGCTCGCCTGTCGTTCGTCGGTGATACTCATGCCTTTCCGTGATGTTAACCGGTGAGCGTGATTAAATCCGCCGCTGTGTGCCGTACGGTGCCGTTCGCGCAGGATCCGCGGCGCGTGGAGACGGCGCGCGAGGGCGAGCTGGACCTGCTGCGCATCGTGGTGCCGCACCGCGTGTGCGGCGCCATCATCGGCAAAGCTGGCGCCACCATCCGGTCAGTCTCCCCCACCACTGGGAATGACAGCTTCTTCCACCAATTGCTTCTTTCCGCCTGCATTCCTTCCCTCAGTGGCGCCGCTCATGGCTCTTTTCGACACTGAAGATCGATCAGTACCCTCCTTCTGTCCTTCCTCGTGTCCCCTCTCATTCACTGGCCCGATTCTTACGCTGCTTGTGTCATTGTGGGGTGTGGGTGTCTTCACAGGGATGAAACTGTCGCTCCTCAATACCACCCTAGACCTTCTCTCACCACTCCGTGCTACGCTTAAATCCATCACCACCACTCTCAACTCCATCACCAGCACTCTAACTCCATCCCCACCACTGCTACGATTCGCGATGCTTTTATGGCTCCAATCAGTACCAGTTCCTGGTCGCCTCCCTCCGGAGCACCCGCAGAACAAGGCGTTCACCCTCCGCGCGTGCCCCCCTCATCCCCGCAGCCGCAAGCTCCCTCCACTGATTCCTCGCGACTCTCTCTCATCTGCCTTTTTCCAATCCCGGATGTCACCTGCTCTTAATCCTCCGTGCGGCAATTGCTGCCATGTAATGCCGTTCTAGAAAGCGAGCATCTGCAACATCAGCCGCCATCGCCCAAACAGTGCGCAACGGCGTAATTCATCAGTTTTTTCTTGTAACAGGATAACAGCACGGGTTTGCGCAACGGCGTAACACAAAGCCCTTCGTCTGCGCACCTCGATTCGCTCGCTCCCCCGTTTGCCGTTTTCTCATGGGTCATCAGTGGTGCCCATACATCATCCCACCTGCCTCCCCTTCATCTTCTACCATCGCCCGCTCTTCTCTGTTTCGTGTATCATCCCCGCGTCTACTCTCTCGCAGCATCGTCCACTCCCTCGCATCACCGCTTCCCACCCTCTCCCTCCGCATCTTCAAGCGATTGCGCCCTCCCTCCGCAGCAGCACGTCCCACACCGTGAACCGAGAACGGCAGTTGTGCCGCGGCTCCACACTGTCACCCTCACTTTCTCCCCTCCCCCCCCTTGTCCTACGCGCCCCTCAGCCAGCTTCGTGCCATCCACTATCCACTCCTCACCCCCCACCGTCTCCCATCTGCTCTGCTCTCCGTCCCACCCATCCCAACCCCCGCTCTACCCCTCCGCACCCGGCTCCACCCTCCTCCTGCCCGTGCCCTCTCACCTCGCATGTCATGTCACCACGCCCTGCCACGTGGACCCGACGCCATCACGCCGCTCCCAAATGGCTGCCTCCCTCACCTCGTGCGCGCCATGGCGCCATGCCGTCGCGGACCATCGGGGGCGGCTGGCCGTTGCTGGGCGCAGGTCGTTCGTGGAGGACTCGCAGGCGACCATCAAGCTGTCGTCGCAGGACACTGCTGGCCCAGGGTTCGCAGAGAGGCTGATCACGATAGGGGGCACGCTGGAGCAGAAGCTGCGCGCGGTGGCGCTGCTGCTCACCAAGATGTCTGAAGACCCCACCTACGTGCAGTACGCTGACGTGCCGCTCTCCTACACCGGTGAGCCACGTGCCCCGCTCCTACGTGGATACATATCTCCTCCACGTGTCTCTATCCTTCCCGCGCTCACTCACGTATTCCCTTCTGTTCCTCCCGTATCCATCCTTGCCTCTCTCCCCCCGCGCCTCACTGTGCATCCCCCACCAGCGGCGGGCGGGTCATCTCAGCCGCCTCCCCCTCCGCCCGCGGCAGCGGGAGGGGGCAGGCACGAGGGCAGGAGCAGCGGGTTTTCGGAAGGAGGACGGGGCAGGGAGGGCGGGTACGGGGGCGGAGGGGGGTACAACGATGGGTACGGGGCGAGGGGGGCCAGCGGGTTCAGTGGCGGCTATGGCGGTGGTCCTGGGTACGGGGGCGGAGGTGGGGGCAGGGGTGGGGGCGGAGGCTATGGGGGAGGGGACAGATATGGAGGAGGGGGGGCCGGAGGCGGGGGTTTTGGAGCTCCCTATGCGGCGCCCAGGGGACTTCCTCCGTACCTTTCGGACCCGCGTGGCAAGGTGGGCGTGCTGTGGCAAGGTGGGCGTGCTGTGGCAAGGTGGGCGTGCTGTGTCACTGCGTGGGGCCACTGTGATGCCCCTGTTGCCCTGCTCTGCCTGCGTGTGCGCTCTTGTGTGGCCCATCATCGCCCGTAATCTCACAAGCAGTGGACCCTTGTCGTGCTGCCAGTGCCAGAGAGGTTGCAGTGTGATTGTACCCACACTGCTCACTGTCTCTGCCATTCCCAACCCCTCCGAACCCATTTCTACCTCTTTCCAACACCTCATCCGCCACCCCTGCATGCAGGGCCCGCCTCCTCTGCCACCGGGTGGCGGAGTGCCAACGACCATCATAGTGGCGGTGCCGGACGACCATGTGGGCGCTGTTGTGGGCAAGGGCGGCAAGTCACTGCATGAGATCCAGCAGGTGCGTGCGTGGGTGGGGTACAGTACAGCGGGCAGGGTTTGTGCCAGGAAAAGGGCATCGTTAGTGCCAGCAGGCTATCCAGTCGCATCACTTGCTTCAGCACTGACGATGCCTCTTCTTTCGCCGCTGGTACCATCTCTTTTGTTGCTCCCCATGCAGCTGAAGCTCCTGTTGGTAATTATCTTTTCTCAGTCAGAGCATGGGAGCACAACACAACAAGCTTCCCTATCCCCTTCCCTACCTCTCCGCTTGCACATCTCCCCTTCATCTCCTCGTTTCTCTCCCTTTCACCTCCTCTTTTCTCTCCCCATCGTTTCCTCGTTTCCCGCCCCTTCGTCTCCTCATTTCTCTCCCTTCTTGCAATGTCCAGCGCATTTTTCTGGGATCTAACCTTGCAGTATGCGTGTTGGTGGATGCCACACGCCTCTGTGCTCTCTCTCTCTGCAATCTCTGTGCATCACCACATCTATACTCGCATGTGTGCAGTCGGCGGGGGTGCGCATGCTCATATCTGACCGCAACGATTACGTTGAAGGCACCAGGAACAGGTCAGTACCGACCATAACCACGGTAACATTAGCCCCACCTCTTTTTTTTTTTTCTTGCATCCCATAGGCAACCTGTCGCTGGATCGCTGCCCCTCTTGCATGCCCGGGCATGTGTCTCAGCTAGTCCTTCCACGTCTCCCCCTCCCCCCTTGCACTGGCAGGAAGGTGACGATAACGGGTCCATCGGAGGGGGTGGTAGCAGCGCAGCACCTGATCGCGCAGAAGGTGCAGCAGAGCATCGCCTCTGCCTCGGGGGACCGCCTCCTCTCCGCCCCCGACCGCCTGCCCAGCACTGTCGACCGCCTCCCCCCTGCTCCCCCCAGGGGCTTTGACGCCGGTGCAAGGGGCTTTGACAGCGGTGCGAGGGGGTTTGATAGTGGTCCGCGGGGGTTTGACAGTGGTGGAGGGCGCGGGGGTGGCGGGGACAGGCTGGTGAGCACTTATGGTGGCGAGCGGGATGAGCATGAGCGCGGCCGCGACCGGGGGTTAGACCGTGATCGTGACAGGGAGCAGGAGTATGAGAGGGAGAGGGAGCGGGAGCGTTACTCGGAGTGGGATCGCAGGGAGCGGGACGACTCAAGGCGAGGGTACGAGCGGGAGAGAGGGCGAGACGAGCGCGACACGTACAGGCGGTGAAGACCATGCTAACAGGTGGTGGTGAGGGTGTGAAGTGAACAGCTAGTGCTGTGTTCAGTCTTGCCATGGTGTAACTTGGTAAATCTAGTGCTCCCTGTTCACAGGCTGCTGTCATTGTGTTGGTGGGGCTGACTTATGGTGGCCACCTTTGGTGGGCCAATTTCATCCGGAAATATTTTTGTTAATGACGCTTTTACTAAAAACGGAACTTATACTAGAAACAGACATACGAAATTGCCATTCACAAATCAAGAGTCAATGAAGCGGATGGTGAGGGAGTCCTGGTCTATCTGCCACACGTTGAGCTCCGCATAATCCTCCAAACACTCCCTCAGCTCCGCCTCGCTGTGCCCCTGCACGTGGACAGGGATACGGAAGGAGGATACAGAAGTGTGGCAGACGATGGGAGAAAATTGCGACAGCAACAGCACCCAGTGGCACCACAACACAATTTCACCTCATCATGAGTCCCTGGAAATCACAGGAAGAAACCCAGTCCACAGTGCAATGCAGCACAGCATGCCACGGACACAACAGGGCGGGGCAGGGCGGGGAGGGGAGGGCACCTTGCGGGTGATCCAGTTGAGGGCATCGGAGTAGGACACCACGGTGCAGCGCGCACGCGCAGCCTCATCGCGCACGATGGAGTAGACGGCGGAGATGGCGTCCAGCCCTGCGCGCTGCCGGGCCTCCGTCTGCAGCGACGCCTTGGACCCGTGCATCAGCCTCAGCGCCTCCTCCACGTCACTCTGTGCCACCGCCCCCGCCAGCCGCAGCCGCGCCCGAGCCTGGGAGGAAGGAGGGAGATGCGGAGGTGGGGAGTAAGACGGGAAGGGGTCAATGGAGGGAGGAAGAGTTGGGGCATGAGGTTAGGGGTATGCTTGCAGGGGAATGTAAAGAACGAAGATGTTTGTGCCCCCTCCTGGGTGTATGGTGCAGGCTGTTATACCTGGTACCTATGGTCACCGCACAGCAATCCATGGCACCACTTGCATGACTTGCCATCACATCGCACATCTCGCCATCCCATGCCATGCCATGCCATGCCATCCAGTGGGGGCCATAACCTCAGCGAGGCGCAGGATGGAGAGCAGGGTGCGCGCGGTGGTGTAGGTGTGAGGGGCATCGCTGGCCGCCTCCTCCTGCCGCAGCCCCGCGTACGCCGACGCTATGAAGTCCGTCAGCTCCTCCGGCACACTCGGCTCGTACGTCCGTGCCGTTGCTATGAAGTTCCTGCAGGGGAAGGAGGAGGGGAAGGAGGAGGTGGAGGGAGGGGGGGACGAAGGTGCAGGGGCATGCTGTTGTTAAAATTATGCACAAATAACCTGAGCATCGTTTCAAAGCACCTAAAAAGGCACCAAAACAACAGTTTACGGCACTGAGCAGTGTTCAAGGCACCTGAGCAGCGTCGGGTCAACGGGGTCAAAGTCAAGAGCGGGCGGCGCGGAGTGCTGGTGCACGTGCAGCACGTGGCGGGCGAGCGCCAGGTCAGCGTCCACATCAGCGCGGTCAAGCATGAGCCAGAGGATATCGAATCTGGAGAGCAGTGCGGGCGGCAGGTTTATGTTCTCCGCTGGCGTCCTCCTCATGTCGTAGCGCCCCCTGGGGGAAAGAGGGGGGTTTCAGGGAGGCAGAGGGGGGTGGGGCAGAGGGGGGGGGAAGAGGGGGGGGGGGGGGGGTGTGTGGGGAATTGAGGAGAAAAGAGGGGGTTCGGAGGGGGACGAGAAGAAAGGATAGGGTAGAGATGCGGTAGGTCCAGCTGTGTGCTGTGCGAGCAGCAGCAATGGCAGGAGGGTGGGCGATCTCACCAGGCGGGGTTGGCAGCAGCAAGCACAGCGGTGCGAGCGTTGAGTGACGTGGTGATGCCGGCCTTGGCTATGCTCACCGTCTGCTGCTCCATCACCTGCTCCGTGCAAGGCGTGTAACATGTGGCATGGCGCATGTGGCGTATGGGTTATGATACACGCTCACACATGTGTGCCAGCTGGTTCATTGGGAGCATATGCCAATCTACAATGAATGCCAGTGCTGTGCGAACACAAGCGCAGCTCTATCGCTGACACAAGGCACATGGCACGTGGCAACATGCATTGAAAGAGCAGGCAAGGAAGCAGCAGGGCGGGCGGACCTCATGGATGGCGGTGCGGTCGTTCTCGTCCATCTTGTCAAACTCGTCGATGGCACAGATGCCCATGTCCGCTAGCACCTGGTGTGGCACGAGGAGCAAGAGGCGCCATGAGAGAGTGAGGCCATGCACATGGAGGGAGGCCATGCACATGGAGGGAGGCCATGCACATGGAGGGCGCCCTTCCCATGACACAGCAGCAACCATCCCGCCCACAAGCTCACAGGATTACTCACCAGAGCCCCCCCTTCCAGCACCATCTCGCCGGTGACGGTGTCACGTGTGACGGCAGCAGTGAGCCCCACGCCGCTGCTGCCCTTGCCCGTGGTGTACACGCCCCTGGGCGCCACTGTGACGATGTGCTTCAGCAGCTGGCTCTTGGCCACCCCGGGGTCGCCCATCAGACACACGTGCACGTCCCCACGGATCTGACCCCACGCAGGGTGGAAGGGGGTTGGGGGGGTGTGGTGCGCAGAGAGGATGCGGAGGGAGGGCATGAGGTTGCACGAGGCACACGTGGCTGCCCACTAAAGGTCAAAGGAGGCTGCATGGACATCGGTCTTGGGGAGGCAGTGCCGCACTGAACGCGCACCTTCATGCCATCGGGCAGGGTGCGTGTGGGCGCCCCCACGAGCAGCAGCAGCAGCACCTTCTTCACGTCATCGTGGCCGTAGATCTCGGGAGCAATGGAGCGTGCCAGGCGGCTGTACACGTCGCTGCTGCCCTGCGCTGCCAGCTGCTGCACCGCCGCTGCCTCCTCTGGCGTCTGCTCACTCGCGTACCTGCTTGGCGGGTGGGAGCGCATGCACGTGTGTACCAATAGGGACGTGAAAGGGCACCATAGGGACGTCCCAGGGAATGGTGAGGGGGTGATGGGGGCGCGGTGAGGTCGTGGTGGGGCAAGGGGAGGAGCGGTGAGAGGGAGAAGTTGGTGAAGTGGTGAGCGCTGATGGTGGATGTGACACCTCTCTCCATGGCCTTCACCCCTCTCTCAATGGCCTTCACCCCTCTCTCCATGGCCTTCACCCCTCTCTCCATGGCCTTCACCCCTCTCTCCATGGCCTTCACCCCTCTCTCCATGGCCTTCACCCCTCTCTCCATGGCCTTCACCCCTCCCTCCATGCGCCACTACAATGCACTCCTTCCCCTTTCAACCAGCGACAGAGACTCACTCGGAGAAGCGTTTTTTGGAGTGGTGGAAGGACATGGCTTCGAGGTACGTGTCGGCGGTGAGGCCAGCCCGCATGGCCTTGAACCCCACGAATGGCACCGGCAGGAACACCCCCGCCACACTCACCACATCGCCCGGTGATACCTGTGGTGGCACGCACAGGGCGAGATGGATGAGGGAAAGGGAGTCTGGCTTGCCCAGGAGTCCTTTAAGTAGCGCAGTCATCACTGGAGATGCATTAATGTAACAGGTGCCTCAAGGAACACAACCACGCAGGCAGTGCGTGAGGTGGGGGAGGGCGCACCTGACGGGTGAGGTGGGGGAGGGCGCACCTGGCGGGTGAGTTGGGGGAGGGCGCACCTGGCGGGTGAGTTGGGGGAGGGCGCACCTGGCGGGTGAGGTCGCCCCTGATCTGCACTGTCATGGCGCGTGGCACATGCCCCTTGGGCACCTGCTCTGCTAGCTCCTGTATGCGCGCCTGCATCATTGCAAGAGGGGGGGCACATGTGACATGCTGTTAGAGGCCACATGTGACATGCTGTTAGAGGCCACATGTGACATGCTGTCAGAGGCCACATGTAACATGCCGTGCCATGGCACCCAGGCATGAGAAGGAGAGCTGAATCCTCAACATGTGCAAACAAGCTGAGGGCCCTCAATGTGCGCGGGAAGGGACACGAAGGTAGCTTGAAGCGTGCACTCCACCATTTACTTTTTGGGAACCACACAAATGCACCACACGCTCACAGCAGCCTATGCTCACAGCCTATGATCACAGCCCATGCTCACAACCCATCCTCACAGCCCATGCACATCACCCCTTACTGTCAAGCCATAAATGCACAGTATAGGCCCAATAGATACCTCTTGGAACTTCTGGAACTTGGAGCCGCGAGTGTGCAGGTGCAGCCTGCCCCGTGCGTTGTTGGTGCGGCAGCGCGTGGACGGGCACTCAAACAGTGGCATGAACGTGCGTGCTGTCACCTCCTGCCAGGCCCAACACACACAGCACAGAATGAGGGGCACAACAAAGCAACAGGGGGTTTAAGGCAAGACGGTTGTGGGTACAGAGACACTTGGGTAGGTGTTGAAGCACGCAAGTGGTCACCTGAAACCAGGGGCTCGTGGGAGCAAAGCATGGACTCACAGTGTCAAGATGACATGTGCGCGAGGCATCGGATGGGGATGTGCCGGCCTCGCATGGCCCCGACTCGCACCTGGTAGATCTCAAAGCCGCACTCATCGCACGTGTAAGTCGCAACCTGCAGCAGCGGCTTCACGTCCGTGCAGCGTGTGACGATGCCCTTCACCACCACCAGCCGGCCTATTTGCCCCGCCCCCACCTCGCGTATCGCCTGCGCCTTGCGCTTCGGCTCCGGTACCAAGTGCAGGTCGCTGTGGAGTTGAGGAGGATGGGAGGGAAGGGGGAGGTGTGGATTTGAACACAGAGATGAAGGGAGGGTAGATTTGAGGGCACAGCAGAGTTTGGTTCACGTTCCGTAAGGCTGCAAACCCTTGATCAGAAAATTTGGTTGTGTGCGATGGTTGACACACACACAGAGGGCAAGGTGATGGTGGTTGTGGTGAGGTGACGATGAACCACGGGGAGGGGAGGAGCACATCCCAGCGTCCACCGCTGGCACTCACAAGCGGCGGCGCAGCAGGGCGGGCAGCTGGAAAAGCGGGTCGACGGCGGCCACAGCAGCGTCGCCCTGAGCGAGGTTCTCCGCGTGCTGCTCCGCGCGCTGCCTCATGAGCACGTCGTACACGTCCTCCTCCCTCTCCTCCCCACCCCCTGCCAGGGATGGCTCGGGCATGAGGTCGTCTGCCGCCTCGGCAAACAGCGTGATGTAGCGCCGCGCGTTGCTGTAGATGCGCGCTACCAGATCGTCGTTGCTGCCACTGCCGTACTGCGAGGGGTGTGGTGTGGGGAGAGGGGAGACGGGAAAAAGCAGAGTGGATATGGAGGGTGTTTGGGGTATGGGGGAGGGAGACTGAGGCCCGAGGAATGGGCAGAGCGAAGACACACATGCGGCAGAGTGAAACGAGAGAGCAATGAAGGGAAGGAGAGAAAGAAAGGGAATGGGGTGATGATGGGACGGGTTGGGAGGAGAGGAGGGGTGCTGCTGACCACAACGAGGTCTGCCATGTGGATGTTGATGACGTGGAGCTTGCGATCTGCCACATCTTGCTGACAGGGATGGGCGAGGCATGAGGACAAGGGCAAAGGGTGTGAGGCAGGCATGGAGAAACGAGGAGCAGAGAGGAGAGTGGCGAGGAGTGAAGAGCAAAAGAAGCAACGGAGATTGAAAATATGAGACCGTGGTGAAGGGCAGCAGCGGAACGGAACGTGGTGGCATGGTGGAGAGGAGGAGCATGTGTTGCCAGCAGATTCTTTAAAAGAAAATGCTTATTCCGGCCTGAAACAGAATGGATAGACTTCGAGGCACGCGTTGAGTCTGAGCCACTCACCAGCAATCGCATGTACTTGAATATGCCTTCCGCATCGCGGTAGTTGCTGAGAAACTTCCTGCACTCCTCTGTGCATTCCAATGGAGAGGGGGAAGACGAGGGGTGAAGAGGGGAGCTTCAGAGTGGAACGGCTGGCGAGAGATGAAAAGGGAAGGACAGAACGGTTGGTAGAGAAGGGTGTAGAAGAGCGGAGAGAATGGAGAGGAAAGGAAGGGGGAGAGTAGACTGATGAGGTAGAGCAGAGAGAAGGCGCACAGCAAGCAGGAAGGAGCAAGGCGCATGAGGACGCGAGCAGACACGGCGCGAACGAGGCAAGGCGGCGATGGGGAGGACAAGGAGAACGCGAGACGCACACTTGGGGCTTGCGGGGAGAAGGTGAGCATGCAGACAGGAGAATCAGGATCTGGATAGCTCGGAAAAACAGTGTGGAGACGATGCGTTGAGGGCAGTAATCCAAATGGGAAATCCGGTTTGAACGGGATCACCTTTATCTTCCTTGAAGTTAGGGTATTTCATCGCCATGGCGACACGATAGCCTGCGAAGCGGTGTCACTTCATTAGCCTGATCGAGACGACAGTGGGTCTCTCGTTTCGAATTTGATCGAGCTTGGCGGGAGCCAAAGCCGAGCAGCGATTCGTATCTAGATTTGATCAAAGGAAGCGATTCGTCATAGCAAACCTGATATCAACCGATTTCAAGGAATATCAATACATTCTTCCTTATAACCTATATTGTGGTTTCATGCCAAGAAACAAATCGCTTGTCGAACAGGGCAATACAGCTTTAAGGGTGTTGCTACAGCACGCAAAAACGAATTACAATTTGCAATCCTTGTGACTAGTGCAGTGCATTCATTCCATGGTCGAATCTTCAGCCATGAAACAAGGTGTTACATCAAACACTATGCATATCCTGAGCTGCAAGGACACCTTTGTCCTACATCAAGTGTGCATTTACTCTTCCTCCTCATCATCGCCATCATCACCGCCCTTCTTGGAGGCAGCCTTGAGGTTTCTGCGCTTCACACGGCCTGGCCTGCCACCGCCGAACGGGCTGGTCAGAGCGAAGTCGATGTGCTTCTGGCTCTCAAGTCGCACGAGGAAGGACGGAATGTTCACAATCTGCTTCCCCACCCTGAAGACATCACAATCATGAGGGCACACCAAACCGTGACACAACAATAAGATTTAAATGCTTCAGGATCTAGAAATAGCAGGGAAGGGCAAGTCCTGAGGAGGTAAGAGGGTCACGTTGTGAAGATGTGAAGGAGTGAAGTCGTGAAGGGAGTTTAACAGTCACGTCGTGAGCACAGCAGCGGGAATGGAAAGGGAGCGGTGGACTTGGGGGGGTCGTGAAAAACAGTACGGAAAGGGGTTTGATGCGGCTAATTGGTTACCCCTCGTCACCGCACATTCCGTACGGATTCTTAAGACGACGCAGTCGTGCTTATGCACTTCTGAGAGCGCGGGCGCGCTTGCATTGGGAGCAGGAAAATGCGCACCAGTTGCAAAACTGCGCTTTTCCCTAAACTGTCGGCTTGCAGTCTGATTCAGGTTCACACGATACAATGAGAACCGCCCTAAAGAATCCGAGGACAAGGATCTAGCGAAAACAGTCTCACAGATAAGCACGACTTTCGACTTATGATAAAGAATGCTGCAAAGAAACACGCTCGACCTGGCCCAAGAGGCAAATGCGTACCGGATGTGGCGCTGGCGGATGAGGACACGAGCGTGATGGATGGACTTGGCGAGGCCGGTCTTGAAGACGAGGGTCTGAAGGCGACGCTCCAGGAAGTTCTCGACAGTCAGGGCGAGCACGTAATCGAGCTTGTTCTGGCTCTCCTCCAGCAGACCGTAGCGGTGCATGCGGCGCAGAAGAGCCTCGCCCTCAAAGATGCGGCGAGTGCTCTTCTCGTCGAGCGTGAGCAGCTCACGAGCGTTCTTACGAATACGCGAGAGAACATACTGCACGCGCCACAGCTCACGCTTGCAACGCAGACCATACTCTCCGAGCAGCTTCAGCTCCGCGTCGAGCCGTTCCTTCTCGAACGGACGACGAGGCCTCTTAAAGGTCTTGCCATCTGCAGAAACAAACGAAGACAATCGGGTCAAGCACTGCTCGACCAAAAAATGACAGTCGGTCGGGTTCAGTCCAGCATTACCGCAACCATGAAGTCTGGTTCACCTAATCCTGGTTTTCTGATAAGGGTGGAGTAAGACTATATTCGTAAAAGACGCCGTTCCACGCCATGCAGAAAGATATGACTACGCCCATTAGTAGCAGGCCACTATTGCAAAAATCGCTACCCGATTAAAAATCATCTCCGAAAATAACAAGAGCTGTCAAGAATTAGGGTATGTTGTTAAACTATGTGTTCGCGCCGCAGTTCGCACTATCGTAACACCAGATCCAAGCCGTTAACGAAAATCTAAAGTTAACCATGCCAGAGTTCTATCACTCACAGTTGCGATAGAAGGCGACGTGGACCATGGCTTCCTAGTAGGCTGCCTGCAGCCAATCAAGAGCCCTAGAGAAACCCCTCAGGACAAACTGGGAAAAGGAAAGGGGAAGAGGAAGTGAGGAGCCTTTGAGAGGGAAAAAGAGACGAGGTGCTTCATGACGACCACCACGAGACGGAGGCAACCGTCAGAATCAGCGAAACATATCGAGTTTCGCAACAAAAGGTGTTACAGGATGATATGGAAATTACCAACTCCAAGAGTATGTTATGGTGTAGCCATTTGAATTCAAAAATATCAACCCGTCCCTCAATCCACATCCATCCTGCCTCCCTGGTGCGTATCTTTGAAGCCTGTTTTAGGAGCCGCCTCAGCAGCGTCAGTGGACATTGTTGAGACCACCAGAAGTACACCACTTCGCCATTCGCGGCCATGGCAAGTGAAGCTCCTTTGCGCTCAAGCCTCTCAAGACTATGTTCCCTTCTTTCCGAGCTGCGGTCTTCTGGTGACGCGTCAGAATTGCAGTGCCCCCGCAGCCGATGCCTTGAACTCTTGGGTTTTGTGCGTGCCTTCGATAGCGATTTGTCAAGCGCATCTCACTTCAGTGGCATTCGATCGGACGTGCATCAGCATTTGTCCTCTTGCCGATCTTCAGACGACAGGTCGGCTGTTCTTTCGTTAATAGACATAGCATAACCTTCCTTTCTGAGTTTGAGGCAAACTCATGAAAGTTACATGTGCAGCGATATTCTGCTTCAAGCTGGCCAAGCTGATCTTAAAATCAGTTTGAACGAGCCATCGCGCGGCATTTCTCTGAGCAAGCTGACAAGACTTTCGCCGTACGATGAGCTTGTGTGGGAGGATGACGAGGTCTGTGATTTCTTTTTACTCATCAATATGATTCTTGCTCGCTCGCTACTTATAACTTCTTACATATTTTCGTTACTGTTCACTTCAGGAGCCAAGCAACAATGCGCGTATTGCCATTTCAGGAGGTGCTGTTCCACTTGCTGGTGTCCAGCAGCTGCCGTTTGTAGCCTCCTCTGGACAGACTGAAGCAACGCCGCGAGATAAGCTTACCTCTGCAATGAATGCACCGCCTTCAGCAAAGACTCGCAATAGCTATGCATCAAATCTTAGCGCTCAACCGAAAAGCTCTTTGCCTCCACTTCCAAGGCGACCATCCTACCAGCAGGAACGTAATCAGCAACGGCCTATTTTGTTAGATGACGACGTTTCAGAAGATTCGGACGAAGACGTTTCCTGGAAGAAGCCACAGCGGGCCAATAAACGTTACAAGCAAACCCGTTTGCTGGCGGATGATGATGTTGAAGATGTTGAACCAAGGTCCAAGTCATCGTTTCTTACAGCAAGCGAGAAGCTGGTATGCGTAACTTCAATCATTTGCTTCTGTGGCAACGTGTATTGCTCTTGTAACACCACCGTTTTCCTCTCAAACAGGCCATGAGCTCCTTAAAGAAAGGAATCGACAATGCGTCAGCCAGGTCTTCAAAGGCACCGTCCAGGCAGCATGGTGTACATGATCCCGCAGGGTCGAAGAGAGGAGTTCGTAGCGGCTTCGTTTCTCCTGTTCGGACATCACAACAAGCAAATGGCGGCACTTTGCCACGTCAAGCAGCCCCCAAGGATCCGGGGATGAACGAGTCAACCTTAAAATGGTCAGTTTTTGTTTTTGTCGTTGCAATCATGCTTCAATGGTCTTAGGCTGATGCTCGGGTTGTGCAGTTTGGAAGAGCTACAGGACGAGGACGGGCAATTGCCTGATGTGCTTAAGAACATTGAACCTCGCCTGATAGAGCAGATTTGCAATGAAATCATGACACAAGATACAAAGACGCGATGGAGTGATATTGGTGAGTGACAGTGCTGTTTAATTTAATTGCCTACGTTGTGCGCTAACAATGTTATTTTTCCGTGAACTGCAGCCGGTTTGGAGCATGCAAAGCAGTGCGTGACTGAAGTTATAATATGGCCACTGAAGCGACCTGACTTATTTCGAGGCACCAGAGCACCAGTTTCTGGGCTTTTGCTGTATGGACCACCGGTGAGTAGCTCAGACATTGAACACACGGCAGTGGGGTAATACACACACTTACTGAACCTGACAAGTCTTGACGTATTTCTCAACTTTGCAGGGAACAGGCAAGACCTTGATTGGTAAGGCTATTGCTGGTGAAACAAATGCAACATTTTTCTCGATATCTGCCAGTTCCTTGACGAGTAAATGGGTAAGTAAGGCTCCCTGTCTGCATATTCGCTTGAGAAAAGGGCTCCTTGCCTGCATGTTCGCCTGAGAAAAAGACTCCTTGCCTGCAGCATATTCGCCTGAGAAAAGAGAGGCTGGTGTATGACATGGCTTATGCGAATTGTGTCTCCCTCATGTGACAGATTGGTGAGGGAGAGAAGCTTGTGCGAGCTCTTTTTGGTGTGGCGAGCTGCAAGGAGCCTGCTGTCATTTTCATTGATGAAATCGATTCTCTTTTATCACAGGTAAGGATATTTTCTACCTGTTGCCAATATTCATCTGGAGCTGTGGAACTTATAGTCAAGACTCCCATGTTTGTTTTTGTATCTTCCCTTGTGGCCAGCGTCAATCAGAAGGCGAGCATGAGTCCAGCCGCCGGCTGAAGACCCAATTTCTCATTGAAATGGAGGGATGTGGGACAGGAGATCGACACGTTCTAGTTATTGGTTAGTAGTGGGACCCGTTGCCCCTTGTTATTCTATTTTTCCTCCCTATTCTCCATCAGCTTTTCCTCTCAATTCTTCACCTTCGCTCCCCCTCTCTCTCGTCCTCTTCTTTCCTATTCTTGTAGTTTCTCTTCCTCCACAGCCTTGTTCCCATTGATCCTTTTCGAACTTCAGCGTTTTATAAATGCGTCATTGTGAAGTGTCGTGCTGCCATTGGTATAGTAGTGATGGCTTGTTCCTGCTTATTGAGTGTGCAGTTTAGGACCCACTACCAGGAATATATAATCGCTAATTTTTTCTTATTCTCACTGGTTTTCTGAATCGTTCCAATGCAGGAGCAACAAATCGTCCGCAAGAACTCGATGAAGCAGCAAGGCGGCGTATGCCCAACCGGCTCTACATACCTCTTCCAAACAAAGGTTAGCAATGGCGGTTTGGTTGGCACAGGTTTATTTTTAAATGTCTTTTTGATGTTGCTTTCTTCTCCTGCACTGCGCAGTTGCAAGAAAAGAGATTGTTCGGAACCTTCTTCAAAAGGACGACATTCTGGCACTGTCGGAGGCAGACATGGACGCCATTGCTGAAGAAGCAGAAGGTTTGTCAGATATGGACGCCATTGCATCTTTTAACCTGTCATTCAAAGTCTAGATACGATTCGGAAATGTCTTGTGCAGGATACTCAGGGTCAGACATGCGGCACCTTGTTCGAGAAGCAGCCATGATGCCGTTGAGGGAGGCTGCTCTCTCTGGTCGGATAGACAAGATGGAAAAGGATGATATCAGACCTGTTGGTCTTAAGGTGAGGTCTTGTCTAAGTTACGTCTTGTTTGGGCCTTGGAGGAAGCGGTTTAATGCGTGACGGTTGCTCTTCCAGGACTTTCGAGATGCATTACAAAGGGTCAACCCTTCTGTGGCTAACAGCGAGTTGAAAGCTTATGAAGAGTGGACAGCAAAGTTTGGCAGTGGCAATCTGCAAGTGCAGGCACCTGCATAACTGTGGAGCTGTCAGTCTTGCACAGCTTGTGGAGATCTTGCACAGTTTTATAATCCCAATGTGCCAAACACTACAGTATCATTTCCAGTGGTGTAGTTTTTTTTTTTTTTTTTTTTTTTTTTTTTTTTTCCCGCAAATACCGTACATGTAGGAACAGTGCCAACAAAAAAGTACAGGTACCAGGACTAGAATCGGGTCATGTGGCAAATATGGTACATGGAAACATTGCTGTGCTATGCCAGTTTTTCGCATGGCTAGTGCACGAACTGACAAGCTGTTGGAAGTTATGGTATATGCAATATGGACATTGTGCCACATCCCTGCTCTATGACAGAGCTTCAAGAAGATGAGAAGTACTGACCACGGCGGAAAGGACAGTAGCAAAGGCTTGATCATATGCGATGAAGCCAGTGAACCAGAATGAGAAGTCGTCTTCTGTAGTGAGCCGAATGTACTTCTCATTGTCATCAGATGGGTTGGCTTCAGGTGCCACTCCTGTTATCTTGTGCAACGGAATGGTGGCCTAGGAGAGACAATTGTACAGGTGGGGTGGAAAGGAGTTGGGAAGGAGGGGGATGGAGGAGAGGGTTGGAATGTGTTCTATCAAATCTGAGGCATTGATACAAACAAGCAAACTGGCTCACCACAAAGTGGCTCCTGGCAATCTCTGTGGGGCGCCCCAGCGGATTGTACTCAAACTCGGCGTCCGAGAGGAAGCCAATGGACGCAGTGGTGACGACTAGTGTGCCAGGAACGGGCCCCACGCTGGTGAGCAGGTTGCAGTAGAAGTAGAACAGCAGCTTCTCGTCCGGTGGTGCCCAAAAGTGCTCCCGCCACAGCGCCTCCGCTCCTGCGTGCGTCAGGAGGGTGGGGTTGCCCAGCTTGCCCACTGCCGGCGGAGGAAGGGAGGTTACATTAGGAAAATGAGATGTATGTGAGAGGGAGCACGTCAGGAAGCAGTAACAGTGTGCAAATTAAATTCGCACCAAAAATGCATACGGTATGCGTGCCATGGCAACATGCATCGCGTACGTGCTCGAAATCGCTTATTCCCTTGTGACGTATCGAACTACAACTGAAGCTTCAGAAATCAAGTCACGCGGGCATACTATGAGTGTAGAGGTTAGAAGCCATGTCTGTTGTCTGCTTGCCAAAGTCACTTATTGTCGAGACCATATCCCCAAACCAACCTGTGCTGCCTGCGAGGTGCGCGTGAGATTGGGAGGGAAAAACAGGGAACGGAGAAGACGTAAGGTGGGCGCATTCGAGAGGTAGCAGAATTAAGAGAGACGCGAGAATGGTGTGGTGTGGCGAGGTGAAGAACGCAGGGGGGACAGGAGCGGAGGGATGAAAACGGACGGGTGCAATCAGCCGCAGAAAGGAGTGGATGAAGAGACGGAGAAGGCGGACAAGGGGGGAGGCGTGGAAATACAGTTGAGTGAGAATGGCGGATGGGGGGCCTGCGCACGGCGGCGGGGGGAAATGGGCGGGAGTGGGTATGGCGGGGGGAAATGGGCGGGATTGTGTATGGCGGGGGGTATGGCGGGAGTGGGTATGACGGGTGGGATAGAGCAGAGGACGTGATTCGAGGAACAATGTGCTCGCGAGCGCATGATGAACGGGTTGAGATGCTAACGGCGGAAAGCTTGGCACGGAATTCTGCCGCACTGCCTTGCTACGCCGCGCGCGGAGCTCAGATCCACGCCGCGCACAACATCGTAAGAGGGCAGCGCGCCGCGGTACCTTTTTTATCGGACGCCATGCCGCGGATATGATTTGGGGAAGAATGTCGCACGGTTCACGGGAAGATGGGGGAAGAGGCGGATGGCCCGCGTGCGCTGGTCCGGCCGGAGCAAGCAGCGCAGACGCGCGGATGAGTGCAGGCGGCAACTGATTTGCGGTTATGCGCTGGCGAGACTACGTCGGAAGGCTGTGACGGGCGAGGGAAACACCTCTCCAGCCGTAAGCTATTGCTAGCAAGGCAGTACGCGCCCCCAGGAATGTGTCTGCCACCAGGAGGGATATAGCGTGCTTCACCAAGTGGTGCGGTAACAGGTGAATAAAATGCTTAGTTAACTCAAACTTGCATTATGATGTCACTGCACATTCTTGTGTAGTCTATTGTTGCCTTATGGCCCTCTACATCAGGCACAGCCCCTTACCAGATTTCATAACTCTTTCTGTACACTTATTCTATTAAACTTCAATGAACATACGGTAAACATGATCATCTTGACTTGGTTGGATAGCGTGCAGATGCCAACCCATTTTGCCTAGCAGTCGGCGTCCAACATTGGCCTGTACTGATACCAATTCGAGTGGGACAGATTGGCTGTGTCCGCTTGAGCATTCTTCAGGGGCAATTGTGCCATGTGTCATTCATGCCTGCATGCAGTGCTGTGTTATGAACTGCGCATAAATAAATTAAGATCTGTCGAGCAAGCTATTTCTCTGGCTTGTATACCACTGCTGCCTGAGAATTGTGTTGGAACTAGTTATGGTTGTCACCCAGCCATGGAAACGAGCGAGTATGGTTGAATAGGAGAGTGTGGTGTTGGAGCAGACGACTTGGATGGGAGGTGACACAACCCATGCAGGCAGCAACTTGGAAAGGATTGAACGAAGAATCATGTCAATCGCTGACAGCGCCTGCTCCACAGTAGAAAGACAATTCGAAATGAGTGAAACAGGACGTGTGCGTGGCATGGTAGATGAGCAACATGCTCACATGGATCAACATGCTCACATGCAACAACATGCTCACATGGATCAACATGCTCACATGGATCAACATGCTCACATGGATCAACATGCTCACATGGATCAACATGCTCACATGGATCAACATGCTCACATGGATCAACATGCTCACATGGATCAACATGCTCACATGGATCAACATGGCAGTGTTTCACTTACAGAGTAGAGGTTGCTGATGGGAGCACCGGCATCTGAGAGGTCAACCAGGGCATGGCCTTCTGGCACCTGAAGCACACAAGGGGATGGCGGGTGGGGGACGAGGGTGGGATCAAGGGCGCAGCAGTAGGTGGAAACGCTAGTGCCTTGCCAAGTAGCCATGCTGCACCCGACACCGTCAGTGCATTCTTTCACCCCTCCTGCTATGCGGGCACAGTGCCGTGGCTCTCACCTGAAGAGCAGAGTAGCGAGCAAGCATCACCGCAAGGTGTGTGCGCAAGTGCTGCGGTGATGCTGCACACATTGCTCTGCCTGCCTCCGTCCTCCCCTCCTCTGCCCCCGCGCCCGCTCTTCTCTCTGGTGCCACTCTGCCCCCCAACCCTGTCAGCCTTGATAACTTCTGGACGAAACGAGTGAAGGACCAAGCCAACCTGCTCAGAGCACAAGACCCCTTAGTGCCGCACTGCACCTCTTGCTCTGAATCCACCCCTTCATTTCCTTCTGTGCCCCAAACGCTCTGAAGCAGCTTCCAGGTGGTCTCCTTAGTGTATGGAGGAATCAGGGTATCCCTACATACCACCTCCCCCAGAAGCAGCCGGGCAAGCACTGTAGCATCGGTGATGGCGGCGTTGCAGCCCTGGCCCAGGGATGGACACGTGGCATGTGCTGAGTCGCCGATTAGAGCGATCTGGGCGGCAGAGTCGTGATACTGCCAGCACTTGATCTGATTGTGGGAAGGTGTGGTGCGGGAATGGGGGATGGCAGCGGGTCAGGATAAGAGGAGGGCAGGTATGGGGTGGGGACCGTGGGGAGAAGTGGGAATCCGGGCAGGGAGGGAGGAGGTTAGGAGGGGAGAGAGGCAGGGGATATAAGTGGAGGACAACAGGTGAAGGGAAGCTTGGAATTCAATGGCAGGAAGGGGCGGCAGAGAGGGCTTGGAATTCAAAAGGAAGGCCCAAGATGAGAGGGGAGGCAACCAGGGATGCAGGAAAACAGAGCAACGGGGAAGAGAAAGAGAAAGAGAAAGAGAAGGGCCACTTGACTCTCACAGCACGTGTCTCACCCTCATTCGACTCTCACAGCACGTGTCTCACCCGCATGCTTGTGCGTGGCTGCTGGTTCAACAGTGTCTCCGCCCCGTCCTCTGTCATTCCCAGCCATGGCACTCTCTCTTCAATGTATGCCCTCGCTCTGCTTCTCCTGCCCTCCTGCTTCACCTGCCCCCCCTTATCGTCTCCCCTCTCCCTCCCTTCCTCCCCCTCCCCATCTGCTTCAACCACCCTGTCTGCATTTCCACCGCCTCCACCCACACTCCCTTCAGCCACACTCCCTTCAGCCACACTCCCTCCAGCCACACTCCCCTCAGCCACACTCCCTTCACCCGCTGCATTCTCCATTGCACCAGTCACACCCTGCTTGCTACCCACGCTTTCCCCCACCTTCCTTGCGTCCGTCCTCCCCACCGCATGGTCCTCCCTGTCCTCATCATTGCTTCTCAGCGCCAACCACTCAGCAGGCCGTGCCAAGGCCGACCACGCCCACAACAGACAAAGTTTGCCGCCCTGTGCTGGGAGCCCCACCACCGATATGCCAGGAGTGCGGGGAACCTGTATCAGTGGGGTGGGGAGGATCGGAGGGAGGCGGGGGTTGAGTAGGGAGCCCCACCACCGATATCCCACACCCTCCTCTTGCGTTGCGAAGGGTGTGGGACGGGGGATGCAGGCAGCACAACACACCACAGGGATGCAGGCAGCACAACACACCACAGGGATGCAGGCAGCACAACACACCACAGGGATGCAGGCAGCACAACACACCACAGGGATGCAGGCAGCACAACGCACCACAGGGATGCAGGCAGCACAACACACCACAGGGATGCAGGCAGCACAACACACCACAGGGATGCAGGCAGCACAACACACCACAGGGATGCAGGCAGCACAACACACCACAGGGATGCAGGCAGCACAACACACCACAGGGATGCAGGCAGCACAACACACCACAGGGATGCAGGCAGCACAACACACCACAGGGATGCAGGCAGCACAACACACCACAGGGATGCAGGCAGCACAACACACCACAGGGATGCAGGCAGCACAACACACCACAGGGATGCAGGCAGCACAACACACCACAGGGATGCAGGCAGCACAACACACCACAGGGTGCCGTCTGTGCGAATGGCTGGTGCTATGCTGTCTGGGAGATTCCATGAGTGCGTGGCAGCCACCCCCACACCTATCACGCCACCACTGTGCCTCGTTACATCCTGGGGCGCCTTCAAGGCATGCAGTTACATGGTTACCACTTACCCGTGGAACAAGAATCATGGAGTTGGGGGGAAGGGAGGTGGGGGCAGGGATGGAGGCGACGGCCCACTCCCCAAAGAGCGGCAGTGCCTCCATGGCGAACCCCCCCGCGCTGCTCACCAGCGCGCTCCGCACCACAGAGCGCACCCCATCCGCCCCCACCTGTCATTGGCATGGCATGGCATGGCATGGCATGGGATGGGATGGGATGGGATGGGATGGGATGGGATGGGATGGGATGGGATGGGATGGGATGGGATGGGATGGGATGGGATGGGATGGGATGGGATGGGATGTGATGGGATGGGATGTGATGAGATGGGATGGGATGGAATGATACAATATGACATGATATGCTCTGATATGATCTGATATGATATGACACCTGACATGAAGGACACTCGAACCAAAAAAAAAAATCTTGGCGCAATTAAGCACGTGAGCTTGCACACGCAGGGTGCGGTGGGGGAAGAGGCAGGATAGGGTGGGGTGGAGGAACCAGGAGGTCTAGCTGTGAGTACCAGGAGGTCATAGCTGAGCTGGGCTGGCGGGTGCTGCTGCAAGCGCTGGGCATCCACACCAGCTGGACCTCGAGTCTCGCTGCTCGCCACGCCTGCTGCTGATGCACCTGCCACAGCCACAGCCCCTCTCACCACGGCTCGCCGCTCTACCGAGTCAGCAGGCTGCAAGCGGGTGCGGTGCGCCGCATCCCCGCCCGGGGCGGGCTGCAGGGTCACAGTGTGTGCATTGATGTCAATGCCTGTGCACCGCATGTTGAAGAACAAGTCCAGTTTTCCCCGTGATGACCCGGCGCCATGCGTCACCGCACTATCCCCTGAGCCGGCCTTGCCTGCCACACTCTCCCTTCCTCCCCTTGCACACATCTCCTCTTTACTCTCCCCGTTATCCCTCACTGGCCGTTCCCCATTCCCCTCCCCCTCATGCTCCCCGTTGCCCCCAACTGGGACCCCTGCGTGCGCATCCTCCCCCACCAGCGCGTGCAGCAGCGCACAGCAGAGGGCCGTGCGGTCAGCCAGCAGCACTGGCGGGTCCTGCAGGGTGGAGGCGGGAGGACGGAAGGACGGAGAAATGCTTGATGGAAGGGGCTGGTAACACATGATTGGTCATGGTAAGGGAAGAAAGGGGGTGAAAGGGGACGAAGAGGGTCAAATGGCTGCCTTGCAAGGGGCGTGCATGGGAAGCGAGTGGGCTCACCTTGTGACTGAAAGGGATGACTGACGGCTTGGCAGTGATGGCAATGCACAGCTGGCGCACGAGAACCATGCAGGCCAGCACCTGGTGGTGGGTGGCAGGACGAGGGCCAAGTGAAGGCAGGACAGGACCGCACGCAGCACCAAGGGGAAAGTCACTGCGCCAGGTTAAACAGTTTTTCGTGGGGAATTACAAGGAAGGAGTAACAGTGCCCGCAGAAAGCGGCTGCATGCATACTATGGACTATGGAGTGGACTTGAAGCCCCTCTGCCTCTGCCTTGTCCTTTGCTTCCCACTTGAGGCGATTGGAAGGGCATCCCGGCCCGGGGGAAGGCAGCATTTCATTCGTTAAGGCGCAGTGGGATTCAATGGCACTGTCGCTCATCAAACGCACGTGGGGGTCTTCTTGCGTGACCCACTCTACCATGACGCACCTTCTTCAGCAGCCCAGGGACGGCATCAAGGCATCGAAACGCTCGGATGTTGAGTCCGATGGAATATCTACGGTGGAGATGGAAGGGAGAGAATCGATGTGGACATGAGAGGTGGGAGAAGGGGATAGGAGGGAAAACGATGGGACAGAGTGATGGGTACGTGAGTGATAATTCCATCATGATATCGGCCAACCATACCCCGCACTCAAGCACTTGGCTCTTCCCGCCGTCCCCCTCTTCCCCCACCCCCCTCCGTCTCCCCCCTCACCCACCCCACATTCCCCCACTCCTTGCCCAACGCCCTCCCTACACCCTGCCACTCCCCCCAATGCGATCAGCTCACCTCCCCAATGCGATCAGCTCACCTCCCCAATGCGATCAGCTCACCTCCCCAATGCGATCAGCTCACCTCCCCAATGCGATCAGCTCACCTCCTCGCGACCTCCACCGCCTCTTCCACCTTCTTTCGCGGGTCCTCGCTCTTCTCCACCACACTTACGTGGAACCTACCGCCGCCACGTGTCAGCAGGTGATTCGCTAGAACTAGACCTGCTGGGCCCGCACCAACGATCACCACGCGGAACAGGTCCGCTCCATCACTCCGTCGCTCCATCCCGTCAGCCTCACCAAGAGCAGCATTTCCGCATGGATTTTGACGAGAAATCACGGATTGGGAAACCGGAGGAGTCTCGTCAAACGCGTCTCCTCCTATCTCGGAAATGTTCTCCAGCATTCTGCCGCCTTCGATGACCTCTGGTTTGGGCCGACTTGCTTCAGCGTTGCTTTGAAAAGGCACGCACACACCTGCTACCGTATTTCAAATCGCTTACAATCAGAGTCTTCATATATTTCAGCATAAAATGCGGTTGCTTCAGCTGAGGTAAAAGTCGTCCTCAAATTGCCTTCGAACTTGACTGGGACGATGAACCACGCGCTATGCCCACCACCACAATCTTTGATGTCTGTCGTGCGGCCTGGTCGGAAAGATTGACTACGCTTTAAAATGCTGCGATAAAAGTAGTGGTTGAAAGTAGCTGGGCAGAAGGTTTCACTATCGCTACATCGTTTTATTTCCATCACACCTTGATCCAAATAGCCGACTATTACATCTTATGCTGAGGGCATACAAAAAGCACACATTGCGTACAACTTGGGGTCCACGCATGCATAGTGCTGTTGTCCTTCTACCATTGTTTACTATAGTGCATTGTGGCAGTATCAAACCATAGCTCAGCATAGCATGCCATGTTTCTAGAATTAACATAGCTCCTACAACAAAACCTTATTTGGCACTATGGACACCTCATGCATTGGTTGGACACCAAATACTACGACATGGGAATAATTCATATACCTACATAAATAGGAGCCACCTATACACACCTTCAAGACTGCTACATTCTGTGCATCCGCCACCAGGCCCCACCACATCCCACCAGGTGCCAGCAGGTGCCACCAGCTACACCATGATCAACTGAGCCCTGACGCCACACCAAGACCACCACAGCCGCCTCCACCTCCTCCTCCTTCAATCTCCCCTTCCCTTCCCTCCCCGGCCCTCTCCCCACTTCCAAACTCGAGCCTTTCCTTCCCAACCACCTCAACGTTCGTCCGCCCTGCTCTCACTCTGAGCCCTCTCGTCCCCACCATCAACCACACCGCGTCGTCTAGCTGAGTGCAGATCATCCCTCCCCTCCCTTCATCCTACAGCCTCACTTGCATCTCCTACATCAATCTCACCGCCTCCCCAACCCTCTTTCCCCTTCCCTAGTTCTCCTCCTCCCTTCTCATCCCTCACCTCTCACCTCCACACCTCCCACCACCTCCTCTCTCCCCTTGTTGAACCTCCACTCCCCGCCCCCTTCTCCTCCCCCACCCCTCGCCCCTCCACCCCTGCTACTGCCCCACTCCCACTTTGCCCTCCTGCATTCTGCTCATCCTCATCCCTCCCCCTGCCGCCATCCCTATGCCCCACACCGCGCGCACCACTCACCCCACCACCAGCAGACTGCAGGGAGGGCGAGATCCACCCCTCGCCTCGTCCTGCCATGGCCGCCGCCGCTGACTCAGCTGCACGTGCTGCCATGCTGGCACCCTCCTCATCCACATCAGCACTGACTATTCCCTCTGCCACACTGCCATTCCCATTGACCCCCCTGTCTCCCTCCGCCTTCCCTCCCCCCTCACCCCCAACCCTATCAAACCTCTCCCCACTCATCCCCGCCCTCCCATTCCCATATCGCCCCTCTCCAACCCCTCCCTCCCACTCCGCCTCCCCTCTCAACGGGCGTGCTGGGGCATCTGAGCGCGCCCTGCCACGCCACACGGGGCCATCCGGCACGGAGGGGCTCTGTCTCCCTGAGAGCGACCCCGGCTGCATGGAGGGGGAACCCTCCATCATGCCCCACACATCCTCAAACACCTGAAGCGCCTCCCTCCACTCAAACGCCCCCTCCACCCCTTCCGCCCGCTGCCCCTCTGCCCCTCTCCTCGCCACGGCACTCTTGCCCCGTCCCTCCGCCACCACTGCTGGCGTCACCCTTCGTATCTTCTTCCTCCCCCCTGATGCCTGCTCCCGTCCTCCTGCTTCTCCCCCTCCTTCTCCTCCTTCCTTCCCGTCTCCCCCTCCTTCTCCTCCTTCCTTCCCGTCTCTCACTCCCTCTCCTCCATCCACTCTGTCCCGCTTCCCCTCCTCCGCTCCCTCTCTTCCACTCTCCCCTCGCCACAACTTCATGCCTCGTCTCACCACCCCTGAAAAACCCGTCCGCTCCCTCTTCCCTCCTGCCCCTCCCCTTCCATTTCCCTCGTTCCTCCGCCCTCCTTCCCCACGTTTCCCATTCCACCCACCCCTCCACCACCCTCCCCTCTGCCTCACCCCTCCGGTCCCACCATCCGGATCATCACCATCATCGTCACGCCCCTCCTCCCCGCCCTCCGCACGAGCCTCTCGCTCGCGCTGGCGGCGCCGGGACTCAGCATCGGGCAGCAGCAGGCGGTAGCGCTCCACCAGGTCCTTGGGCTGGGGCAGGGCTCGGCGCGGCACAGCCATCCACTCGTCCCACTTGGGCAGATCAACGGACGACAGGTCCAGATCGATGCGCGACAGATCCACCTTCACGCGCTTCTCCAGCTCAGCGCCCAGCTCCAGCGCACGGGCCGCCTGCGCCAGCCGTTCCATGTCAGCGCGGATGCTCGCCAGCTCAGCAAGCACGGAGAACTCCTTCATCTTGGGAAGATCCGACAGCCTCGGGAGCTCCGCCAATCGGTTGACGTCCTTGAACAGCGCCACCTCGAGCGCACGCGCCAGGTCAGACAACTTCGCCACGTCACTGCTGAGTCGCTCCAGGTCAACGACACGTGGGATCTCGCCCACCCTCACGTTCTCCAGGATCCTCATCAGCTCCGGCGGAGCAGCCGAATCCGCCACGTCAGCAACGAACCGACGGAGGCGGGAGATGGTAGCGAGCGCATCCGCGCCCTCCCCGTCGCTCTCAGCCTCGCTGTACGGCTGGTCGAAGGTCTCAACGTCCTGCTGGTCGTCCTCCGCCACGAACGCCTTGTACGTGAGGCGCATCTTCACCCGCCCACACGCCTTCTGCCCCACCGGCAGGCGCAGGCGCATCGGCACCCACACGTCCGTTGGTACCGTGTCCTGTAGCGCGTCCAGGCGCACCTGCAATGGGCAAGAAACAGGAGGGCAGTGTAGACGAGAGGCGAGATCGAGGAGAGAGGGCACAGAAGAGTGAGAGGGAGGAGGGGTTGTGCAGCGGAGCCCACACGTGTGTTGGCAGCGTGTCGTGCAGGGAGCCCAGGCGCACCTGCGGTGGGACAGTGGAGGGGCAGGAGAGAGGGGCAGCACAAGTGGCTTCGAAATGGAAAGTCAGAAGGTTCACTTGCAACGACTCACTCCATGCACACTCCTTACCATCCCCCGCCCCCCTAAAAGTGCCCCCTGCCCCCTCACCGTGCTCTGTTCCCGCCTCACCGTGCTCTGTTCCCGCCTCACCGTGCTCTGTTCCCGCCTCACCGTGCTCTGTTCCCGCCTCACCGTGCTCTGTTCCCGCCTCACCGTGCTCTGTTCCCGCCTCACCGTGCTCTGTTCCCGCCTCACCGTGCTCTGTTCCCGCCTCACCGTGCTCTGTTCCCGCCTCACCGTGCTCTGTTCCCGCCTCACCGTGCTCTGTTCCCGCCTCACCGTGCTCTGTTCCCGCCTCACCGTGCTCTGTTCCCGCCTCACCGTGCTCTGTTCCCGCCTCACCGTGCTCTGTTCCCGCCTCACCGTGCTCTGTTCCCGCCTCACCGTGCTCTGTTCCCGCCTCACCGTGCTCTGTTCCCGCCTCACCGTGCTCTGTTCCCGCCTCACCGTGCTCTGTTCCCGCCTCACCGTGCTCTGTTCCCGCCTCACCGTGCTCTGTTCCCGCCTCACCGTGCTCTGTTCCCGCCTCACCGTGCTCTGTTCCCGCCTCACTGTGCCCCCTTCCCCCCTCACCAAGCCGTGCCCAAAGTCCACGTAGAAGAACCCCAGAGACCCTGGAGCTTGACGAAGAGGCGGTGCAGGGAGGGTGGAGCACGACCAGCACTTGCTAGCGTCACCTGCCCCTTTTAACGTCCCCCCTTCCCTCAACGGGCCCTGCCCTCTTCACCGTCCCCTCCCCTCACTCTTCCGCCCCTCCCATGTGCCCCTCCCCTCCTCACCGAGCCGTGGCCAAAGTTGACATAGACGGCCAAGTGAGCCGCGGAGCTTGACAGAGAGGCGCTGCAGCGAGGGGTGGAGCACGAGCAGCAACAAGTCCTGGTTCCATGTGGGGTACCCCGCCCACCATCTCCCCCCTCACTGTGGGCTCCCCTCTCACCATACCCCTTGTCTCACCGAGCCGTGGCCAAAGTCGACGTAGAAGAGCCCCAACGAGCCCCTGAGCTTGACGGAGAGGCGCTGCAGGGTTGGGTCGAGCACGAGCAGCACGAAGTCCTGGTTCCATATGGGGTACCCCGCCGGCCCCACCAGCGATGTCTCGCTGTTGCGCTTGCTGCGCGCCACCTGCTGCCCCAACTCCAACACCACGTAGGGATCGCTGTCGCCTGAGGGAGAGGGGGGAGCACGGGGGGTGATGGGAAGACAGGACCCGTTGACTCCCGCCTCACCACTTCACCGAGTGTTCTTGTAACGAGCAGTCCACAAACGAGTGATTCCACACCATGACAGGTGAGGTCGTACCGAGGGGCAGGTTGATGACGCGCTGGGCGGCGATGACCGTCACTTGCAGCTCCCCGGCGAAGCCCAGAGTGCCGCCCGCCACCTGCCCCTCGCGGAACTCGCGGTGGGCGGGGTCGGGCGGCAGCGGGCGGTCCTTGAGGAGGTCCACCTCCTTGCTGTTGGGCCGCAGGAAGCGCGCCGGCAGCTCCTCCGTTAGCAGCGCCTGCAGGTACCTGGGGGGATAACGAGGTTGCAGGAGCGGAGGATGGGGGTTGGGGGCGAGTGTGGAGGCAGCACGGGACGGGTGCTTGGGAGATGAGCTGTTGTTTTGGTTTGGTTCCGATCGCCTCCTGGGCGCAGGAGGCCATTGCGAGGGGCTGCTCTGGTGGGGCTGGCACGGCACGTAGGTGGTGGGCGTGTGTTGTGGTTGGGGGTAGAGGGGGCGTGTTGCGCGGACACATGGGGAGACGAGGAAAGGAAAGGAAGAGAGGAAAGTGACGAGAAATGGGTTGTGAGGAGGGGAGTGAATGAGGTGGCATGTGGCAAGGATGGGCGAAGTGCACGGAAGGAAGGGGATTGCAACAGGTGCATGCATGGGTTGCAGCACAAGAAGAGGATGGGCAAGCACGCAGCAAACATGCACGCTGACAGGCAGTGAACGAATCTGAAACGGACAACGCCAGCATGAGAGCTCTTGAGACGTTTTGCATGGCTCACCTTGAGAGGAAGGGGATTGCTGGTGGCGAGGGCGATGATGATAGCGGCAGCGATTGCAGCAGCAGGGATGGCATGGTGCAGAGACACAGGAGAAATGCACAAGTCACAAAGAAAAGGAATGAGATGCTTTTTGGACTCCACAGCTCCCCTCACGATCGACCAGGCTACAACACCATGGGCATACATCCATAGCGGAAGTCAGTGAAGGCATAGTGTGAAACAGAAGGTACAGTCTTATCCAACCACGCCTCCATGCACGTGGATGGGCGCGAAGAGTGCGAGCACACATTGTCATGGAAGGGAAGTGGCTCTACATCGCCGTTCATACGGCTGTCAACTCTGCATCGAACATGCACCCGTCACAGCACATACACATGACACACAGATCACATGCCCATCACGCACCCATCATCCACCCATCACCCAATCCTCACCCTCCAATGACCCACATATCATCCACAGCACGCACCCATCACCCGTTCCTCGCCCACCCATCACCCGTTCCTCGCCCACCCATCACCCGTTCCTCGCCCACCCATCACCCGTTCCTCGCCCACCCATCACCCGCTCCTCGCCCACCCATCACCCGTTCCTCGCCCACCCATCACCCGTTCCTCGCCCACCCATCACCCGCTCCTCGCCCACCCATCACCCGCTCCTCGCCCACCCATCACCCCCCCTCCCCCACCCATCACCCGCTCCTCGCCCACCCATCACCCCCCCTCCCCCACCCATCACCCGCTCCTCGCCCACCCATCACCCCCCCTCCCCCACCCATCACCCGCTCCTCGCCCACCCATCACCCCCCCCTCCCCTCCCCCAGCGCCCACAGCGTTCACCCATGAGGCTGGCGACGCAGAAGGGAGCTTGACCCTGGGCATGGCCACGAACGCCCAGGTGACTTCTGAGTCGACTCAGAACCCATCACATGCTCACAAGATGCCCATAACGTGCCCATCCCACGCCCATCACGTACCCATGAGGTTGACGACGCGGAAGGGCGCGAGGGTGAGCTTGACCTTGGGCATGGAGACGAAGGCCCACGTGAGCGCGCCCACCCACGGCTCCACGGGGATCAGCTTCAGGCGCACCCACACCTCGGCGTCCACGTCAAAGTTGCGCACGCCCACCGGGATGGGCACGGTGAGCGGGATGGCCGAGAGGCCCATGCTCACGTCCACGGGTACCTCGAGTAGCATGCGCATTCCCCCCGTGTACCGCACCCCCACGTGGTACCTGGGCCGAGGGGAGATGATAAGGATGGGGATGAAGATGGGCATGGGAGTGGGATGGTGAAGGGAATGGTGTGAAGGGGATAAAAGGTGCGGTTGTGAGGAACGGGTCCCAGAGTGCCATGTCATCACAGGGAGTGGCATTCATGGTGGAGGTGGAGGTGCCACAGTGAGGGTGAAGGTGAAGGACGTCAATGGCATGGTTGGTAGAAGAAGACGGAATGCGAGTGGATGACGGCACGATGTGCCATGGCGTCTGCGGCGATAGATAGTGGTGAAGAGCAAGACACAGTCCGATGGGCTGGACACTAGTAGCACCATGCCAGTGCACGGCACCATAATCACTGCAGGTCATTGTTGCGACAGGATGTGCGCCTCTCAATGGAGCACAGTGACGGAAGCTCGTCCCCCGAGGAAGAACTGCTTGATGCGCACCATACACCATGAAACCACTTACTACCACACTACACCACTGCTCTATCGCTCTGCACCGCACTCACTGCAGGTCGTTGCCGCGCCTTGAGGTGCGGCGCTCAATGGAGCGCAGGGAGGGCGGCTCGTCGCCAAGGAAGAACTGCTTGATGCGCACGCGCTGCACGCCACGTGGCTTGGGCGTCTCATCGATGAGCGGCTGCAGGATGCCCACCATCCACCGCTCCAACCCCGTGCGGTAGATTCGGAACACCTGGAGGGGAGGGGGAGGGAGAGGAAGCGTGTGGGGGCATAACTTACAAGCCTTACAGCCACCTGCCTGCAGGATGCCCACCATCCACCGCTCCAACCCCGTGCGGTAGATTTGGAACACCTGGAGGGGAGGGGGAGGGAGAGGAAGCGTGTGGGGGCATAACTTACAAGCCTTACAGCCACCTGCCTGCAGGATGCCCGCCATCCACCGCTCCAACCCCGTGCGGTAGATTCGGAACACCTGGAGGGGAGGGGGAGGGAGAGGAAGCGTGTGGGGGCATAACTTACAAGCCTTACAGCCACCTGCCTGCAGGATGCCCACCATCCACCGCTCCAACCCCGTGCGGTAGATTCGGAACACCTGGAGGGGAGGGGGAGGGAGAGGAAGCGTGTGGGGGCATAACTTACAAGCCTTACAGCCACCTGCCTGCAGGATGCCCACCATCCACCGCTCCAACCCCGTGCGGTATATGCGGAACACCTGGAGGGGTGAGGGAAGAAGGGAAGGGGGGGAGTGGGGGAGAGGCGTGTGTTTGTAGGGCCACACCTTGAGAGCCTTGACCTGACAGCCACCTGCTGGAACGATGCCCACCATCCAGCGCTCCAGGCCATGCAGTATATGCGGAACACCTGAGAGGGTGGGGGGGAAAGGGGGATAGGGGGGAGAAGGCGTGTGGGGGGTATACTTGGAGAGCATGGGCCTGACAGGCACCGGCGTGCAGGGTTCTCCCCATCCACGGCGCCAGCCCTGTGCGGTAGATGCAGAGCGTCTGGGTGGGGGTGGGGTGGAGTGGGTGAAGACTCAGCATGTGTGTGTGTGGGTTTCAGGGCATGAGCGTGGCCTTTCATGGACTCCAACCTTTGCTTGCGCCCTGCATTTGACCCTATACGTCCAGCCTTGACCTGCATTGACCTGCCTAGAACAGAATTGACCAACGATGACCGGCGTTGACCAGCATTGACTGGCAATGACAGGCGTTGCCTCGCGTTGACCGGCGTTGACGGGCGTGGACTGACCTTGCGCAGCAGCATGTTGACCCACTCCATGGGCTCCTTGCGCCGCACGTCCACCTGCTGCCGCGTCGACGCCACCGGCACAGGCGGTGGCAGGGGCGACGGCGCCTCCACGCGGATGCGCTCCGGGATGTCAAAGTGTGTCGAGCCCCTGCCAGGCATGGGAGGGAGGAAGGACGGGAGGGAGGAAGGGCGGGCGCATCAGCAGGCGGGACATGCATGAGAGGTGCGCGGGCATGCAGGCAGAGAGGGCGCAGCCCAGTGCATGTGCCATGCTCCATCACCATCCCTCACCCAAATGCCCAACCGCCACCTCACTTTCTCACTGACACCCCTCACTTCCACGTCCCCCTCCTCAGCTCACCGTGAGTCCTGCTGGAACTGGTACCACCACTGCTCACCGTGAGTCCTGCTGGAACTGGTACCACCACTGCTCACCGTGAGTCCTGCTGGAACTGGTACCACCACTGCTCACCGTGAGTCCTGCTGGAACTGGTACCACCACTGCTCACCGTGAGTCCTGCTGGAACTGGTACCACCACTGCTCACCGTGAGTCCTGCTGGAACTGGTACCACCACTGCTCACCGTGAGTCCTGCTGGAACTGGTACCACCACTGCTCACCGTGAGTCCTGCTGGAACTGGTACCACCACTGCTCACCGTGAGTCCTGTTGGAACTGGTACCACCACTGCTCACCGTGAGTCCTGCTGGAACTGGTACCACCACTGCTCACCGTGAGTCCTGCTGGAACTGGTACCACCACTGCTCACCGTGAGTCCTGCTGGAACTGGTACCACCACTGCTCACCGTGAGTCCTGCTGGAACTGGTACCACCACTGCTCACCGTGAGTCCTGCTGGAACTGGTACCACCACTGCTCACCGTGAGTCCTGCTGGAACTGGTACCACCACTGCTCACCGTGAGTCCTGCTGGAACTGGTACCACCACTGCTCACCGTGAGTCCTGCTGGAACTGGTACCACCACTGCTCACCGTGAGTCCTGCTGGAACTGGTACCACCACTGCTCACCGTGAGTCCTGCTGGAACTGGTACCACCACTGCTCACCGTGAGTCCTGCTGGAACTGGTACCACCACTGCTCACCGTGAGTCCTGCTGGAACTGGTACCACCACTGCTCACCGTGAGTCCTGCTGGAACTGGTACCACCACTGCTCACCGTGAGTCCTGCTGGAACTGGTACCACCACTGCTCACCGTGAGTCCTGCTGGAACTGGTACCACCACTGCTCCACGGCCTTGATGAACAGCACCACCACCACGGCCGCGCCCGCCAGCTGCCCGCGCGTGACAGGGATGCGGTCCAGCACGGGCGCCACCACGCTCACCACCGCCTGCACGCCCCACCCCGCCGTGCGCAGTGCGCCCTGCGCGGGGGGCGGGAGGCTCCTCTCCACGTCCTCCGCCGTGTGCTGCACCACCTTGGCGATCTCCTGCTGCTTCTCCTGTATAGTCACACCCACCTCAGTCACCACCTGCCCCACCTCCGACACCACGTCCTGCAGCGTGCTGCTCACCTCCACGGCCTTGCCCTGCAGCAGCACCGCGCGGTCCTGAAGGCTGCTGCTCACCTCCACCGCCCTGTCCTGGATGCTCGTACCCACCTCCACCGCTCTCTCCTGCAGCTCCACCGCTTTGCCCTGAATCCTGCTGCCTACCACCACTGCCGTGTCTTGAATCGCCCCTCCCACCACAACTGCTGTGTCTTGTATTGTGCTGCTCACTGCCACTGCCTTATCTTGGATCGCACCCCCCACCACTACTGCCGTGTCCTGTATCGTGCTGCCCACCGCAACCGCCTTGCCTTGGATCGCACCCCCGACCTCCACGGCGCGGCCCTGAATCACGCCGCCCACCACGGCGGCCGTGTCCTGGAGGGAGCTGCCCACGCCGTACGCGCCGCCCTGTATCCGACTCCCCGCCTCCATCGCGCCCCCCTGCAGCCTGCTGCGCACTGCTGATGCGCGCCCCTGAATGCCCGAGCCTAGTCCCTGAATGCCCGAACCTAGCCCCTGAAAGCCCGAGCCTAGCCCCTGAAAGCCCGAGCCTAGCCCCTGAATGCCCGAGCCTAGCCCTAGCCCCTGGAAGCCCGAGGCTCGGTTGAGGGACGGCATCCGAGTGAGCGAGGTGGGAGGTCTCCACGAAGCTGCCCCGCCCTGGCGGGCAGCGGCAACGCGCTCCACAGCGCGCACGCTGCTTGACGCCTTGCGTGCTCCCTCCGCCTGCTCCAGCTGCTGCTGCTGCTGTTGATCCTGCTGATGCTGCGCACTTGGCCGTTGCACTGCGGTTTCCCTTCCATCCCCCGCCTGCTCCCCGCTTCCCACTGCTCCTTGCATTCCGCTCATCTGCGCTCCTCTTCCCGTCACGCCGCCTCCCTGCCTCGCCGCGCTCGCCGCCTCGCTCTTCTGCGCTGCCCTTTGCGCCTTCCGCGCATCCATTCCTTGGTCCGCCTGCCCATCCTGCCGCGTGAGAATGGACGACACTGCCACCCGCCGGCTTCTTCCATAACCGCCGATCGCAGGGATGCGTGGCGCGGTAAGGAAGAAGGGGGATGGTGCAGCTGGGAGAATCGGTGAAAAGTCAGGGCGAAGGAACGGTGTGACTAGATGGCGGGTGGGAGGATGCCACTCAGGGTAATGTCGCCCTCTGAATGCTTCTGGCCGAAGTAATGCCGTCGTCTGTGACTGTGAAAGCGATGCCATGGCTGGCTCTCCGCTCCCTATCCATTTGTTATTAACCAGCCATTGCAAAGCAATCAGTGGTACGAGAGATGTCGTATGTTGTGCACGATCCAGACTGGTGATTCCATGGTTGATCGCAACCCAATATTCGTTGTTAGCACGCGCAAGCGCCGACGAAATGGGATGAGTGACAGCGGAAGGCAAGTATACAGGAACTACAACTACATAACTCGAGAAATAAAGCGATGACCAGTTGCTGATGAGAGGGAAATCAGTGTCGAGAATGTCCGACTGCCTCCCGTTCGAGCCTGCTCTGACAAAGTTGACAAAACCCAGCAGGTTGGCGGGAAACTGAAACTGCACCGAGTGCTCTGACATTCGCTGCAAGTGACGTGTTGCCACGCTGGAAACGAACTATCAGCCAGCTCAGCAGGAGAGCTGGCCTCGTCGGGCCTGCACGTGTTTTTTTTTTTTTTTTTTTTTTTTTTTATGTCATATACACTATAAAGCGCATACAAACATTGACAGTCGTAACTGTGGCTGATGGGCCTAGACAGCACTATGCTGCCGTACCCATCTCGACCCTTTAGGGGGGACGGTAGATCGTGCGCGGGTTAGCCCAGATGGAAGTGAAACCATGCACCCACGCAAGCGACTTAGCTGTGCTGTCACAAATTCTCCCCATCGACCGGAATTCGTCCAGGTCCAGCGGCTCCAAGATTGAGCGCTGACCAAGACCCTCTGTACCACCTGCCCGATTTCCTCTCCTCTTTGTCCTCAAGTAGACCCTCGCGTGTGTGTAGAATGCTGTTGCTATCCTCCTCAGGACTCGTCTGGACCGAAATTGACCACGGTCAAAAGCTGCATCACACCTCTCCACCCATAGCTTGTGTAGAGCAATAGCAGTGATGGTGGCCTCTGGGAAACCCGACCTTGTACCCTCTTTTTGGAACAGCAAGTCCCCCAACGACTTTATTTCTCTGCTGGGGTTGAGCAACTTAAACGCCTTCAGAAGCCCCTGTACCACTGGCTGGATGCAGGGGCAACTGAACAAACAGTGGTCCGCCGTTTCCTCTCCACCGCAGTGCGGACATAGCACCCCCTCCAGGAAGCGTAACCGCACCCCCACCTGGAGGTTGCGGCAGTGCAGCCGGAGCAAGACATCCCGCGCTCGGCTCGGCAGGGCTGGGGAGTCCCGGACCTTGATGATGTTGGCCCAATCCACCTTCCCACCCCATTCCTCCTCCCATTTCGCATGCTGACGTGCCTCCCCCCTCTGCACCTCAAACAGGTCCCGCAGCAGCTTGAAGGGGGGAATCTGGTCCTCCGCGCAAAGCTCCGAAACCCTCAATCTTACTTCGGGCAGCCCAGCAGTACCGACCACCCGACCTTTCCGAACAATCAGCGGCTGCACCCCGCGCAGGCTCAGCGTGGCAACCCTCTCCGCTCCTCCTTCCAGGGGTAGCCCCGCGTAGTCGCATGCTCGGCACACTAGCTCTCCGTGCTCCACCTTGTCAATTTTCCAGGCTCCAATGGCTCCCATCACCTTCACGTGCTCCGACACCGCTAACAGCTCCTCCCCGGTGAGTGGCGCGAGCAGTTTTTCCTTCCACGATTCCGGAACACAGCCGAAAATTTTCAGCGCCCTTTTTGCCTTCTTCTTTGTGCCCATCTCCCTCGTCAGAGTCTCCAGAGTTTTTACGGACCTCGTCCCGTCACCTGCCGTGGCGATAAAGTCCTTCAGTCTCTACAGCTCCAGACCCTGCGCCGTCTTCTGCTTCCCCAGCGGCTTCTTTCCGTTCGGCAAGATGTGACGGTTGAAGATGAGCGGTTCTTGCTCGATATCCCACCTCGACTCCGGCTCCCGCAGTGCAACTTTTGATTTCATGAAAAGCTCACATGTCTGCCGCCATCTGACGCTCCTCCCCTTCCATTGTTTCAGGGAATCCTCGTGCGCTAGGAAGGATTTGAAGTCCTCAGGCAGGTCAGCCGCCGCCAGCGCTAGCTCCTTCCGAAAACCGTTCTCGAGCACAAGGGTCGCAACGCGCCTTGCTGCAAGACCAAAGAGCTCCACAAAAGGGTCCCTAACGCCCAGCCCGCCTTCCTTTCTCGGCCGGAAGATCAGCTCCCTGCTCCAGAGCGTGAAGCGGTGCTCCTCCGATGCCTGATTCCCGGAGATGAAATTGACCAGTAGTTTCATGATCCGCTTCCAGACTGCCTCCGAGGGGGGATATACTTGCCCCTGAAACGCCAGGATCGGGCATACATAGCAGTTAATCACCGCCACGCGCGCCGTCGTCGTCAAATGGTGAGACTGACATTTCAGCAGTTCCTCGGCCGCCCTGGCCAGCGTCTTGTCCCATGTAACCTCCGCTCCTCCCGAAGGTGAGACCCAGACCCCCAGCAGCCTTTCTGCATTCTTCGGAGCCACCTACGCAAACGCTGACCCATCGTCTTTGACACGTTCCAGGTTTTTCCCCAGGGGAAGTATCGCCGATTTCTCCTCATTGACCATGAGCCCCGAGCGAGCCCCGAAATCCTCCAGGAGCTCTCCAGCACGAGTAATCTGCTGCTTCCCTTTTAATACCAGAGTGGTGTCATCCGCGTAGCCTAAGTAGGCCAGCCTTTCCCCATAGTCGTTGCTGATCCCTATTTTCCTCCTCTTTGCTTCCTGGCACATGGGCTCTACCGCGAATAGGAAGAGGTAGGGCGCCAGCGGGCACCCCTGGCGAACTCCTTTGCCCACTGCGACTTGGTCACCTAGCCACCCATTGACCAGCAGCCTCGTGAAAGACCCATCATGGAGCCCCCTGCACCACCTGACGAACTTCTCCGGAAAACCCATGAGCGACAGAGTGTCAAACAGGTACGTGCGGGAGACCGAGTCAAACGCCTTCTGAAAATCCACCATTAGGATATACCAGTCCTTGTCCTTGTTCTTCGCCGCCTCGATGACGTCCGCTACCAGCGACACAGCGTCTGACAACCGCCTGCCCGGGAGGAAGCTGCACTGCTCTTTAGAAATGACCCTGCCCAGGACACTCTTCATCCGGTTGGCCAGCAATCTCGCCACCACCTTGTAGGAGCTGGTGAGCAGAGTAATCGGCCTGTAATTTTGTATCAACTCTTTCGGGCCCTTTTTGTGCAGCAGGACCGTTACCGCCTCCTGTACCTCCACCGGCAAAGCTGCTGTGGACTCGAAGTTCCTTATGAATCCCATAAAATCTTTTTTCAGCAGGTCCCAATGGCGCTCGAAAAGCTCCTTCGGCAGCCCATCACTTCCAGGAGCCTTGTCCTTCGCCATGTCCTTCAGTGCTTTCAATACTTCCTCTTCCGTCCAGGCCCCCTCCAAACAGGCAGCCTCCTCCTCCCTCAGTGTTTTGCCAGGCTCCGGCTTCCAGCACGGCAGCCCTGAAGGTGGCGCTTCTGCAAATAGCGAGGTGTAGAAGTCCGAGGCAGCCTCCAAAATCCCCCTCGTCCCCCTATGCTCCGTCCCTTGATATGAAAGTGCTGCAATTGAAGTTTTCGTCTTCTTCGTCTTCACCTTCGCCGAGAGGACCTTGGACGCAATTTCCCCTTTAGCGAGTTCTCTTTCCCCTGCCAGCAGTTGCAGTCTGTCATTTTCCCCCCGCAGGTAAGCTTCCAGTTGGGCTTCTTTCACCGCCAGCTCTGTCCGCAGAGCATCATTCTTGGGATCGCGCATCACCCCGTGCTGCAGCATCGTCACTGCCTCCTCCAGGTGCCGCAGTGTTGCACGTATACGTTTCCGTTCCTCTATGGTATACCTTCGCAGCGCCAGTTTGAGCTTGGTTAGCAGGTTACCGAAACTTCCGGAGCCTCCCGCCTGGTGCCGCACCGTAACCGCTTGAATCACACGCTCTGCTTCCGGCTTTGCTGTGTCGGCTGCAGGCATGCGCCACAGTCCAGGCCCCATGTGAAGACGCAGACTCGCCTGCAGCACCACCTTGACCCCGAACTTGTGATCCGAGATCCCCTTCAGTGGCCGGGGATGAGACGCCTCAGCCACTGACGGGAGCAGCTCCGCCGACACCAGTATTCGGTCAATCCGCGAGCTTGCTTTCTGTGCACGGGAATAGAAAGTGCGTTCTTGACCACCCGGGTTCAGCGCGCGATACGCATCCACCATGTGAAGGCCACTGAACATCCGGAGCAGACGGTCATTCTCTCCCGATGAGCCTGCGCCTGAAGATTTATCAAGCACCGGGTCCTCGATCAGGTTAAGATCACCGGCCAAGAGAAAACGGCCCCTTCCCCCCAAGTTGCTGACCAAGAAAGGTTTCAACACGTCCGTGAAGAAAGTCTGACGACAGCAGGCACTCGACGGAAAGTAAGCCGCCAACAATGTGAAGCTGAAGGTATCCCATCTGACATCCGCTTGCAACAGCCTGCCAGATGCGTGCGTAAAAACATTCTCAAAGGTGAGTTGGCCATTATTACTGATGATCGCCACCCCCCCCGCTCTGTCCACGTTCCCGACGGCAAAGCAGTGTTGGTATTTCATGTCCTTCCAAAAACGGTGGTCTTGCGCAATACGCGTGTCTGTGAGCACAAAGATGTCAGCACTTCTTCTGATCCAAGTTCTTAAATTCCTCTGCTTCCCTCTGCTCCCGAGCCCATTCACGTTGAGCTCGCATATTGATAAGTTGCAGGGTTTATCCATTAATCAACCGTGCAGGAGCCCCATAGCATCCACGGGCTGAGGTGAGAAATCTGAAAAACCACGCGTGAGCACTATATAGCCATGCATACAATGAGGAACAACGGCATCGTGAGTCTAAACTACAACTCCTTCTCTCCTGTGCAGGGCAACAAGCTACAACCCGTACTCCTTCTTCAGCACCCGAAGGCTCAGCTTGTCCTTGAGCGCGCGCGTAGCTGCACTCGGCTTCGTCAGACCCCCACGGTGCCGCTGCGAAAGGGCATGGTGAGCCGCCTGCTCGAAGGACGAGCCTTTCCCCTTCTCGCAGCACTCCAGCAAACAGACCCATTCCTCCCGGTTGCCCGCCGTCGACACGAGAACCAAAGCCGGATCCTTGAGGATGATCTTGGTCGCAACTAACGCTACTGTCGCAGCGGCTGCACGCACGGGAGGTCGGCACGCAGACGTCAGACAACAGTCCACAGTGTAAAAATTCAGCGCGGAAAGGTAAGCAACAAACTTCTCTACCGTTGAGCTCATGGACCCTCCCCACTGTGAGGTTCCACTTGGTGATGTTGCTCTGCCGAGTGGTAAGGAAGTCGTTGTGGTTATGCACAGAGTGCATACCACCGCAGAGACTGCACTTCAAAGCCGGGTAGTGAACCATGATCCTGGCGCCAGGCGAGACCGGGTTCTCGAAAAAATGCTTCCAGCGGAACTTGTCATTCTCAAAGGCCACCACCAACCCCTTCACCCGATCCGTGTCCAGCCCCGAAACAGGGTTAACCACTCGGTGGAAGCAGAAGCCGTCCTTAAAAGCCGGGCGTTGGCAAATCTTCAGGGTGGACTTAACCAGCGCTTCATGGAGCAGCTCAGGAGAGATCTCCACAGCGACCCCGATAAACAGAACTTCGATAACCTTCGGATCCAGCATCTTTCGCCGTGAGTAGCTAGGATCCTCCGGGTATTGCCAGTCAAAGGTAACATACTTGCCGTCCCTACAGAGGTGATCCACCCCATGACGCCAAACAAAGTTCGCATCAGCAGCGTTAACAAAAGTAACTTGCAGACGACCGAATAACTTCTTGGAAAGGTAGGCCGGTGTGAGTTCCTGACACTTGGTCGTCACAGCCGCGTTCTCGGTAAGATCAAGCTTCCAGAGCAGTAGCAGGCCTTTAATTGTCGCCTCCATGAACGGTAACTCCTGCAAGTGCTCGTTAGGAATCAGCAAGGTAAGCGGAAATTTCAGCTTTGCAGCAAGTTCCCCTTTCGCCTTGTCCTCGAAACCCTCATTGGGGTCATGCGCAACCAGGCCGTCATCGTCGTCATTCAAGAAGGCGTAGCTCGAAGCAGAGCCTGAAGCTTCCCCTTCGTCTTCGTCAGCAGCAGGTTCGCCTTCTGGGTCATCCGAGACCGCATCCTTAAAATCTGCAGCCTTCTTCTTGCCATTTTCCGTCTCTTTATCACCCCCTGCAGCTTGTTCAATCCGGATCGCCGCAAGCTTGGCGGAGAGTGTAAGCGCGGACGTGTGTTCTTCATCGAAGAGTGCACGCGACGACTTCGGCGGAACAGCAGTCACAGAAACCGGACGGTTAGTCGCAGGCGCCGGCGTCGAGGCAGCAACGGAGGCTGCAGGAGCAAGAGGTTCCATTCTAGCAGCTGGCTTAGCAGGCTTCCCTTTCGGAGGCATGACGTGATGATGAAATAACCACCACCGCCAGTACAATGTTGGTAGATCAAAAAGACTGAGCCTCTTAAAATAGCTGGAGAGGCAAGCCTGATGAGCCGTTGAAACAGCGTAGCCTGGTAGAACACTGCACCATGGTAACGACAATGGACCTTGGGTCTTGCATGTGGAAACGCCAGCCTTGTAAAAACCTAGGGAATAATAATTGAAGTTAGATCCAGAAGCCTTGAGAGTTGTTGCTTTCAGGGAGAAGGAATCAATGTCATCTGTGTTGACATCAAAAGCATATCCTCGTATTCCCTGTTGAAAGGCGATTCTCAAGATGCGCTTATTGGAGCTTGCAACATAGTGGAGTCCCGACATTGAGAGCTCCGAAGTCCCTGGTGGCAGCCATGGTGGCCTTGGTAGCTCCAGCATTGTCATTGTCAACATTGTTAACGAGATACACTGTCACGGACATCCGGGCCTGCACGTGTGTTTCATGTTGGCGCACACAATGTCGTCGCCATTGTCGGGCGCGATTGCAGGAATGAACCACCCAGTTGAGTACAACTTCGGCTCCTCTACAATACTTTACCTTCATTCCAGAATTCTTATGGAACATAAAAGAAAGAGCAATCATGGATAGTTTTCCTGAATCATTTTGGCACTTAAATTTACTGGAAATCTTTGGGAGACCCTGAGACCTAACTAGGAGCTCTTGAATTTGCACGATTAAGACTGTCTTTTTGGAGTTCATTAAAACTTGGAAACTGTTGTACTTTCTTCCACGAGAGCACATATATTGGGTTCTCTCTAAGGTAAGTGCTATTCGCGTTATATCAATTTGATCACCCACGATTCGTTACGTTGAGCCAGTCGCCCCGCCACTACAATCAGCCAATGACAGACCGCTAGAAGCTTGTATGTCTAGCGCGGCTATATTCCGATCGTCGCGGTTACTACTCGTTGCAGACGAACGAGACGAAGCATTTGCGTGCGGCTACCTTCCTGGGATTAGCTTTCAGTTGCTGCTACGCAAGTTAGGGTTGCAGGGGAACGACTCAAGAGCAAGGGTTCGCGTGGTGTGTCCATGTCGACGGCGTCAGGTGGAGGGCGAGGAGCGTGGGAGCCCGGCGTGGTGGGCGAGATGCCCTGCTCCTTCGCTCTGAATATCTTCCCCGAAGGCTTCTCCATCGACGTTCCCACGCAGGTTCGAAGCAGCTGTTACGAGTACGGTACCGCAGTGTAGGAGGCATTCTAGACTCTTCGCTGCCTCGTTAGGTTTAGTCCTTGCAATGCGCCATTTGGCCTGCGTAGAACGCACGCCTTCCCGCTCCCGTTCTTGATCGCAGGGTCAAGCGTGTAGCTTGGCGTCATGACCGTCATTCAGATGCTCGATTCCCGTCGCTATCTAACCACAGTTACTAATCCGTTACTTCAGTTTGTCGTTTCCAATCAGCGTCCATCGCATTGCACAATCGTATCCCCCCGATCGCTCTCTCCTCGTCCGTCCCGCGTGGCGCGATGTCTCGCAGGACGGCCGCCCTCCGCCGCGCCTACCGGAAGCGCTGGTGGCGAAGCTGTACCCGTACGACCGCTCCACCGAGTCGTTCCTGCAGGTGAGTCCACGCCCGGCCAATGTGAGCTCCGTAACCGTGTCTGTACACCCCTCAGCCCGCTTGATTCTCTCTATTCCATGCGTCAGGCTTCACGTCACAGCAATCGTGAGCACGCTGCTTCGGCTTTCAAGTTACCTTTCGCCTTCTTCCGCCATGCGACCCACCAGCGGTGCGTGCATGCATGCGTGCGTTGATGTGTTGGCGTGTGTGTGTGTGCAGGCGATTGACACCGGGCATCTGCCCGGGGACCTGCTGCACGACATCCCCTGCATCTACCGCAACGGATGTGTTGCCTGCGAGGTGTGACTGGATTGCTGCTCCCATGCGCCTGCATTTGTAGCGCAGTGCAACACTTTTATTTTATTTCGACTCAACTATTCACACACCGTGCAGCATACAGCACTCACCATGCATCATGCATCATACATTATGCGTGCGCATTATATAAGCCCCTCCCCCTCCCACACCCCCCACGCCTCCCGTCCTCCCTCCTCCGCCATGCGCCCAGGTGCGCGACTACCGCGAGCTGGCGGAGGGGCGGGGTGGCAGCATAGCGCGGATCCCCCCGGGGTCCTCGCCAGCAGCAGCAATGGAGGCAGCGGGGCGGCGGGCGGGCGAGGGCCCGGTGAGGACGTGGCGTGTGGTGCTGCGACCCACGTCTGAGAGCATTGCGAAGGACGTGGCCGCCATGGCTGACGCCTCCTGGTCGTATCAGGACATGCTGGTGGGTTGGGAGTGGTGGAAAGGCGTGCTGGTGCGTGCAGAGTGGTGGAAATGCGTGCTGGTGGGTGCAGAGTGGTGGAAAAGCGTGCTGGGGCGCGCAGAGTGGTGACACGTCATGCTGGTGGGTGCGGAGTGGTGACAGTACGTGTACGGGGGCTGCTCGTTGCTGGTAGTGTCCGCTGTGCCCACAAGATCTATGCAATGCTGCAAGATTGTCTTATTTCCCACTCTCTCCCTGCCTCCCTCTCTGCTTCCCTCCGTACCTCCCACCCTCCCCCACACCAGGAGGTGAAGGCACGCATGTTAAGGGCAGTGCAGTCGCCGCTGTGTCTGGATCCCAGCCCACGCGTGGCCCAGGTGGCGAGGCAGGAGTACATTCACAGGGCCAATGCAGTGCAGTGCTATCATCTTATTCACCCCTTACTCCCTCCCTTCGCTCCCTGCCTCCCTACTTCCCTCCCACCCTCCGTGTGCCCCTACCAGGAGGTGGAAGCACGCATCCTGAGAGCAGTGCAGCCGCCGCTGTGTCTGGACCCCAGTCCGCGCGTGGCCGAGGTGGCGCGTCAGCAGCATTTCCACAAGGCGAAGCTGAACGCCGTGCCGCCCGCGTCGCGGCACCGCGGGCTGCTCAAGTACCGGCGCCTCGCCCTCCCCCCCGCGTGGGACCCCCTGTCGCCCCTCCGCCGCGCCGTGGCTGGGGATGCTGTCGCGCCTGATGATGGCGAGGCGGAGGAGGAGGAAGAAGAGCGAGGGGGTGGGAAGGGGTCCGCAAAACGAAGTAAGCGTTGGGGATGGTGGGGGATGGGATGCTGGGGCATGGCTTGGCTGGTGCCCTGACACGTGTGGCTTGAGCAGGGGTGGGGTTTTCTGTGCTTCTTTCATTCACAGGGCGGACTGATGTTATCTGCATTGCTCCCCTCTCTGACATCCTTCCTCCGCCCCTCTCTCGCCCTCCTCCTTTTCTTCTTGCAGAAGCAATGGGAGGAAGTAAGGTGAAGAAGGGAAAGAAGAAAGCAAGGAAGGGGCTGGGTGAGGATAAGACTCCCCTGCAGCAACAAAAGCTGAAGAAGAAAAAGAAGAAGGCAAAGAAGCAGATGGGGGTGAAGGGGGGGGCGCTGCTGGTTGACGAAAAGGGGATGTCCACAAAAACGCAGGAGAAGGCAACAAGCAAGAAGAAGGCAAATTTGAAAAAGAAAAAGCAGCAGCAGCAACTGCAACAAGAGCAGCAGCTGCAACTGCAACAACAGCAGCAGCAACAGCAGTTGCAGCATCAGCAAATGCAACAACAGCAACAGCAAGAGCAAGAGCAAGAGCAATTGCAGCAGCAGCAGCAGATGGTGCCTGAGATATCGATAGACAGTCTGCTGGGGTATGGTGTTTCCGGAGCAAAGCAGGGCGATGGCACCCTTCTCTCCCCCACCCTCCCTCCAGCCCTTGCTACAGCCATGTCAGCCGCCGCCGCTGCTGCCGCCGCCACGTCCACAGCTCTGCCTGGCTCGCTCCCATCCGCTGTGGCAGGCCCTGCTGACGCCTTTGGCCCCTTATCAGACGCAGCAGCAACTCCAGAGGTCGCCGCTGCTCGTGCTCCTGAGCTTGCAGCTGGTGCTGGTGGCGCTGCTGCCGCTGCTTCTGCTGCTGCTGCCAGTGCTGTAGCCGCCGCCGCCGCTGCTGTTGGTGGGGGTGGTGGGAAGGTGGAGATGGGTGCAGATGAGTTCCTGCTCATGAGTGCAGGCCTGCTGGGTGGGGCATTCGGGGGAGCGGCTGCACCAGCAGGGACGGCTGTAGCAGGGGCAGGTGCAGCAGCAGGCGGCACAGCAGGGGTGGGGATGGCAGCAGAGGGGGGGCTGGGGGGTGAACTGGAGCAGGGGCAGGGTGGCGCTGGGGGCGAGGAAGGGGGGTTGGATGATGCATTGGATGGGCGTCTGGATGGGGGGTTGGACGGGGGATTGGATGGGGGATTGGATGGGGGATTGGAGGAGAGTCTTGATGGAGGGTTGGATGCTGGGTGGGAGGATAAGAACGAGTCGCTGGATGAGTTTGGTGGGGCGGATACGGGGCTGTCCCATGCGATGCCTGTGCCTGTGCTGCGGAAGCAGCGTATGTCCCTGTTCCAGCAGCAGCAGGTGGAGCTGCAGCGTCGCAGACAGCAGCAGCTGCTGCAGCAGAAGCAGCACGAGGAGGAGCAGCAGCAACAGCAGCTATTGCTGCAGCAGAAGCAGCAGCAGGAGCTGCAGCTAGAGCAGCAGAAGCAGCAGCAGCTAGAGCAGCAGAAGCAGCAGCAGCTAGAGCAGCAGAAACAGGAGCAATTGCAGCAGCAGCAGCTGAAACAGCAGCAGGAACAGGAGCAGCAGCAGCAACAGCAGCTACAACAACAACAGCAGCAACAGTGGCAACAACAACAACAGATGCAGCAACGACAGCAGCAGCAGCAGCAGCAGCAGCAGCAGCAGCAGCAGCAGCAGCAGCAGCAGCAGCAGCAGCAGCAGCAGCAGCAGCAGCAGCAGCAGCAGCAGCAGCAGCAGCAGCAGCAGCAGCAGCAGCAGCAGCAGCAGCAGCAGCAGCAGCAGCAGCAGCAGCAGCAGCAGCAGCAGCAGCAGCAGCAGCAGCAGCAGCAGCAGCAGCAGCAGCAGCAGTTGCAGCAACAGTTGCAGCAGCAGCAGCAGCAAAGGCAAGGCCAGGCCCCTTACCCTGGCCAATTACCTACAGCAGGGGCAGCAGCAGCAGCAGCAGAGGAGAGGGCGAGTGTGAAGCACGAGCCTACCTTGGAGCGAAGCCCGTCCAATGCCTCTATGCCCTCCTCCTCCTTCCCACCCGCGCCCGCTCCCACCTCTCCTGCTCTCCCTGTATCCTCCCGCACCCAGCCGTCTGACTTTGCCTCCCAGCTGCCTGGTGCTGCTCCCCACGTGCCCGGCATGACAGAGCAGCAGCAGCAACAGCTCCAGCAGCAGCAGCAGCAGCAGCAGCAACCAAAACAGCAGCAGTCGTTGCAGCAGCAGCAGCAGCAGCAGCAGCAGCAGCAGCAGCAGCAGCAGCAGCAGCAGGCAGGTGGTTCAGGCCCGCCGTCGGTTCCTGCAGGGTCAGCTGTGGGTGTGGCGCAGGCAGGAGCGAGGGCAGGCATAAAGCCGGAAATGATGGGCGTGGGGGTTGCTGTCCCCAGGGGGGAAGCAGGAGGGGAGGCTGGGGCTCAGCTGCAGTACCAGCAGCAGCAGCAGATGCTGCTTTACCAACAGCGGTTGAGGCAGCAGCAGCAGCAAAGGGAGCAGCAGCAACAGCAAGTGCAGCAGCAACAGCAGCAGCAACAGCAGCAGCAACAGCAACAAATGCAGCAGCAACAGCAACAACAGCAGCAAATGCAGCAGCAACAGCAACAGCAACAACAGCAACAGCAACAACAACAGCAACAACAACAGCAGCAACAACAGCAACAACAGCAGCAATTGCAGCAGCAGCGGTTCCAGCAACAGCAAGAGCTGCAAAAACGGCAGCAAGAATTACAGCAGCAAGTGCCTCAACGCATGCAGCCGATGCAGGCACAGCAGCAGCAGCAGCAGCAGTTCTTACAAGGCAATCGACAGCAGCTTACACCTCAGCAGCAGCAACAGCAACAACAGCTACAACTACAACAGCAGCGGCAGCAACAGCAACAACTGCAGCAGCAGCAACAGCAGCAACAGCAGCAGCAGCAGCAGCAGCAGCAGCAGCAGCAGCAGCAGCAGCAGCAGCAGCAGCAGCAGCAGCAGCAGCAGCAGCAGCAGCAGCAGCAGCAGCAGCAGCAGCAGCAGCAGCAGCAGCAGCAGCAGCAGCAGCAGCAGCAGCAGCAGCAGCAGCAGCAGCAGCAGCAGCAGCAGCAGCAGCAGCAGCAGCAGCAGCAGCAGCAGCAGCAGCAGCAGCAGCAGCAGCAGCAGCAACAGCAGCAACAGCAACAGCAGCAGCAGCAGCAGCAGCAACAGCAACAGCAACAGCACATGCAGTCCAAGGCAGGTCAACTCCCATCGCAACCACCCATGCCTGGATACACTCCCCCACACCTGCCCCCTCCCCTGCCTGCCGCCGCTGCCTCTCCATCTGTGACAGCAGGCCCACTAGTGCCCCAACTGGCCAAGCCCGGCATTGCTCAGCAGTCGCACCTGCCGCCGCCCACACATGGCCAGCAGCAGACACACCCCGCGCAACCAGGTGCTCCTGACGGCGCCACTCCTGCTGCCGCTGCTGCTCGCCCGCCCATGCCTCCTGAAGCACCATCGCCTGCTGCTGCTGCTGCTGCTGCTGCTGCTGGTATGGCCTCACCTGGGGTTGTAATGGCGCCACCCGAAGCCAAACCTCAGGTACGACCCAGCCTGCCTATTCAGCAGCAGCTGGCAGCAGCAGGCATGGTGGCTACTTCTCAGGTGGCGAATGGGGAGCAGGTGCGCAAGGCAGTGGTTGCAGCCCCACCATCCGGCCCCCCGGGTGGCATAGTGGTGGAGGGTGCACCTGAAGACAGGGACAAACCAAAGCCTCTTGCTGCTGTTGCAGCGGCTACAGCTGGTACCACTGCAGTTGCCGCTGCTGCTGGCTCATCGGGGCAGCAGCAGCAGCAGAAGGCAGTTGTCGCGGCTCCAGCAGACACGAAGAGAGCGTTGGGAGCGCTGCTATCGATCATCAAGAGGTCCGTGCTCCATGCTCTTTCAATCGAACGAACATTGAGACTGCCAATGATCCCGAATTTCGTTGCGGTTGTCGGGAATTTTTCAATTTGTAGCGTTCCGGGTGCAAGCAGTATGTTGTATAGAGTTGCAGTGTTTCGTTTGGGCTTATCGAGTACAACTGCAATGCATTTGTTCTCACCTTTTCTCCTGTTTGTCGATCTTCTGCCTTTTTTCCTCTTCTTTTTTCTCTCCTGCCTTACTGCCACCTTCCTCCTGCCCCCTTTCCCTCCTCTTCGTCCCCGTCTCTGCCCGTATCTCTGCCCCACCAGCCAAGGCCTGTATCCGCCAGCGCCATCGTCCCCGGAAGCCCTCCCCCGGCCCAAGCGCAGCAACCCCGACCCGGCGTTGGTGCGGCAGGCGCTGGCGGGCGGGGGGGAGGAGGCAGCGGAGCCCAAGGGCAAGCGCAGCCTGCGCTTCTCACTGCTCACCGCGGGCGTCAACGTCAACGCGCCCAAGATGCGTGGGCTTACCTTTGTTCGCCTCGACTCCAACCCACAAGGTCTGTGTGCTTATTGAATCCACATGGTTGCTCTGAATTGTAGCTGTTGAAACGCCCCCGCCTGGTTCGCTTCCCTTCTCAGTTTCCTCCTTTCCCCTCTCTTTTTCCTTTCTGCCCTCACGCTCCCCTCTGCCCTCCGCACTACCCTCTCTGCTCCCCCACCAGGCGTGCGGCGCATGCAGCAGCGGCTGGTGATGAGGGGGCGGCAGAAGGACGAGTGTGTGGAGGCCATCATACAGGAGGGCGCCGATGGGGATGCTGACGCTGCGGGCGCGGCAGGAGGGGCGGGCGGATCGAGCATCTCACTGCGCCGCGACCAGCAGCTGCCTCTCATGCCCAACACCGTGAGCTGCCCACCCTTGCTGCTCACGCTTTTCCACACAGTCACACGTGCACGCTCGCACATGTACATGTACATGCAATCACACATGTGCACACAGACACAGTCACACTCACCTCAAGGAGGAGAAATATGTGGATACAACCACCTGCTTTCTCCCGCCCCCAGCTGGCTCTGCCTATGTCACCTGCCTCATCCACGCCCCCCTGTCTTGTCACTGTCTCTCCCTTTCCCTCCTCGCCCGTCTTCCCAGGAGTATGCGGATCGATTCGCGCGAACCTATGTCCGAGTGGTACGTGTGTGCGCTGCACCATGCTACCCTCCACCATGCTCCCTCCACCATAGAAAGCCTTTTGCTACTGGCCCTCGCTCTACTTTTTTGCTGCTCGCCCTTCCTCTCATAGGTGAACCTGCCACTTGTTCTCATCGTGTTGCTTGTTCTCATCGTGCACTTGCTTGTTCTCATCGTGCACTTGCTTGTTCTCATCGTGCACTTGCTTGTTCTCATCGTGCACTTGCTTGTTCTCATCGTGCACTTGCTTGTTCTCATCGTGCACTTGCTTGTTCTCATCGTGCACTTGCTTGTTCTCATCGTGCACTTGCTTGTGGGACACATTGTGCCCCTCGTTCGATCCTTGCTCATCCTCCTTTTTGTCCTCGTCTCCATATTCCCCATTCTTCTATATATCCCCCTTCCATTCCTCCCTTGCATATTCTTACCTTCCCACTTCACTCTCCTCCACCTTTTCTCTCACTCCCCTTTACCTACTACTCATTCCAACCCCCGCCCTCACTCTCCCCTTCCCCTGCGCCCTGCTACAGGTGCAGCGCGAGGGGTGGCACATGATGGAGGACCAGGTCATACCGCTGCCCAAGCACATGCACCCCGCCACGCAGATCAGCACCAACTCCGCCGCCGCCCGCGACCGCGCCGCTGCTGCCGCCGCCGCTGCCGCTTCTGCCGGCGCTGCCGCGGGTGGGAATAGTGGTGGTGGGATGGCAGGGGGCGGGATGGGAGGTGCAGCAGGAGCAGGGGGAGGAGGGGGTATGGCAGGCGGGCGGGGGGTGGGTGTGGTGGGCCAAGGAGGGGCAGGGGGAGCGGGAGCAGCAGGGGCACGGCAGGGTGGGGCTGCTGGGGGCCCTGGGGGCGGAGGAGGCTTGCCGCCCATGCCCCCTCCACCCGCCCCTGCTGCTGCACCTGGTTCTCTTCCCACTAGTGCGGTTACTACTGCCACTGCTGCTGGTTCCGCCAGTGCTGCTGCTGGTGGGGTTGGGCAGCTAGGAGGTGCTGCTGTGGGGGGCCCGCCTCACCACATGGCTTCCCGTGCTGCCCCTGCTGCTGCGGCTGGCAGTGGCGGGGTGATGGCAGGGATGGGTGGAATGGGTGGGATGGGGCGGGGTGTGCCACCAGCAGGCCTGGGAAGGGGACCAAACGGGGCAGCAGCAGCTGCTGCTGGGAACACCATGGGTCCCCCACATGCCACCCCTCCTCCCCATGCAGGCTATGCTGCTTCCCATGCCATGCCGTCTCATGCTGCCTCCCCACATACGCCCTCCCCTCATGGCCTTCCCGGCAGCAGGGTCACACCCCCCCATACTGTCACGCCCCATACTATGAGCCCCTCTGTGGGATCCCCTTCTGTGGCAGGCATAGCCCATCCTAGGTCCCAACCTCCTGTAGCCACGGGCTCTGCTTCCCAGCCTGTAGGTATGGACCGAACCTGGCCAGCAGGTCCGGGATATGCTGCCTCCGGCCCTGCACCTAGCCCTACCTCTCCCCCAATGCCTGGTGCCCCCGGAGCTGCCAAGGTAGCTCCGGGTGTAGGTTACCCCAGTCCAGGTTCGGTGGCAGGACCGGGAAGCCCAAGCCTCCCTCACATGCGAGGCCATGCTATTCCCGGGCCCCACCATCAGGTCCGGGGAATGCACCCAGGCGCTGCAGGCCAGGCATATCCCCCGCGCCCACCTCAGCTTCCCCGAGCCTCGCCGACAGGCACGGTAGGAATGGGGCACATGGCAGGAAGGATGGGTGCAGGCGGTATGGGGATGGGGCCTAGGGGAGCGATGAGTGGGCAAGGGGGCATGGGCGCTGGAGTGGCGGCTGCAGGCATGGGCACAGGTATGGGCGCCGTGATGGGAGGAGTGGGTGGGGCTGTGGATGCAGGGGCAGGGCAGAGCAGAGGGTTCTACGGACAGTCGATGCCACCCCAGCAGCACTCCCATGTGCCACCGCAGCAGCAGCAGCAGCAGCAGCAACAACAGCAGCAGCAACAACAGCAAGGGCAGGGGGGGCCTGCTATGAGAACAGCACAGATGCCTTACACGCAGCCACAGCAGCAGCAGCAACAGCAGCAGCAGCAGCAATTGCAACAGCAGCAACCGCAACAACAGCAACAGCAAGGGCAGCAGCAGCAGCAGCAGCAGCAGCAGCAGCAGCCCCAGCGGCAGCAGCTTCCCTCTGCACCACCAGCTGCCACCCCCAGCAGCACGGCCTCTCCATCTGCTCCCCCTGCACCTGCTGCCACCACAAGCCCTGCACGCATGGCCCCTGGTAGTGCTGCTGCCGTCGCCCCTGCGGGTGCAGGCAGGAGCCAGCCTGCGGGTGGGCAGGCGACAGGAGCACAGGCAGGACAGGCAGGGCCAGGTGGGCAGATGGGTGGAGTGGCAGGTGCGGGGAGAGGTGGAGGAGCAGTGGGAGTGGGAGGAAGGGGGGTTGGTCCAGGGCAGCAGCAGGGGCAGCAGCAGCCCCCCGCAGCAGCACCGCAGCAGCCGCAGATGCAGCAGCAACAGCTGCCACAACCTGGGGCACAGCCGCAGCACCAACAGCAGCAGCAGCAACAACAACAGCAGCAGGTGGGTCAGAGGCCATTGGCGCCCCCCGCTGCTGCTACTGCTGCTGCTGCTGCTGCTGCTGCTGCTGCTGCTGCTGCTGCTGCTGCTGCTGCTGCTGCTGCTGCTGTTCCCAGTGGAGTTGGCAGTGTGCAGCAGGGGGCGCAGCAGCAGGGGGGAGTGCAGCAGGCACAACAGCCAAACCAGATGCAGCAGCAGCAAACGATGCCACCACAGCAGCAGCAGGCACAACAGCAGATGCAGCAGCAGCAGCAGCAGCAACAACAACAGGTGGAACAGAGGCCTCAGGTACCACAGCAGCAAGGTTTGGCACAGCGGCAAGTGCTATCACCACAGACACAAGCACAGGTGCAGTCCCAACCACAGGCGCAGCAGCAGCAACAACAGCCTCCACAGCAAGTGGGAGGGCAGCAGAGGCCCCAGGTGCAGCACATGCAGCAGCAGCGCATGCAGGGGCAGATGCAGGGGCAGGCGCACTATCCTCAACGGCAGATGCAGCAGACAATGCAGCAGCAGATGCAGCAACAGATGCAGCAGCAGCAACGAGTACAGCAGCAGCAGCAGGGCACGCAGCAGCAGCAAGGCCAGCAGATGGCAGCACAGCGACAGCACATGCAGCAGCAGCTGCAGCAGCAGATGCAGCAACGTGGGAACCTGACACCGCAGCAGCAGCAGATGCTCGCTCAGCAGCGGCAGAGGCAGCAGCAGCTGTACCAGCAGCGAATGCAACAGCAAATGCAGCAACAACAAATGCAGCAGCCCCAGCATCAGCAGCAGCAGCAGCAGGCGTCACATCAGACACAACCGCAGCAGCAACTGCAACAGCAGCAGCCACAGCAGCAGGCACCACCGCAGTCACGCCAGCTTCAAATGCAGCAGCATGTGCAGCCTATGCAACAACAGCAGCAACAGCAACAGCAGCAGCAACAGCAACAACAGCAGCAACAGCAGCAACAGCAGCAACAGCAACAGCAGCAGCAGCAACAACAGCAGCAGCCACCACAGGCACAGCAGCAGCAACAGCAATAGCAAATCCATCACACTGCGGAGCAATGGCAGAGCTGGGTGTGCATGCATCGCGGTTCTGTGTTGCTGCTCTTCATCTCTCCAGAGGTGCTGAAGGCACAACCATCTTTTCTTTCTTACGTAGGTTTACTGATTGTACTGTTTCGGCCAAGACTCAAAGTGCCTCTGGCTCATGTGTTTGTGCCTGCTGTATATCAGCACTTGCACTACCCATTGCCTGTACCGTATGTCTACTTGTGCCGCTCAGATTAGTTCACTTACCTACCGTAAGTGTGCAGCAAAACACCAGCACTTCTACGGTATTATAGAGGAGGGGTAGGTACCACGTTTAATTTCGCAATGTTTCTATGCTATTGGTGTTGCTTGTTGGAATTAAGGTTAATTCGGGTTGCTCCAATAAACATATGTAGTGATACATCTACACTATAGTAGTGTAGCATATATTGGTTGGGTTGGGAGAACTTGTGGTGTACACTCTTTAGAGTGGACCACCTCCCAAACCCTATAGGTTAGGGTTCTCTCTTGTTGGAAACTCACTTCTTGGAAACCACTTTGGTTCTAGCATGGTTCATGCCCAAGTGGGCTCCTAAGATTCCTAGGCTTTAGGAGGAGGTTCTAAGACTACTAAAGCTTCCGCTAGTAGCTTGGTCCATTCTAATATGGTATCAGAGCTAGGAAGGCCTAGCAATCTGTTGGAATAGGAGCTATTCAAGGAATTGGACCATAATACCTTGGTGGAAGCTAAATTGCTTCCATCCCTCCCGAAGGGCTGCCGAAATTGCACCGTGGCGGACTCTGGACGTGGAAGGGGAGGAGGAGAGAAGAAACCCGCTGGAAATCGTGTGGATCCGTTTGGGAGGACGAGAGGAGCGTCATCCATTCACGGACAAGCTCAATCAACGTTGGCCGATCAAGGCGTGCGGCATATCATTGGAAAGCCCTCGACACGATCTACAACTGTTGCCCCGGAGTCGTTGCAAAACGACGAGCGGATCGGACGCAATTCGCGAAATACAGTCGGCGGACGAATTGGAAAATCGCGAATCGGGGACGATTTAAAGCGCGGAAAAGGCATTGGAGGGCGGACGCCAAGAGAGGAGGTCAGGGCGCATCCAGCAAGCCAAAAATGAGAGACGGTCGAGTCTTCGTCGACGGAAAATCGGCCAACTTCGACGAGTTTAAGCGGACAGCTCGGACGCGGGATCCAGGAGCGCAATACACCATTGGAACGGGCTCGAAGCGAAGATTCATCAGAACTAAACGGCTCATCATTCAGAGGTTCGAGCGCGGAGTTACGCTCCAAAAACCAAGAGGGGGTGAATCTGCCCGCATCGTCTTCACCGCCGCCGCCGTTGCCTCCACCACCACCTCAACGTCAATCTTCAGTGCCTGCGCCACAAATGGATCACGACTCAGGCGAAGGGAAGCTGGAGAGTGCGCCAAAGTTTGATGGGAGCGACTATTGGACTTGGAGCTTCCGATTCGAACAATGGGCAGAGGCGCACGATCTATGGGGGTACTTTGACGGCTCGGAGGAGCGACCTGCAACGGGTGACGCACGGCTGAAGTGGGAGAGGAAAAATCAGAAGGCATTCGCCCAATTTTGCAATGCCTTGGTGCCAGATGAGCTGATTCGCTTGGTACGGGAGTTCGGCGGCAAGACCGAATTGGGCAGCGCACCTGTTGATGGCGGAGCAAGAGCAGTCACCCGGGTTCCTGCAGACACAGCAGCGGCATACACACGAGTGAAGGAGTTCTACCTTCAGCGTGGATTGTGTAATCGGATGGCACTCTCTGAGGAGCTCTCCTCATTGAAGATGAAAGAGGGGGAGGGAGTGGCTGCATACTGGGCGCGTGCCGAGGACTTGCGGTCCAAGTACTTGGCTGCAAGAGGGAAGGAGGAGGTTGGGGAGTGGATGATGAGGGTACTCAAAGGACTACCTCCTCACTTTGAGATGCTGAAGGTGGTGCTGAACAACCAGTCATCATCACTCACTAAGGATCAGCTGCTTACCTCCTTGAGGAGCGAGGAGATGCGGATTGGTGTCGCACCAAGGTCGGATGGTGTAGCCACCTTTGGAGCGGGTACGAAAGTGGGCAGCAGCGGCAGGGGAAATTGGGACAAGGGAGGAAAGCATGGAGGCAGCGGTAGCAGCAGTGACACCAACTCGGGCAGATGGGGTCAAGGGAAAGGCAAAGCGGGAGTGCTTGATTTCCCCTGGGGGTTTAAGGGCATGGCTCCTCGGGGGTTGTGTCATGGCTGTTGGGATGAGGGACATGCATGGCAGCGATGTCCTCATCGACCTAAGGGAGGCATTCCGGCATTCTTAAAGCGGGGGGGTCGTGGGTCCAACGGCAAGGCACAGGTGGCGGAAGAGGAGGAGCAGGATGACAAGGCAGAGGCAGTGGTTGGAGAGGCAGTTGCAGCAGTGGGAGAGGAGCAGCCGCGAGAGGGGTGGTGGATTGACAGTGGGGCCAGCCACAACTTTACTCCTTATGCATCAGACTTCAAAAGTAAGCTTCAGCCACCAGAGGTTCGGGGAGTTAGATTGGGAGATGGACGGGTGGTGAAAGCTGTTGGCATGGGTGAGGTGCCAGTGGTTGGTGCTGGAGGTCAGCTGCTGAGGATTCAAAAGGTCCACCTTGTGCCTGAGATGCACACGCGTCTGCTGTCAGTCCCACACCTCACCTCTCGAGATGTCATTGTCACATTCAAGGGCAAAAAATGTGTCCTTAAACGGGGGGAGCGGGTGTTGGCGATTGGAGAAAAGGAGAGGGGAAGGGACCATGGATTGGTGCGAATGTTTCTTCCTCTTTCTCGGAGCACACAAGGCAGTGCTCTTGCAGCTGGGTCCTCCTCCTCATTTTCCCCATTGACCCTTGCCCATCGCCGCCTTGGTCATACCGCCCCCACAACATTACAACAGATGGCTCGGGGGAACAGTGTACTGGGCTTGGAGATTGGGGGGGGGAGCACTGATTGCTCCCCATGTGAGCCTTGCTTATTAGGAAAGTCGGCTCGTAAGCCGTTTCCCCATGAGGCGTCTCGGGCACTTGGGCCTTTGGATGAGGTCCACATGGATTTGTGGGGGCCGGTGCGCACACCGTCACTGGGAGGAGCGGTGTATGTCCTCAGTCTCATTGACGACTTCACCAGACGAGTTTGGTCATTCCCCCTCCCCAACAAGGAATCGGCCACAGTTGCAAAAGTCCTTCGCCAGTGGCATAAGGACGTGGAGTTGGAATGTGGGCGGAAACTAAAGGCTGTTCTCTCGGACAAGGGTGGCGAGTTCTTGGGGAAAGCTGTAAAAGCATGGAAGGCGGAGTTTGGCATTAAAACCCAACTAAGCGTCGCAGATACACCGCAACGGGGTCGTGGAGAGGTGGCACAGGACGATGGCAGAGGGGATTCGCACATTGTTGGTCGACAGTGGTCTCCCTGCTCGCTTGTGGGGTGAAGCATTGATGTGGGTCGTGTGGGTTAAGAACAGGGTCAGCCACAGTGCTTTGCCTGCTTCCATCACACCAATGGAGGCGTGGTCCGGCCAGAAGCCGCATGTAGGCATGGCTCGGATTTGGGGTTGCATGGGGAGTGTCATGCTGCATGGGCATGAGAAGGGTGGCAAGCTTGATGCACGGGCTGTCATGTGTGTCTGTGTTGGGGTGGACATGGAGAGCAAGGGTTGGCGCATGCTGGACCCTTCTCTCATGCGCATTCGCATTGCTCGGGATGTTGATTTTCTTGAGAATGTGATGTGGAAGGATTGGGACAAGGCAAAGGGATATGGGGAGCTTCTGCAGGATGCAGCTGAGATTTCCCAACTCCTCCCTCTTCCACTCTCGCCACCCTCAGCACCGGTTGACGACGCTGAGATGCCACCTTCATCACTGCCACCGGCACCGCTGAGTATGTCGGTGCCGCAGCAGCCCACCCCTCTGCAGCAGCTCAGTGGCCCCTCGGTCATTCAGCGGAGATCCGCTACACAGGCTACTTCCTCTTCCTCCTCCTCTGGTCAGCGCTCTGTCCCTCTCTCTACGGGTGCCCCTACGTCACCAGCGACTACCTCCCCACCACCGGTTACGGGTTTGCAGGTGCTTGGTATCCAGTCTGGTACAGGTGGTGAGGAGGAAGGGGGGGATGCTGGTGTGGTTGAGGGCATGCTGTGTTTGGCCAGGGAGGTGGAGGTTGTTGCACTAGCAGGTGTGAGCACCGGTGATGTCCCACGCACACTCGCTGAGGCCCTGCGTGGCCCTGAGGGCCCTGCGTGGAAGGCACGCGCTGAGAAGGAGGTGAATGCAATGCGCACTATGGGTGTATGGGATCCAGAGCCGGTCGACTTACCTCCAGGTAAGAAGGCCATTGGGGTCAGGTATGTTTTCCGCAGGAAAACTGACAAGGAGGATAAGGTGGTACAGCACAAGGTTCGCCTTGTTGTTAAGGGGTACACTCAGGAGCCCGAGAAGGACTATGATCAGGTATTTGCTCCTGTGGGCAAGCTCACCTCAGGTCGGGTGCTTCTTGCAGAAGACGCGGTAAAAGGGTGGCATGTACAACAGGAGGATGTTGATCATGCTTACCTCAATGCAGTCCTTCAAGAGGAGGTGTATGTGAGGCAACCTGAGGGATTTGATGATGGTACAGGTAGGGTGTACCGCTAGCGCAAAGCTCTCTATGGGCTCAAGCAAGCACCTCGTGCTTGGAATGAGGAGATTGGTACCACCCTGATTGCAGCAGGGTTTGACCGCAGTGCATGCGATGAGGCTCTGTACAGCAGGTTTGTGGATGAAGAGCCAGTGTATGTACTGGTGTATGTGGATGACCTCTTGCTTGTGTCTCCACGCTTGGAGCTGATCGGTCAGGTCAAGGAGGTGCTTGCTCAGAGGTACCAGATGAAGGATCTAGGTGAGGTATCCACGTACCTTGGTGTGGAGGTTCGCAGGTCGGTCAAGGATGGGTGGTTGGAGATTGGTCAGGAGAAGTATGTCCGTGGTCTCCAGGGAAGGTTTGGTGACCTGCTAAAGGAGACCCATAGGGTGCATACTCCAATGTCACCCAATGATCTCTCTAAGATCAGGAATGGTACTTGGTCGACTGAGGAAGGTGCTGCAGCTGATGTCAAGGTGTACCAGAGTCTCATTGGCAGCTTGATGTATGCTGCTGTGACTACCCGTCCTGACATGTCTTTCACTGTCAACACCCTTGCACAGTCATGCGTGGCACCAAGACACATTCACATGCGCGCTGCACTGAGAGCACTCAGGTACTTGGTCGACACAGCTGATCGTGTCATTAGGTATGAGCGCCAAGGTGGTGAGCAGGTTGTTGGGTACACCGACTCGGATTGGGGTGGTGAGACTGATGGCAAGAGTCGCTCTGCCTACATCTTTAAGTTGGGAGGAGGAGCTATCAGCTGGTATAGCAAAAAGCAAGACAGTGTTGCAGCAAGCGTTTCTGAAGCTGAGTACAAAGCTTTATCGGAGGGGGCAAAGGAGGCCATCTGGTTGAGGAGTTTGTTGGCAGAGATGCATGTGGGGGATGGGGGGGCTATTCCATTGCTCTGTGATAATGAGGCTGCTGTCTCCCTTGCCCACAATCCCGTTCTCCATCAGCGCACCAAGCACATTAAGGTGGCATGGCACTTTGTACGGGATGCGGTGCGCCAGCATGAGGTCGAAGTGCACTCAGTACGCTCCCACCTCCAGGATGCCGACATGCTCACCAAAGCTCTTCCAAGCTTGCAGCTGCATGAGAACCTTGAGCGCATCGGCATGCGAGTGATGGCTGCGAAGGCCAAGGCTTCATTCGCTGGAGGGGTTGTGTTTTAATTTATGGGTGAACTTTAATGCTTATTGGAGCAAGGGGGGGTGTTGGAATTAAGGTTAATTCGGGTTGCTCCAATAAACATATGTAGTGATACATCTACACTATAGTAGTGTAGCATATATTGGTTGGGTTGGGAGAACTTGTGGTGTACACTCTTTAGAGTGGACCACCTCCCAAACCCTATAGGTTAGGGTTCTCTCTTGTTGGAAACTCACTTCTTGGAAACCACTTTGGTTCTAGCATGGTTCATGCCCAAGTGGGCTCCTAAGATTCCTAGGCTTTAGGAGGAGGTTCTAAGACTACTAAAGCTTCCGCTAGTAGCTTGGTCCATTCTAATATTGCTTTGTCCACACAGAGCCCCCACAATCATGCACACTGCACCCACAATGAGTGGGCCTGTTCAAAAGCCCCCCCACCCACAAAAGCCGCCAAATTCCTTACGGTTGATCGCCAGTGGGTCCTTGGCCTTGCCTCGGCCAACTACGCTACAAAAGCTTCAGTCGAAACACCATACCGTATCGTACTGGTTGCAGGTATTATCACCAGAGTGACTGACTGTCCCTTCGTTAGTGTCTCTGCATTATGGCTCGCAGGGTAAATGACTTCTTCTTTTACTCGCAATCGAAACCGACTGTCTGCTCGCACGTCATGCCATTGCGTGGCAGTAAGGAGTCATGTGCTCCTTATCTCGTGGCAGGTCCACAGACCTGCCACCTAGTTGAAACCATTTTTAGATATGAATCTAGAACCCACCCTCTCGCCCTTACGCTAGTTAATATACACGTTAGCTTCGTATGTATACCTGTGGTAGGTAGTTATATTCGTTTTGTCATGTTTTCACTATCTTTGTAATTTGCAATCTAGTGTGCTGTATGATTGAGATCTGAAATACTATGACGATTGTTCTGCAAACTCGTTGGTGAGTCTTGTCTTAACTTATCATTTGCAAAAAGCTGTCAACATTGTGCTGAGAATCCCACGTGTATACGAGTATAGGTGAAGCACCCCATCTAAGTGTAAATGGGGCCTGGCCTACGGTATGTTATGAGTTGCCGTACCATGTCTACCATCCGCCACACCCAACTAACTTGCTTGCTCAAATCGCTTGCTGCCGTACAACCACACATCCCCATCCTCCTAAAGAAGCAAAGCAAATCCTATAACAACCCACCAAGCAGCACTTCGGGTGCTACACCACAGCTCTGCTATACCCTACAGCCCAGGCGGCGGCCCGTCGTCCACCCCACTGTGTGCGGCGTGATGGTCCCCACTGCTCGCTGCGATGCTCTGCTGCACCTTCTGTGCGATCATGTGCTGCGCCGCCACCACCCCCTCTGATGACCCCGTTATTGTCACCTTCCTGCACACACTCTCGTGGATATCAATAAATGTGAGGTACAGCTCAGCAGCACGGGAGATAAGGTCTACCCCGAATGATGACACTATAAAGGTAATCAAGGCTTGGAAATGGACCAAACGCAGCACATGCGGCATGAGGCGGGGCAGGAGGGCATGTACCTGTCTCTGGTTCCCTCCACAAAGTCGTTTCTGCCTGATATCACCATGCGCACCCCCGTGTTCTGTGAGCACAGTGCAGAGTCGTGGGCGGCAGGGCAGCGAAGGACAGGGCAGGGCCAGGGGCAGATGCATAGGTGGAAAGCACGTGAGTGAGATGAAGCAAGAAACATCAATTTGGGTGATTCAGCACAGTTCACTGCCCTCACAGCTTGCAAACTCTGCGACCACATGTGCGAAATAGGTGTGAAGAGAACCCCATTCTAGCAGAGCGAACCATATGAATGGCAGACCCTGTAATCACCACTGTTAAATATATGGACTACAGGATGAAGAGCAATAGTAACGCCTGAGTAACACGTTTGGGAGTTTGGTGCGGTGCACACCTGTTGGATCTCGTTGATGGAGCGGCCTTGCTTGCCCACGACGGCGCCCACGTGGTCGTCCGGCACCGCCACTATGATTGTCGTCGGTACCACCCCCCCTGGTAGCATTGGTGGGGCTGCCTGCTGCGAGGGGAAGGAGGGTGGATGGGGGAAAAGGGAGGGGGGAAGGCAAGGAGGCGAGGACATTGCCAATGCAAACGGCATCTGAATTAGCACCTATCAATTCACCTCTCCTTTTTTCCAGCATCCCACCCCCTCTCCATCCCCCTTCCCTCTAAAGACCAGAACGATGGGAACGGGAAGGGCCTCTCAATGCTGCCCGTGGTGTGGATGGCGCGAGAGAGTGCGAGGCCAGCGACTGCCAGAGGTGGAGGGAGTATTTCGTGGAGGGACCCCATGGATTGCCCTACAGCATATCATGGTACAAGATGGGGCTTGCTTGCTTCAGCATGCAGCAATGGCGGAGTGGTTCACAAGGAGGGGCTCACGGCCCTATCTCTCCCATTCTTAACCTCACATCAATCAACCTTTTACCCGTCCATCAGCGTAACTGATACAACCATGAGTAGGCCCCTCCACGCACACAGCTGGCAGCACCATAAAGAGCACCTTCCGTGCAGCTTGCCCAACCCAAGCCCCAGCCCATGGCCCACTCCCAACGCCCACGCACCTTGCCCCGGTTAGGAGGCACCCCCGGCATGCCATACGGGGGCGGCCCCCTCACCCCGCCATACGGAGCCCCGCCATACCCCCCAGGGTTGGGGTAACCTGGATAAGCGCCCTGGCCCTGCCCGTAACCCCCACCGCCGTAACCGCCTGGGCCACCGTTGTAACCTCCCCTGCCTGGCGCACCTGCCAGGAGAGCAGAGCAGAGGGAGAGAGGGCAGAGAGGGGAGCGGAGTGGGGTTGCGTGGAGTGGAGTGGAATGGCGTGGAGCGGCGTGGAGTGGAGTGGAGTGGATTGGAGTGGAGTGGAGTGGAGTGAAGTGGAGTGGAGTGGAGTGGAGTGGAGTGGAGTGGGGTGGAGTGGAGTGGGGTGGAGTGGAGTGGAGTGGAGTGAAGTGGAGTGGAGTGGAGGCATGACCTTACAGTGAGGTTAACGAGGGGGATGGGGTATGCATGGGGTGACCGGGGGAGTAAGGAAGGGTGAGTGACGAACGTGTACGTGAAGTGATATGATATGATATGGTACGATGGACCTCTGCTTACCCATGTAAGACAGCGGCACGTCAGCGTACTGCACGTAGGTGGGGTCTTCCGACATCTTGGTGAGCAGCAGCGCCACCGCGCGCAGCTTCTGCTCCAGCGTGCCCCCTATCGTGATCACGCGCTCCGCGAATCCCGGCCCCACCGCGTCCTGCGGCGACAGCTTGATGGTCGCCTGCGAGTCCTCCACGAACGACCTGCGTGGGGGAAGCGGGGAGTGGGGAGGGAGGGGTGAGGGGCAAGGGGAGAGCACGACGAGCGACAGCTTGATGGGGGTTTGTGAGTTCTGCACAACGACTTTGAAATGCAGACAGAGCCGGCGTGAATGGCGGAAAGGGGTGGGGGGAGAGGGGAGGGGCATAGTGACAGCAGCACGAGACACTTGACAGCACCACACCGCACCTGACGGCACTACACTGCACCTGACGGCACCATACCGCACCTGACAGCACTACACCGCACCTGACGACACTACACCGCACCTGACGGCACTACACCGCACCTGACGGCACTACACCGCACCTGACGGCACTACACCACACCTGACGGCACTACACCACACCTGACGGCACTACGCCGCAGCTAACGGAAGGGTGACTCACCGGATGGTGGCGCCGCCTTTGCCGATAATGGCGCCGCACACTCTGTTGGGCACCACGATCCGCAGATCCGCGTCGCCCTCCCGCGCGCCCGGCTCGTTGCGCCGCGGTTCCTGCCAGCACGGAAACACGGGCGCGCTTCGTTTCAGAGAGGCGAAACATCGACGAAGGGATAAAATCCGAGGAAGGAGGGATGCAGCATACGAGGAATCGTCCTTCGTTCACGAGAGGATGTACGAAACGTGGTTGCTGAAAGAGAATGGGGATGGGAATGGATGGGATGGGAGTCGATGGGGAAGGGATTGTGATGGGAATGGAGATGTGGGATGGGGATGGGGATGGGATTGGGATGGCGACAGGGATAGAATGAGTACGGGAGCGGGGGTGCGTACATCAGCGAGTTTGGATAGAATGAGGTGGAGAGCGGTGAGAATGGCGCTGACGCTGCCGCTGAGGAGAATGATGCGGTCCGTCGTGTTGGGAAAGTATTCTCGCGCGCGCGACAGCACTATCTTGGCGCCTGATTGAGTTTGGAATTCGGAGATCACGACGCCGCCCTTGCCAATGATGGACCCCGCGTCGCTGTTCGACACGAGGAACCGCAGCGTCGATTTGAGCGCCCGGACCTCCTCTGCAGACGAAACAGAGCACGCGTTAGACGCCGCGATTCACGGAGAATATGACCTATCGCAACCCAAAGCGACAGCCGTGACTAAAACGGAATCAGACGGGGAGGACGGAGTTCTCAGCCGGTACAGCACCGAAATCGACGCAGGGAAACAAGATTCGAGTGCTTGCCTGTTTCGCGCGCATTGTCGCGATTTTCCTCCGCGCCTTCTGGCCCCTTGGCGTCATCCGCCATGGCGATCCCGCGTGTTCAGGAAGGCGATGAATCCAGCAGATGGAAGTGGTTTTTGGATGAGGCGAGGGACGAAGGGGTTTGCGGGGAACAGCGTGAATCAGATTTCGAGCTTCGGGGATGACAGCGAGGAAAGCGAAGATTGGAAATGGCAAGCAGCAAGGTCCACGAATATCTCAAGGTTCGCGACAGAAGCGCTATGCGTTACCGAAATTGAACACTACATGACAATTGGGTCCACTAACATACTTTCAAGTACTTTATGCAAAGAAGACTATATGATGTGAATTTGAGTGACACTTATGCTTGCTTTTAGAAATGCCTGAGATTAACAAAATATATACAAAATAACAGATGATTTATGCGTGTCCTCCTTCCCCACCCCTATTCTTCCCTCCTGCCTGTTTTGAATCCTTTTTCTTCGCCTTCTCCTTCAGCAGCTGCTGCTTGAGGAAGGCAGCACGAAGCTTCTCCCTCTTCTGCTCTGCCTGCTGCTGCCTCTTGGCCTTCAGCAGCGCTGCTCTCTCCCGTGCTGTCCGCGTCTCCTCAATCACCTCCCTGTTCCCAAGCCATAAAGAGGGATGCAATGCAAGGAGACAAAGGTACAGGAATGATGTCCATGGGCTACAAGACGAAAACTGAGGTCCATGTTGCTCAATCCCATGCATCGCAAGAGGCAGAGAGGATTGATGGGCCGATCAGAAACACGATTTAAACACTGCTCCCTCCGTGCCTGCAAACATCGCTGTGCGATCGTGCCACATTGAAAGCAAAAGTTACAGCCAAACGCGGAAGAAAGTTGGAAACTGCTGGCACTGCACCCACCTGATCAGTTCCCTCTGTGTGGAAGCCATTCCCCCTCCTGCAACCACACCTGCCGCTCCGCCCCCATCCCTCCCTCCATCTCCCCCATCCCCCTCTGTCCCCCCCAGCAGCAGCGCTGCCTCGCCCCGCCTCTCGCGCTCCATCTCCTGCCTCTCCTCCTCCAGCGTGCCCCGCCTGAGGAAGTCAACGCTGTACTTCTCCTCCACGCCCGCCCAATCCGCCCCCTCCCCCTGCGCGCCCTCCCCCTCGGCGCGCTCCCCCCTGGCCAGGCGCGCGTAAATGGCTGCCTTGCGCTCCAGGTGCCCCGCCACGTCCCTCTCTGCCTTCCACTGCAGCGCGTCCCTGGTAATTTGGAAGGACAGGGAGAGAAGAGGTGGGGAATGGTTAAGCAGATCGGGGGACGAGTGGGAATTGGAGCCTCAAGTTGCCTGCTAAGCTCCTTTCCGCCTTTCACTGCACTGCATCTCTGGGTGGGAGGGGGAAATGGGAGGAGGAAGAGGGAGCGGAAAGATCTGAGGTGGCACAGAGATGGGGGAAGGGAGGGAGGGGCGATTGCCCCATCGCTCTGCGCCTTCCCCTGCAGTGCGCCTATGAAGCGGGGAAAGCCGGGCGGGGCGAGAAGGACAGTGGGGAGCAGGGAAAGCTTGGTTAAGAGGGCAGAATTGAGGAAGGAGACTTGGGGGAGGAGGGTGCAGTGAGGAACGCGAGGTGAGGAACAGAGGAGAGAAGGGAAGCACGTGGAAGGGCAGGGGAATAATGAGAAGTGGAGGGGAAAATGAGGGGAATGGGCTCGCGACAAGGGGAAGGGCGGAGAAGAGGGGATTGGGAGACCAGAAGACCCGCCAGCCCCACCTATGCGCGCGTTCTTCAACCCCCGCGTTTCTCCCCCCAAACAGGTCCCCGGGCCCCCCTTCCGCTCCGCCTCCCGCGCGCCTGACCCGCGGCTCCCCGCCGCCTTCCTCCTTGGCGCGCTTGGCGTCCTCCTGGCTCTTGTACAGCTCGGCGCGCAGCGACACCAGGCTGCCCGCGCTCACTCCCTCGATAACGCGCTGCTTCTTCGGCATCAGCGCCGATTCCGTCAGCCATCCCAGCGACTCTATCCGCTCCCTCCGCTCCTTCCGCTCGTTCCGCGCCACGCCGCTTCCGCCGGCACCGCAGACTCCGTCCGCGCTGGCGTCGGCGCGGGTCCCGGCGGCGGGATTTGCAATGTCGACAGGATTAGGGTTAGCGGTGCCGCTGGGCGATGGAGCAGCTGCGGGATTCTTCGCCATGGAGGCGTTGTGGGATGCGAAGAGGGAGGCGAGGTGTGCGAAAACGGTGGGGCTTCGCGTTACTGTTTTCGCGCCAACGTTCCGTCAATCTCGCCTAGATCGCTCTGAGACTGTATTTTCATGCATTCAGCAAATGCTAAGGCTGACGAGGCGCACACAGAGCAGAACGAATAGCTGGCTCGAGAGCTGCTGAATATTTGAGTAACATAAGGAAAACTAAGTCATGGTTCAGTTTTTTGAATTTAACGATTTATTCAGCACGTCAGTAGTCCAATGGTTAGGATATTTGCCTTCCAAGCAAAAGATCCGGGTTCGATTCCCGGCTGACGTAGACCGTTCAATGTCGATGTCTTATGTCATGGTAGCTATCGTTCACCATTGATTTCCTTTTTACATCACCTTGACATCACATTGGAACATGAAGATGCTCTTTTACGGTACGTCTTTGTATCCCACTGTGTAAATACACATATATCTATATGATCACTACAAACAACACACAGGATCTGGCAAACCCGTGCATCAGTACCATCTGTGCGTCTTGCTGAGAAGGATATAGCCATCCCACCCCCAAGGGTTCTTCCCTGGGCTGAGCCAATAGAAAGTGTACACCATGGCAGCAGAGGCTATTAAAGTGGCCACTGTGGCTAAACACCCAGGCACTCGAGAGATCTTTCTCTGAAGCTTCCTTGCCACGGCGTCTGTCTGACGGATGGTGGCCCGTTCCTCCACCTGTGATTGGTCGAGAGCCCTCAGAGCTTGCGCGTGCTGATTGAAAGGGAATGGGGGTGAAGCGGGAGTGGGAGTGGGAGTGGGGAGAGGGGATCAACATCGAGGGCTGGCATACAATCTTCAGCAAGTATGGTGGGAGGAGTGGGGCAGTGGGTGAAAGAATGGTGCCACAAATAGGGGAGAGTGAGGCGCTGGATGGAAGGGCGGGAGAGGGAAGTCAGTGTGGAGCAACAGCAGCTGGTTGGTAGGTTTAGGGCAGAGATGAAGCGAGGGGAGAAAGGAGGTAGCGAGAGGAAGAGAGGGAGTGTGAGGGGACGGGGAGCACCTGTCGGCGGATGGCGTGCAGGAAGGCTCGGAGGGGCGCATAGGGGGCGAGCTGCAGCTTCACCTCCTCCCACCGCCGCTCCACGCCCGCCAGCATGTGCCGCGACGTGTCCACTGTCCCGCTGTGCAGCCGCTCCTGGTGCGTTGACATGGGCGGATGGTGCGTTGGGATGGGCGGATGGTGCGTTGACATGGGCGGATGGTGCGTTGGGATGGGCGGATGGTGCGTTGACATGGGCAGATGGTGCATTGGGATGGAAGGTGCGTTGTGGTGGGTGGTGATGGGCGGGCAGTGGGAGACGATGAGCAGACCAGCACATGGTCGAGAAAGCAGGCGCAGGCATGCAGAGCGCGCCGAAAATAACCATCCAAAACACGGCATGGCATGGAACGGTATGGTATGGCATGGCATTGCACAGCATGGGACGGCGTGGCACGGCAAGACGCGGCACGGCATGGCATGGCATGGCAGGGCACGCACCCATTGGGAGTAGCAGGAGGGGTTCTCAATGAGGCACCACACCACGATGGCACCCGCCTCCTCCCTCGCCTCCTCCGACCCTGCATGCATGCATGCATGGCATGGGGGAGTAGCTCACACACATCAGGACATGCAAGCAACCGCTTCTAATGCGCCTCAAGAGTCGTTCTGAGCCTCCTCTGAGCCTGCTTGCTCGCCGGGCAAGGGAGGAGAAGAGCTGAGCCCTTGGGATGGGACATGTACAAGACATGCCTGGAGCGGAGAGATCAGAGTAGGATGGAGACATGTGCACGTGCAAAAGGTGGTGACAGGGAAGAGTCATCAGATTTCATCCTCCAACCTTAAGACCTCGTTTTTCCGGAACCTCCCAATCAAGATGCCTCCCCATTTCAGCCTCTCTCAGCCAACCTTCTCACTCTCAACCCCCCTGTATCAGCCCAACAAGGAAATTTCTCCCTCTTCTTGATCCCCCTCCTTTCCTTTGAATTCCCTTGTCGCCCCCTCCCCCAGCCCCTCTCACCCTCTCGTGAAGCGTCAAACATGAGAGGAAGCAGCTTCTCCGCAGCTTCCTGGCTGGACTTGGCACGGGCAAGGGAGGCCTGTGAGGCGGCGTCAGAGTCGCCAGCGTCCCCCCCAGTGATGGTGCCCTTCACCAGCGCCAGCTGCTTCACTATCAGGTACGCGTGGGCGAAACGGGGAGTGAACTGGAGGGGGTGGGGGCATGGAAGAGAGACAGTAAGGGCAGGGCTAACCCATGAGTGACCCTCGGAGGAGTTTCCAGAAGGGCGGCTTTCACCAGCGCCAGCTGCTTCACTAGCAGGTACGCGTGGGTGAAGCGTGGGGTGAGCTGGAGAGGGAAGGGGAGGAGGGGAAGAGAGCGAGGGAGTAGGGGTCGGGATATCTGTGAGTGGGTATGGGAGGGTTCAACGGAGAGAATGGCTTCAGATGCGCCAGATGCTTCACTATCAGGTACGCGACCGCAGCGCTTCAGGGAGCACGAGGCGCAGCCCGCCCCTCACAGCCTGTGTGTGTGTGTGCGTGCACCCACCACCCACCAAACTACCCAGCCCCAGCACACCTCAGTGCAATCGCCCTTGGCAGGGAAGGCGGCGAGCAGGAACGACTGCAGCGCCTCAGGCGGCACGAGGCGCAGCCCGCCCCTCACAGCGCCCCTGTGCAGCTCCGCATATGCCTTCCTGCGATTCTCCAACACCACCCTGCGGTCCACACACAGGTCAATAGGATCACAGGAGGGAGCGGTCTGTTGACGAAACGCCTCAATTACAAACCAGGGAGAGGTACGATGCTGAGATGCCTGGAGACGAGGAGGACTGGCGTGCCTTGTGAGCCATGAGGTGCAATCCACCCCTCACGACCGCATGAGGGGTGCATTGGGAGAGGGTAGGGGAAGTCCGCATAGGAGGAGGGTAGGCATGGAGAACAATAGGCATGGAGAACAATAGGCATGGAGAACAATAGGCATGGAGAACAATAGGCATGGAGAACAATAGGCATGGAGAACAATAGGCATGGAGAACAATAGGCATGGAGAACAATAGGCATGGAGAACAATAGGCATGGAGAACAATAGGCATGGAGAACAATAGGCATGGAGAACAATAGGCATGGAGAACAATAGGCATGGAGAACAATAGGCATGGAGAACAATAGGCATGGAGAACAATAGGCATGGAGAACAATAGGCATGGAGAACAATAGGCATGGAGAACAATAGGCATGGAGAAACAATAGGCATGGAGAACAATAGGCATGGAGAACAATAGGCATGGAGAACAATAGGCATGGAGAACAATAGGCATGGAGAACAATAGGCATGGAGAACAATAGGCATGGAGAACAATAGGCATGGAGAACAATAGGCATGGAGAACAATAGGCATGGAGAACAATAGGCATGGAGAACAATAGGCATGGAGAACAATAGGCATGGAGAACAATAGGCATGGAGAACAATAGGCATGGAGAACAATAGGCATGGAGAACAATAGGCATGGAGAACAATAGGCATGGAGAACAATAGGCATGGAGAACAATAGGCATGGAGAACAATAGGCATGGAGAACAATAGGCATGGAGAACAATAGGCATGGAGAACAATAGGCATGGAGAACAATAGGCATGGAGAACAATAGGCATGGAGAACAATAGGCATGGAGAACAATAGGCATGGAGAACAATAGGCATGGAGAACAATAGGCATGGAGAACAATAGGCATGGAGAACAATAGGCATGGAGAACAATAGGCATGGAGAACAATAGGCATGGAGAACAATAGGCATGGAGAACAATAGGCATGGAGAACAATAGGCATGGAGAACAATAGGCATGGAGAACAATAGGCATGGAGAACAATAGGCATGGAGAACAATAGGCATGGAGAACAATAGGCATGGAGAACAATAGGCATGGAGAACAATAGGCATGGAGAACAATAGGCATGGAGAACAATAGGCATGGAGAACAATAGGCATGGAGAACAATAGGCATGGAGAACAATAGGCATGGAGAACAATAGGCATGGAGAACAATAGGCATGGAGAACAATAGGCATGGAGAACAATAGGCATGGAGAACAATAGGCATGGAGAACAATAGGCATGGAGAACAATAGGCATGGAGAACAATAGGCATGGAGAACAATAGGCATGGAGAACAATAGGCATGGAGAACAATAGGCATGGAGAACAATAGGCATGGAGAACAATAGGCATGGAGAACAATAGGCATGGAGAACAATAGGCATGGAGAACAATAGGCATGGAGAACAATAGGCATGGAGAACAATAGGCATGGAGAACAATAGGCATGGAGAACAATAGGCATGGAGAACAATAGGCATGGAGAACAATAGGCATGGAGAACAATAGGCATGGAGAACAATAGGCATGGAGAACAATAGGCATGGAGAACAATAGGCATGGAGAACAATAGGCATGGAGAACAATAGGCATGGAGAACAATAGGCATGGAGAACAATAGGCATGGAGAACAATAGGCATGGAGAACAATAGGCATGGAGAACAATAGGCATGGAGAACAATAGGCATGGAGAACAATAGGCATGGAGAACAATAGGCATGGAGAACAATAGGCATGGAGAACAATAGGCATGGAGAACAATAGGCATGGAGAACAATAGGCATGGAGAACAATAGGCATGGAGAACAATAGGCATGGAGAACAATAGGCATGGAGAACAATAGGCATGGAGAACAATAGGCATGGAGAACAATAGGCATGGAGAACAATAGGCATGGAGAACAATAGGCATGGAGAACAATAGGCATGGAGAACAATAGGCATGGAGAACAATAGGCATGGAGAACAATAGGCATGGAGAACAATAGGCATGGAGAACAATAGGCATGGAGAACAATAGGCATGGAGAACAATAGGCATGGAGAACAATAGGCATGGAGAACAATAGGCATGGAGAACAATAGGCATGGAGAACAATAGGCATGGAGAACAATAGGCATGGAGAACAATAGGCATGGAGAACAATAGGCATGGAGAACAATAGGCATGGAGAACAATAGGCATGGAGAACAATAGGCATGGAGAACAATAGGCATGGAGAACAATAGGCATGGAGAACAATAGGCATGGAGAACAATAGGCATGGAGAACAATAGGCATGGAGAACAATAGGCATGGAGAACAATAGGCATGGAGAACAATAGGCATGGAGAACAATAGGCATGGAGAACAATAGGCATGGAGAACAATAGGCATGGAGAACAATAGGCATGGAGAACAATAGGCATGGAGAACAATAGGCATGGAGAACAATAGGCATGGAGAACAATAGGCATGGAGAACAATAGGCATGGAGAACAATAGGCATGGAGAACAATAGGCATGGAGAACAATAGGCATGGAGAACAATAGGCATGGAGAACAATAGGCATGGAGAACAATAGGCATGGAGAACAATAGGCATGGAGAACAATAGGCATGGAGAACAATAGGCATGGAGAACAATAGGCATGGAGAACAATAGGCATGGAGAACAATAGGCATGGAGAACAATAGGCATGGAGAACAATAGGCATGGAGAACAATAGGCATGGAGAACAATAGGCATGGAGAACAATAGGCATGGAGAACAATAGGCATGGAGAACAATAGGCATGGAGAACAATAGGCATGGAGAACAATAGGCATGGAGAACAATAGGCATGGAGAACAATAGGCATGGAGAACAATAGGCATGGAGAACAATAGGCATGGAGAACAATAGGCATGGAGAACAATAGGCATGGAGAACAATAGGCATGGAGAACAATAGGCATGGAGAACAATAGGCATGGAGAACAATAGGCATGGAGAACAATAGGCATGGAGAACAATAGGCATGGAGAACAATAGGCATGGAGAACAATAGGCATGGAGAACAATAGGCATGGAGAACAATAGGCATGGAGAACAATAGGCATGGAGAACAATAGGCATGGAGAACAATAGGCATGGAGAACAATAGGCATGGAGAACAATAGGCATGGAGAACAATAGGCATGGAGAACAATAGGCATGGAGAACAATAGGCATGGAGAACAATAGGCATGGAGAACAATAGGCATGGAGAACAATAGGCATGGAGAAACAATAGGCATGGAGAACAATAGGCATGGAGAACAATAGGCATGGAGAACAATAGGCATGGAGAACAATAGGCATGGAGAACAATAGGCATGGAGAACAATAGGCATGGAGAACAATAGGCATGGAGAACAATAGGCATGGAGAACAATAGGCATGGAGAACAATAGGCATGGAGAACAATAGGCATGGAGAACAATAGGCATGGAGAACAATAGGCATGGAGAACAATAGGCATGGAGAACATGGCATGGAGAACAATAGGCATGGAGAACAATAGGCATGGAGAACAATAGGCATGGAGAACAATAGGCATGGAGAACAATAGGCATGGAGAACAATAGGCATGGAGAACAATAGGCATGGAGAACAATAGGCATGGAGAACAATAGGCATGGAGAACAATAGGCATGGAGAACAATAGGCATGGAGAACAATAGGCATGGAGAACAATAGGCATGGAGAACAATAGGCATGGAGAACAATAGGCATGGAGAACAATAGGCATGGAGAACAATAGGCATGGAGAACAATAGGCATGGAGAACAATAGGCATGGAGAACAATAGGCATGGAGAACAATAGGCATGGAGAACAATAGGCATGGAGAACAATAGGCATGGAGAACAATAGGCATGGAGAACAATAGGCATGGAGAACAATAGGCATGGAGAACAATAGGCATGGAGAACAATAGGCATGGAGAACAATAGGCATTGAGAACAATAGGCATGGGAAGGCGGTGCGAGCATGTAAACTCGAATGCTCTCACTGCTGGAGGAACGGGAAGGTGGCAAGCGGGAGTGGTGAAGGAAAGGCAGGGAACTCACTCCTCGAGGAAGGTGAGGGCGAGGTGCGTGGTGGCGGGGGAGGCGGTGGGGTGGATGGCAGGCGGCAGCAGGCAGTGGATAAAGAGCGACATGCCCGCCACCCTGTCCGCCCGTGCTGCCTGCATGGGGGGCGAGACATGAGGGAGAGGAGAGGCCGGAGAGACAGGAGAGACAAGAGAGACAGGGTACGGACCGACGTGGTTGAGATAGAGTTAGGGGAAGGTAATCGGGTGGAAATTGGTGGAGAGAGGGACGCAACGCAAACAGGCCATGCGCGAAGGAGCATGAGGGAGCGAAGGAGTAGAGGGCAAAGAAGGGTGAGGTAAGGACACTGGGCGCACTGTGCTGACCAGTGCAGCCTCACGCACAAAGCCCATAGCCTCTCATTATCCCACCTGCCCGTATATCCATGCAAGGATCGCCAGCCTATCCCCCTCTGCCACGTGGGTGCCTGCTGAAGCACCATCCTTGGTGGGTGGCTGCTGGGCACTGGACGGCCTTTGTTTGTCTTTTATGGGCGGCAGCAGCGCGTCGGGCACTTGCTGGAGAGTGGCGGGTCGCACGCGCAGGAGAATGGCGAGCAGCGAGAGAGCCGCGTCCTGCCAGGAAGGTGTTGGGGGTGGTGTGTGAGGGTTGGGTGGTATACAAGGGTTGAAGCGCGGGTTGGAGCGTCTTGACAGGGGGGTGCGGGGGTGGTGTGAACAGGCTGGGATGGCACGAAAGGTTACGATGGGAGTTGACGCGGCGGATCAAGAGAAGCCAGGGGGGCAGACCGGTGGTTGAAATGAGTGGGCGTTGATGGTGGATGGGCAATGGCGGGGAGTACAAGAGTGGGTTCCGTGAGGTGCGAGCAAGCTGACACGTGGCAGATACACGACGGGCTCGCGCTCTTCCTCTCCTTTCTGATTCGGGCACGCAATCCATCTCTATGCGAGCATTATCCTTCGTTCCTTCCACTGATGCTATAGCAAAGAACACATGGGAACGTGCTGAGAGCTTGCCTTGGAGATGGTCACGTGGTCGCTGGGCGGCCTATCATGCAGTGCCACGTGGATGAGCAAAGCTGCCACTGCTGCCAGGTCTTTGCTGCCCTGCGTCGCCAACCAATCAGAAGCTGACCTGATCACCCGCTCGGGCAGGTCGAAATAAGGCACCTGGGGGCATGGGGTATGGGGCATGGGGCATGGGGTATGGGGCATGGGGCATGGGGCATGGGGTATGGGGCATGGGGCATGGGTTTGGGGCATGGGGTATGGGGTATGGGGTATGGGTATGGGGCATGGGGTATGAGGGGAGATGACACACGCGGCATGGCATGGGGCATGGGGTGTGGGGTATGGGGTATGGGGTATGGGGGGCTTGGGGCATGGGGTATGGGGTATGGGGCTTGGGGCATGAGGTATGGGCATGGGGCATGAGGTTTGGGGCTTATGGCATGGGGTATGGGCATGGGGGAAATGGTGGCACGGGTAAGAAGCATGGGACATGGGGAAGGCACGAGAGTGAAATTAGGATACGAGCCAGGGGCAGTTCAGTCAACGCTCGGTCAACTCACGGTCAACCCGTAGTCCACTCCAGTCCCTAGTCGGTCAGCTCCCAGTCAACGCTCAGTCAGTCAGCTCCCAGTCAACGCTCAGTCGGTCACCTCCCAGTCCACGCTCAGTCAGTCAGCTCCCAGTCAACGCTCAGTCAGTCAGCCCCCAGTCAACGCTCATTCAGTCAGCTCCCAGTCAACGCTCAGTCAGTCAGCTCCCAGTCAACGCTCAGTCAGTCAGCTCCCAGTCAACGCTCAGTCAGTCAGCGCCCAGTCAACGCTCAGTCAGTCATCTCCCAGTCAACGCTCAGTCAGTCAGCTCGGAGTGACTCTCTCAGAGGCTTATGGCTCGTCCTTGCTGTCAATTCTCATTGTCCATTCTCAGCTGAACATTGCTATCGTTCTCTCCTCCACGCCCACTCCTTCGTCCTTCACTGTTCACGTTTCACAATTCGTTTTTCAATTTTTGGTTGCTGTTCACTGTCCAACCCATTCGTTTCTTTCATTTCCATGCAGAACGTGTATCACTGTTTCGCGTGTCGACTTACATCCACAGCCTTGGAGATGCCTCTATCGCGTACAATCTCCACGATGTCGATTCCAGCTTTCGGGAGCGACGCGGACACGTCAGCGTCGAAACTGCCAAACCATTGATCGAACGGCAAAGGTGCGGCTGCTGGGGACGGGGATTCGGTCGAATGAGCCTCCGCATGTTGCGTCGAATGAGATATTGACGACGCTTGAGGATCGGAGTCCGTGGCGCGAGACATTGCCGTTGACCGTCAACGGTAACGGGGTTGACGTTCAGTCGTGGAACGCTGCAGACACTTAACAAAATATGTAACTGTTTAACACCTCCCGAAGCCTCCAAGGCAGACTGGAATCGACGGACTGCGACTTCAGAGCAAAGCTGCAGCTTCGAAATCAACCCATATGCTACTCGTCTGTGTCAGTGGTAATCAAGGTTAAGTTCGCATCGGAGAGCTTTGGAGCCCACACGGAAGTTAGGGACGAGCGGGTCACGAAGCCGCTAAAATGATGCTGTTATTGAGCATGATGCACGAGAACTGTGGTTTGGAAAGAAGAGGAGAGGAAGAGGTGGGGTGAAGCTGTCGCGCTGCACGCTGCACAGCGACTCGGCGGGAACTTTTCTGTGATTAGCTGCATCTGGACGTCTCCCTCAGCAATGGCTCGAGATTCAGATGAACCGACGCAGACTGTAGATGTTCCGTGCACTAATACGATAAACCTTTGCAAAGCCTGTAAAAATAAATAACCACCCAATTAGCAACTACTACCAATAAAGAGAATCTTACACACCAATGTTCACAATTAGAATGCGGCCCTCCACTGAAACAAGGCACAAATTTTCCATAAACCGTGGCGACTCCATCATATCCGTGGCAGCAACCGTGGCGACTCAGTGGAAGGCCGGGTTAGCGCACCCAAGAAGGGTGCCAGCTCATCCACCAGCTGCTCCATGTCCTCCCTCACATCACGCTGCATCCCCCCCAGCCCCCCTCCCATGCCCTCCCCCTCGCCCCCCAGCCCCACCGCCCCCGTCAGCGTGTCGCTGACGCCGCGCGCCAGGTCAGCGAGCGGCGTGCCAGCTGTCATGGAGGCAAGCAGGGAGCTGCCGCGGGAGACCACGTCAGCGACAGTCTGTGGGATCTCGGGAACCACCTGCGCCGTTCGCCAACATGGAGGAAGAGGTCCCAAGGAGGGGATGGAGTTGGGTTTGGTTGTGGCGGGGCGGATGGTGTGTAAGGTTGAGATTGGACACAAGGTAGGGACGTGCAGCACGAGGCGCAGATGAAGCGAGGCCTGAGCAGTGGCGACTATTAAGAGCAGCCTTAAGGAATGCAGCAGATTTGTGCGACAGTGGATGTGAGAGGGTTTCTGCGTCCGGCGTAACGGAGACTCATGCCACGTGGCATACCTGGCGCAGTGGCCGCACGTGGTCGCCTGGCAGCGTGCGCATGGCGAGGTCCAGGCACGCTGACACAGCGCTGCCCGCTGCCAGGGTGTCCGCCAGGTCAGCGGTCTCGTCGATGGTGTCATCCTTGAATCGCACCAGCAGGTTGCGCCGCACCCCGTAGTACGTCTGGGCCTGGGGGTGGGCGGAGAAGGGAAAGGGGGGGTGGGATAGCACGTGGCTCTTTGGTGCGTGGGCGCAGTTGATTTTTTAGTACGTGCACGAGCAGGTTGTGCCGCGCTCTGTAGTATGACTGGGCCTGGTGGTGGGCAGGGAGGAGCGGAGGGAGGAAGGGGGGAGTCAGGTGGGTCTAAAGGGCCTGAATTCAGGTTCCTTGATTTGAGCACTGCAGCAGGTTGTGCTGCATGCCGTGGTATGCGTTGGCCTGGTGTTGGGCAGAGACAGTGGGGACGGAAACCAGCAGGCGACTCTACGGTACCTGCGAACAAGTATCATTTCCAAAGCGCACCCACCTTGCGGCGTACCCGTTGAATGACTAGGCCAGGTGTGAGAGCAGGGCAGGAGGAGGGTCTTACCTGGTGCGGGTGTGGACTGAACTGACAGCGCCTAGTGTCGCCTAGAAATAAAACTCCCCCCAGCGCCCGGTGCAGGTGAGCACTGCCCTGACCAAGCCTGGTGCCACCTAAGATCAATCTCTCACCAGGCGGCGGGTCTCAGCTGGAGCAGGTGTGAACTGATCACGTCCGTCAGACAGGTCGCGGTAGAGTGGAGGCAGCTGCTCCAGCAGCGGTAGCAGCTGTGCCACCATTGGTGCGTTCAGATCCCTCAGCTGCTTCACTGCCACGTCAGCCTGGGGCGGCATGGGGAGGGGAGAGAGGAGATAGGGGATGAGGAGACAGGAGACGGGGAGGGGCTGGGGGGATTGTAGGGGAGCAGGGTCGCAGTAAATGGATGGCAGATGGGCAGGCTGCAAGGCAGGTGGGAAGACAAGTGTGTTGGAACACAGTGATGCGAGAGCAGACGATTTGATTCATTTGCATGCGCTGAGGGTGGATGGAAAAGGGAGAAGGAGAGAAGGGATGCGAGGCGTGGCACGGACCCCTAGTTTGAGGGTGGGGTTGTTGAGCAGCTGCGTGAGGATGGGGCCGAGGCTCTGCGCCATGGGCATGATGACTGGCGAGAACAGCGGTATGGCTGCACTGGCCTCCTGCATTGGTGGGGAGGAAGGGGGGTTATTTCAGGGGGGAGAGAGGGGTGAGAGGATGGGGCCGAGACTCTGCACCATGGGCATGATGACCGGGGAGAACAGCGCGAACAGCCAAAGAACGAGGACCGAATAATGTAATGTGGACCCTCAATATGAATAGAAATGAGACAAATACCCCCGTACATCGTTTGACTGGCAGGGACATGGTGATGGGGGAGAGGGGCGAGGGAAGAGGAACGAGGATGACCATAGAGGTACCTTGTTGTTGAAGGAGAGAAAGACGTTTCCAGCTCTCTCCACGGCGTAGCGAGCACCTTTATATGGAGGCCAGACGGGTATGGCAGTAGGGGGGGTCAGGAGGATATGACAAGAGGGAAAGACAGAGAGGAGATAATAGTTAGTGGCAAAGGGAGGACGAAAACGGAGGTGCGGTTCACAGGGATAAGGGCTTGCAACAAAGCTGCGAGTGCTCTCCGGGACAGGAGTTAAACAATAAACAAACGGGTTTTGCGACAAGGAGAGGAAAATAGAAATGCGGAGAGAAACGGAAGACAAAGGCAGGGAGACAGGGAGGGGAAGGCAGGGTGGGTTGATGGAAAAGCAAAGCAGTGCCTGCCAACGAGGAGATGCACGAGGGCGTACCAAGGAGGAGATGCACGAGGGCGTACCAAGGAGGAGATGCACGAGGGCGTACCAAGGAGGAGATGCACGAGGGCGTACCAAGGAGGAGATGCACGAGGGCGTACCAAGGAGGAGATGCACGAGGGCGTACCAAGGAGGAGATGCACGAGGGCGTACCAAGGAGGAGATGCACGAGGGCGTACCAAGGAGGAGATGCACGAGGGCGTACCAAGGAGGAGATGCACGAGGGCGTACCAAGGAGGAGATGCACGAGGGCGTACCAAGGAGGAGATGCACGAGGGCGTACCAAGGAGGAGATGCACGAGGGCGTACCAAGGAGGAGATGCACGAGGGCGTACCAAGGAGGAGATGCACGAGGGCGTACCAAGGAGGAGATGCACGAGGGCGTACCAACGAGGAGATGCACGAGGGCGTACCAACGAGGAGATGCACGAGGGCGTACCAACGAGGAGATGCACGAGGGCGTACCAACGAGGAGATGCACGAGGGCGTACCAACGAGGAGATGCACGAGGGCGTACCAACGAGGAGATGCACGAGGGCGTACCAACGAGGAGATGCACGAGGGCGTACCAAGGAGGAGATGCACGAGGGCGTACCAAGGAGGAGATGCACGAGGGCGTACCAACGAGGAGATGCACGAGGGCGTACCAACGAGGAGATGCACGAGGGCGTACCAACGAGGAGATGCACGAGGGCGTACCAACGAGGAGATGCACGAGGGCGTACCAACGAGGAGATGCACGAGGGCGTACCAACGAGGAGATGCACGAGGGCGTACCAACGAGGAGATGCACGAGGGCGTACCAACGAGGAGATGCACGAGGGCGTACCAAGGAGGAGATGCACGAGGGCGTACCAACGAGGAGATGCACGAGGGCGTACCAACGAGGAGATGCACGAGGGCGTACCAAGGAGGAGATGCACGAGGGCGTACCAACGAGGAGATGCACGAGGGCGTACCAACGAGGAGATGCACGAGGGCGTACCAACGAGGAGATGCACGAGGGCGTACCAACGAGGAGATGCACGAGGGCGTACCAACGAGGAGATGCACGAGGGCGTACCAACGAGGAGATGCACGAGGGCGTACCAACGAGGAGATGCACGAGGGCGTACCAAGGAGGAGATGCACGAGGGCGTACCAACGAGGAGATGCACGAGGGCGTACCAACGAGGAGATGCACGAGGGCGTACCAAGGAGGAGATGCACGAGGGCGTACCAACGAGGAGATGCACGAGGGCGTACCAACGAGGAGATGCACGAGGGCGTACCAACGAGGAGATGCACGAGGGCGTACCAACGAGGAGATGCACGAGGGCGTACCAACGAGGAGATGCACGAGGGCGTACCAACGAGGAGATGCACGAGGGCGCCCATGGAGTGCCCCACGCCGTACACTGGCAGGTCTATGGGCTGATGGTGGCATGCCATGCATGAATGGGGTGCATGGGTGGGGAGCATGGGAGAACAATCGAGTCAGGGGTTGGGACATGGCGCATGGGGTGAGAGTGTGAGCTCAGTGCATGAGTCACTGAATTTATACACAGAGCGTACGTCTGACTGACTGACGGCTTTAAGCAACAGCACATACATCATTGGGTGGCGTGGCTTCAAGCAACAGCACATACATCGTTGGGCGGCTGGGCTTTAAGCGAGAGCGAGCGCATGCAGCGGTCGAATCTGAACTGCGCCTCGTCTGCGATCCTCAGATGGTCAAAGCCACTCGCGTACGGCGTTGCAACCACCATCAGACCCCTAGGAAAGAGGAAGACGATTAAGGGGGAGGGAGGGAGGGAGGGAGGGAGGGAGGGAGGGAGGGAGGGAGGGAGGGAGGGAGGGAGGGTGGGAGGGAGGGAGGGAGGGAGGGAGGGAGGGAGGGAGGGAGGGAGGGAGGGAGGGAGGGAGGGAGGGAGGGTGGGAGGGAGAGAGGGAGGGAGGGAGGGAGGGAGGGAGGGAGGGAGGGAGGGAGGGTGGGTGGGAGGGAGGGAGGGAGGGAGGGAGGGAGGGAGGGAGGGAGGGAGGGAGGGAGGGAGGGAGGGAGGGAGGTGAAAAATATGAGATGTTAATGCTTTCTTGTTTGATAGAAGATTCAAGAATAAGGACAGTAGGCACCTGACATTCCTACGACAAGGCAACTAAAACTACAACCTGAAAGGAATGGAAAAATTCTCAACTGAAGGTACATTTCTCGTGCAAGACGAGCGTGCGTTCGCCATTCTCAAGCCCGTCAGGCTGGTTGTTGTGGCTTTTTTAGCTGCTCAGGAGTCTCATCCGATACCGAATCAGGATTGCAGTGACAGCATTCTCTTCACACCTCTGTGCCAGCGTGGTGAGGAAGAGGCGGTAGGTGAGTTGAGGAGACGCGCCAACAAACGCTCCCCCAATGAAGTGTACCACCGCTGTCGCCTGCAGAGGGGCTGGCGGGCGCAGCACCCACGCTCCCTGTGATGGAAAGAGATGGACGAGTGCGAGTGTGCAGGGAGACAGGCAGGTGGAAGCGAGGAGGTGAATTTTGAGTGCAATAAAAAATCACGAAGGTTCCCCCTATAAAGTGCACCACCGCTGTTGCCTGCAGAGTTGGTGCCCCTCCGCTCTCTGTTATGCGGGAAGACAAGGAGGGAGATAGGGATGAAAAGAAAGAGGTGATATTCGAGTTGATTCTCAATGAAGGCCCCTTGTTATGAAGTGCACCACTGCTGTCGCGTGCAGATGGCGGGCGCAGCACCATGCTCCCTGTGATGGGCGAGAGAGCGGGATGCGAGTGCGGAAGGGTGAGAGGGATGGCACTGGTGAACGTACAGGGGAGAGTGGAAGCGGGAGCATAAAGGAAATAAGGGCGGAGAGAACGGCAGTCATGTTTTGCGCAGCACCGCACTTCTCCTCGTTCTGCAGCCATTGTCTTCCTGCATGGACTCAAACGCCACCTCACTCTCCTCCTGCACTATCGCACGCTCTCACTCCACATCGCTCCTTCCACAACATCATCCTCCCCTCCTTTCCCTCTTCCCTTCCCCCCTCCCCTCTCCCTCTCTTACCTCCACCTCCTCCCACTGCCCTGCCGCATCAGTGCCCTGGGATTGCCGAGCAGACTCTGAAATCAGACTGAGGGGGGGTGGAGAGGAGGCGGCGGACAGGAGAGAAGAAGGAGAGGGAAGGGGGGAGGAGCACGGGGAAGAGGGGGAACGGACTTGAAATGGGCAGGTCAGGAAGAGCGAGCGAGGGTACATTCAACTGGACTAGATGCGAGCGAACCACCAAGCGACTGACCGCCATCACTCATACCGTACCTCCAAGCAACTGCAAAACAGCTGGACGCTCCTCATGCGCCCGCACCTTTGCACTTTTGCACCTGGTAACACCGCCCATCGCGCCACAACGACCTGCCGCCATGCTCTCCGTGTGGCTATCACATGATAGCACGATAGCACGATAGCCCCACAGATTTGCTGCCAGCCGCGCTTGCCCAGACGAATAAGAACCTGTCCTACACGCTGTCCATCCACTAGTATCAGCTACACATTCATACCCCACTAGCCACCAGGAATGAACGACCAGGTACCTCTCAATGCGGCTGTACAGCTGAATGCTCTCGTCCTTCTTCCGCCTCGCGCTCCCATCCGCGTCATTCTCGCCAGATCCCCCGCCGCCAACTGCGGCCACTGGCCGCACCGCCCTGCGAGCCTTCCTGCCGACGACATGACAGGCTGGCAGGCTGCTTAGTCTTAGTCTATCGCTGCCATGGAAGCTGCTACTCCTTGTCGCCACCAAGGATTGCGACGATACGCGCGGGGCAAGCGCGATTGGCGTCGAAAGGGACGCGACAGATGAATTCGTGGACGTGGGGAAGTGACGTGGGGCGGAGTTCCACGTGGCACAACGCAGCTCGAGAGAAGTCATGGTTCGACTGGATTCTACGGGACAAATGTTGTGATAAATGCAATATGTCTGGTTTCACAAATGTACAAGCATTTGATGGGTTGCTTGTGGTTCAAGTTACAGCGAAAATTTGGCGTCGCAAACATATCTTCGCTCATTCATTCCGCGGGCGGGGATTTGGGCCTAGGTTATCGCCAATTGACTCTTGCGAAGATCTGTGTTACCTTGTCGTCGTCGTGACGGCTTGCGTTTGTGAGATTAGACACGGTTGTCGTGATTTCGTCGTTCAGCGGCGATTTTGTCACCCAACACCAATTTCGTCCCCCAACAGTTACGACTGCGAATGTAATTGCATTATATAGTGCATGCCCATTCACCAAAAAAAAAAAAAAAACAAGAGGCGACAAGTCGTCATAGGGTTGCGAAGCGTTTTGCATAACCACATTTTGTTTTTCTCTAGAAATTGTTGTAAGTAGTATGAAAGTGTTACTCAATGCTGTCTGAAAGATGTTCACAAAATGTCAGCAGCAAGATTCGAACCTGTAATCTTTGGATTCTCAACTAACCTTCAACCAACTGCACCACGACCACATGCACGGTTGCGGAGTCATATGTACACAACAGATGTTGGCTCTTACTACTCCAGCGACCGCTGCTATTCCCGCTAAGTCGACTACGTAGGTATCTATTTCTAGACGAAAAGCTATAGGAGAGTGGCAAGTCATTACTACCTTTTTTGCTGCAACCCATGTTAGCTTACGTTGTAGGTTTTCTTCGATATTTCTGTCCATCTGAATCAAGGGCATCTTCAAGGGCTGCAGCTCGTTTTGGTGTTGTCTCTATGTCTGTTTATAGGGCTGCAACCCTTTTTTACCTAGCAACTAGGTTGTTCTTAAGGGCTGCAGCCAGAAGAACAACGAAGACGGTTTGTTCATTCAAGATGCAACTAGGTCTAAATCAAAGATCCCTTCGATGTGTGTCTTGAATCGTTGATTCGTTGTGTATTGTTCCCGTGATGTGCTTTCAGGAAAATGTCCAACTAATATATGGTCTCATTATCTCGGGCTGATTCAAGGTGAGAGTTCAACCCTTAGTGTTTCATGGTATGCAACTTTTCAAGTTCGTACTTCAAAGTTCTCTTTATGACAGCGTACGGAATCTTATAAGAAACATAAGCATTGGAACCTCATATTTAACATTGAGGTATGAAACCAATCTGTAAGGTATCGCGTATGTGATTATTCAATTGTGTAAATAAGCGAAAATGCTGGAAATAGTTTTCATGAGGTAGAGTACACGTGTCAACGATATTGTAACGGCTAAGTCGAAAGAGAATGTGGATTCTATGGCAGTAAGATTGCACACGAGACAATAGAATAACAATCATATAGTGAAAACATGATGTGAGAATGCATACGGATTTAAGATTAGCCTAGTTGAGGTGTGGGTGACTTCTTTTATTAGCTCACAATTTTCCGTCATTTCCAAGATATTACTGCCCCTGATTTCAAGCTTGATGTATTGTTGTTTTGTTTTGTTTGTTTGTTATTGTTTTTCGTCAATCCGCACACAGGTTGTGAAGTGGAAGCGGACGTCATTTCTAATCTCTTACTAGGTACATATTTCATGTCTCATGCCTTCCCCCCTGCCTTACCCATTCTCTCTTCTCTCGCTTGTTATAGATTGGCTAGGTGTCTTCTTTTCCATTCTTCCTTTTTGTTCCACCACTTCCAGTACCTATCCAATACGTACTTCTTCTGTCCGTCCACGACATCCATCCTATCCTTTCTATTTCGTATTACACCTCTTGCCACTTTACTTATTTAGCATGTTTGTCTCTGATTTTTCTGTTTGTGCTTCATGCTTACCTCAATTAGTTTCTTGCTGAAAATGGATCTTGGTTAGGGTGTATAGGAATAGTTGAACACGTCTACTATCAAATTCATGACTTATTGTATCAATTCTATGCATTTTTTGTGGTACCAGAATGCATCTTATCCCCTTTGTTTTTAATTTAGTCCATTTTTTCCTCTTTGTATCTGTAATTCATTCCAAACATTTCTTGCAGCTTCAGGAAGTGAAGGTTAAATTGGAAGATGGAAAGATACAGACGGTTATTTGTATGATTATATATATTGCAATGGTTTTTATTTGCTTGTTCTGGTTTTTTCCAGCAGTTGGTGCATTGAGCTGTTATGTTTGTGCGAATGGGTGTGATCATATGCATGTGTGGACATTCATCCATATGCATCTATTCTATCATTGCATCAACAATGCGCATCTGTGTATTTTAAAAAATTGGTCAACCTATCATTTCCGAGAAGGTTCTTTGCCCACTCAGTGAGTGTGTTCATTTGAACTGGATTTGATAGGTCTTGATCATTTTTTTAGTTTACACAGATTGTGTTGTTTCATGTAACAGTTGGATGATTCGGAAACTATGCTATTGAGCCTCCCCCCCATGCTAGGCAGGGGATGCGGTAGCATAGGGTTCGGGTCAATTCACTTTTACGCATTTCCATCATGCTATGCATTTATTTCACTACACTAGACTTTTACCGAAATATATACTACCATATACTCACTACAATATCGTATGCATTATATTTATGCATTTAGCATTCTATAATTAGTTAACCACATCCATCATTATACTTCATCTACGCATAACATCACCCGTCATTGCAGTACAAAATAAACAGTATAGATTCAGTCAAGTCAAAGGAAGATGGTACGGCGCGTGCTAAATTGCCGTCGCAATTACAAAGCAGTAAGTCACTTAATTACCGTACTGTTCACTAGATTTTCTTCATACCGTATTTTTTTTTTAGTGCGAAAATGAAAAAAAAACAAGAGGCGACGAAATCGTCTTAGGGTTGCGAAGCGTTTTGCCTTTTCCAAAGCTTCATTATCCATGTAGAAATTTAAATTATATGGAATGCATGAGGCAACAATATTGTTTCAAAGATGCAGAGCTTTTGGATTTATGAGTATTACTTAAGCTTTTATAGATTCTTTATCCATATTCATTCAATTTCATGCTACATACTACTATGATGGTTTCTCTTATGGTAAAAAAGGGAAATCCAACTAAATGTTGATAGTCTTACAGAACAACAAGGAATTAGTGTTCTAGGTGTTCTAAACTTCAGAGAAACAGCAAAAAAAAATATCGCCTTTCAACTACATCCCCATAGCGAAGTTCGAACCGGCAACCTTCGGCACATTTGTGAAGATCTAAACGGCTGCGTCAAATCACCTATCTAGGTAACGTTTCTTTTCATATTTAAACTTCATTTTTTCTGTGTAAGTGCAAAAACCTTACCTTCAGATCGAGACCTTTCTATTGCAGGAACGAGATTCGTTCAGCTGAGCGAATTTCGCTGACTGTTTTGAGCAACAGAAACTTTGGGTATTGTTTTGTTGCGACGAATCTGTTCATTGCCTAGGGTTTGTTTCGTCCCTTTTTTCTCTCCCTCGTCAGTTGGAGCTTACGATGTTCCCACTAGTCATGCTGCTCCACCTACCTATGCCAAGGTGAGATTAATCTTACCTTAGATGATTACGAATTAGACTAACACTTCTTTTAATCTTATCCTACTTGTTTACTCCAGTGTTGGCCGTTTTTTAGGGATGCAAGTTGTTCATGCTTAGGTTCTAGGCTTGATGTAAGACTTAAGCTTTAGGTCGTTTGTAAGCCTGCATGCGTTCTTTAGTTCCACATCGTCTCTTTTCTCTGTTGCATCCTTGCTACCTCGAAATTGCGTATGTTCCTTGACGTTCTTCCTTCCTTTCTCCTTACGTTCTTGCTATGTAGATTTGAACGCCTAACATCCTTTGCCTTAGTAGACAGCTCGTTTTTTACCATTTTAACTGAACAAACAGGTTGTTCATATTTTGTGCTCTTTCTTTATTCCCACCACCCCAATCTTGTCTTTTCCATTTCGTTTCTGAGTTCTATCTACCATTTCCGTTCAGATTTCATTTCACTCAGTCATGAGCTTCTCATTCAATGGGCGTTCTAATGCACGACCTAATCGTAGCTAGGTGAGTCCGTTCTTCTATGAATACTCCCTCACATCTAAATCTTCTACATGCATGTGAGGTGCGTTCTCTTAATATTCTTTTTCTTTCGCCTCTCATTTGCTTCTCTTATCCGTTCCTCTTTTCGTATTGATCTTATTGTGAACCTTAATCCTTATCATTTGCGTATGTTCCTTGACGTTCTTCCTTCCTTCCTTCTCGTTCTCTCGCTCTCTCGCTCTCTCGCTCTCGCTCTCGCTCTCGCTCTCGCTCTCGCCCTCTGTCTCGTTTTCTCTCTCTCGTTCTCTCTCGTTCGTTCTCTCTCTCTTGTTCTCTCTCTCTCTCGTTCTATCTCTCTCGTTCTCGTTCGTTCTCTCTCTCTCGTTCGTTCTCTCTGGTTCGTCCTCTCTCTCTCTCGACCTCTCTCTCTCGTCCTCTCTCTTTCGTCCTCTCTCTCTCTCTCTCTCGCTCTCGCTCTCGCTCTCGCTCTTGCTCTCGCTCTCCCTCTCCGTTGTATATCGTCGTTTCCTGTTTTATTAGTTGCTCTGTTTTTTTGGTTCTGTTTTTTTAATGTATATCGTTCTTCATCATTTTTTTTCCTTACCACCATTTGCTTGCATTCTGTTTGGTTACTATGTTCTTCTCCTCATCTGCCTTGCTTTCTTTTCTATTTTCTCCACACTTTGATAATTTTTTTCTTCTCTCCCCTCTTCCTTTCTTTCCCTCTCCTTCATCACTTTCAGTGTCATTCCTTCCTATCCTCCCTTGTTTTGCTTTCCCATTTCCTCTACATCGAATATCATATTGCACCTTTCAGAAAGCCAAGTTCAGTCTGCAAAGTGGGAAGAGTAGTGGTGATTTGCAGAATTCATTTTTATTATATTTGTTGATTTTGTTTTGCACCTTCTATTGTTATTGTTTTGACTTTGTTCTGGTGTGAGTTGGGGTTTCTGTGTGTGTGTGTGTATTCATCTCTACTCATTCACTCATTTCATTGACAATGCATGTCTGTGGGTCTTAAAAACTTGATCAGCCTATCATTTCCAAGAACGTTCTTTGCGCACTCAGTGAGTGTGTCCACTTGAACGGGATTTGATAGAACTGATCATTTTTTTGGGATACACAGATTGTGTTGTATTCATGTGATAGTTGTATGACTTAAATGCTAGGCTATTGACTTCCCCCCCATGCTAGGCAGGGGATGCGGTAGCCTAGTTGTTTAGGTCTTATAACTATCACGCATTTCTATCATTTAATGGCATACATACTGCAGTAACATGTACCATACTATTATGCATTCTACTACGCATCATATTCATGCATTATGCAATCATTATTTAAAACCATCATACTAATATACGCATTACTGGATTCACAGACACAAAGTAGGCAAAAGGTTAACACACAGACGGGAGCACATGGCCACATACGTATCACAACTAGTATAGAGAAGTAGTTCTAGTTGATTTTTTTTCATATTTTAATTTTAGAAAATACCGTATGAAAAAAAAATGAACATAACGATTGTAATAGGTTGCTTCGCAACCCAAAAATTGTACATAACGATTGTAATAGGTTGCTTCGCAACCCAAAAAAAAAAAAAAAATATCGTCCCCCAACAGAATTCCCCTTCTGGGAGCCTCCCGAAGTGTTGCCGGTTCGCGAGTAACCTTTTGGAACACTGAATACCGTCAACGCAAACTCCCCCATCTCCATGTTACCACAAAGCAGGATTGACCAAGAACAGCCAGCAGTTCGAGGTGATAACAACTTGTTAGCGGCGCGGATTAAAATTCCATTACCGTTAGGACCCATCGCACCTCTGTGCCTTTGGCACACTTCCGTCTTTACGCTATGTGGGTTCCAGCATCCATCACTGCCGCCTCTAATTTGCCCAGCCATCGGCGGCACCACGGGGCCTGATTCCGCACAAAATGGAACCCCCCCACATGCCCTCCCCCATCGCACCCGTCGTCCCGCTCGCTGCGCCACCGTCCCCGCCCAGCCCGTCGCTCCCCGTGTCCCCGCTCCTGGTGGTGGCGATGGGGCTGCCAGGCGCGGGCAAGAGCACGCTCTGCGCCGCCCTCGCGCAACTTGCGCGGCAGGTGAGCGATTATCCCGCGCCCCTTCCCTTCACCTCCCAATCTATCCCGCGCTGCCGTCCCCCCTGCTCCATCGCTCTTGAAGGCGTCTCAAGACTCGACCCAAACTCTCAATGTCGCACAACGTTACAATGTGGCAACTGCTGAATGCGGATCACCGCCGTGTGCGCGCAGGCAGGCGCGCACACGACCCTCGTGTCGTTCGACAGCTATGCTCGTGGCGGAGGCAACGAGGGGAGCGTGGGGCAGGAGGGGAGTGTGGGGGAGGAGGGGAGTGTGGTGGAGGAGGGGAGTGTGGTGGAGGGGAGGAATGTGGTGGAGGGGAGTGTGGGGGAGGAAGGGAATGTGGGCGGTGTTGCAGTTCCTGACACGTGTGCTGCTGCTTTCAGTCATGATGAGTGGAAGGTGAGGATTGCTGACGTGGACAACTGAGGCGCTTGTTGAAATACATTCTGCTTGTGGTTCCCACCGTCTCGGTGCCTCAACAGCAGGACTGCCTGCCTTTCCTCTTCGTCATTCATTCCCATCATGCTCCCTCGGTTCATCCCATTGCGTGCACTGTGCTGCTCTGACTGCTGACCCACACATGCCCCACTCCACCCATACATGCCCCCATCCACACATATTCCACCCATACATGCCCCCATCTACACACATTCCACCCGTACATACATGCCCCCATCCACACATATTCCACCCATACATGCCCCCATCCACACACATTCCACCCATACATACATGCCCCCATCAACACATATTCCACCCATACAAGCCCCCATCCACACACATTCCACCCATACATACATGCCCCCATCCACACACATTCCACCCATACATGCCCCCATCCACACACATTCCACCCATACATGCCCCCACCCACACACATTCCACCCATACATGCCCCCATCCACACACATTCCACCCATACATGCCCCCATCCACACACATTCCACCCATACATGCCCCCATCCACACACATTCCACCCATGCACGCCCAGGCCAGTCGTGTCACGGCACTCGCAGCACTCACTGCAGCCCTCAAACGTGCCAGCCAGGGGGGCCGTGAGGGCGCTGCTGCTGCTTGTGCAAGTGCCGCAGAGACAGCAGCAGAGACAGCAGCAGAGACAGCAGCAGCAGCCACCAAGCCAGCAGCAGCGGCGGCGTGGGTACATGCGCGTGCAGCACCGACACACATGGTGATTGCAGACGACACCATGCATCTGCGCTCCATGCGCCTGCAGCTGCTGCGACTCGCTCACTCATGTGAGCTGATGCAAAGCCCTCGTGCATACATCGCCCCGTGCATACATCGCCCCGTGCATACATCGCCCCGTGCATACATCGCCCCATGCATACATCGCCCCATGCATTCCTCATCCAAGTGTAGCGAGTCTATTTTTGAGTCGACTCAAAAATAGGCCCCATGCATTGCTCATCCTAGTCAAACACGGGCCTCGGTCCAATAGATTTCATCATGATCATCCCCCCACCTCTTCCCCCCCTCCCCCCCGTGATGATAGAATTGTTTTGGAACGTCTCAAAGCAAATGAAGTTCAGCGTGATCAAAGCAAACCCCCCCATCCCCTCCTGCCCACGCCTGTGCCATCCTCTCTTTCTGCTTCCCGCCCACACAGATGGTGCCACGTGTCTCATCCTCCACGTCACCACGCCCTTAGACCAGTGCATAACCCGCAACGCATGTCGCCCTCCCGCCGCCCGCCTGCCGTCCGCCGTGATCCGCCGCAAGGCCGCCCGCCTTGAGCCTCCCCGGGGGCTCCCTGTGGTGACTGTGCGTGGGGGGGGGTGTGCGGAGGGAGCAGAAGAGGGAAGTGCGAACAAGCGGGGGGCAGAAGGCGGTCATGGGCGAGAGCAGGAGGGCGGGCGAGAGGGAGGCAATGGCACAGCTGCTGCTGCTGCTGATTCTGGGGTGCTGTGTTGGTCACGGCGGGGCGAGTGGGAGGCGGGGCGGTGTGTGGCGGTGGACTTGGGTGGCGTGGCTGTGGGGGAGGTGGCGGATGTGAGGTGAGGGAGGGGAGGTGAGAGGGTGAGTATGTGAGGGTGGAGGGGGGTGGCGGATGAGATGATGGAGCGCGAGAGGTAGGAGGGGCTGAGTGAAGGAATGGAAAGGCGTTGTGACTGCAGCTCTTGACCACTACCCAACCTTTCGCTGCCACCCCTTGCCCTCCACTTCTGCGCCTTAACCCATTAATCCCGCCTTACTCTCCCTCTGATTGCATTGCAAGGGCCCATGAAGCCTATTTTTGAGGCGCCTAAAAAATTTCCTGCCTCTTGTCTCCCTCCTGCGTGCAGTGCAAGGGCCCTTGAAGCCCTCTTCTCCGTCTGGCGCCGCTCCCTTCCCACTGCTATCACCCATGCCGCCCACAGCAGCGGCGCCACCAGTACCAGCACAAGCGCCAGCAGCAGCAGCAGCAGCAGTGCAGTGCATGCGTTTGACGTGCGGCTGAGGAAGATCCTCTCACACGCCTTGAGGCAATCTTCAGGTGCAGCGGGTGAGCCAAGGTCCCCAAGGTGTGTTTGCCCATGACTGCCCACTGCACCGTGCTCGCCTGCCCGCTGCACTCCTCCGAATGGTATACCTCAGCGGACAAGCGAGTCCGCCCGGGGGAGCTCGCTGCCCGCGGGCAAAAAAAATAAAACCCATTCGGGCATGCATCCGGTCAGGGAGGCATCAACCCTAAACACCAGGAGGCATATGTTTAGGGTTGATGCCTCCCTCGGGTGGCATGCCATCCGATAGGGTTTTAGATTTTTTTCTGCCCGGGGCAGCAGGTCGTCAGGTCGTCAGAGGGTCGACAGAGCTGACGACCCGATTCCGCTGGGATATTCCTATCCGAGCAGTGCAGTGCATGCGTTTGACCTGCGGCTGAGGACGATCCTCTCACACGCCTTGAGGCGGTCGTCAGGTACTGCCGGTGAGTCGCAAACAGGGGGTGGGTTCAGCGCAGGGGGAAGGGTTTTTAGGCGAGGGTGCAGATCCATTCCAGGTGGGAATAGGTTTGTCACTTACCCATCCATCAGTTTGACAGTCTGCTTTCCGTGCTCGTGTATTGGTGTGCAAAGACGGGTTTTTTTTTTTTTTTTTTTTTTTTTTTTGTCAAACCAGTTTCAAAGCTCTCCCATAACCAGATGCTTTTTATCTGGAAAGAAAACTTGGGTGCGGTGACTTATGGTTGGCATGGAGGGAGGTGCCACAATGCATCATGCATGCAAGCCTGCTGCTCTCACCCCAACCAAGCTCCATTCTTCCCTGACGCCTGCCAATTCGTGAGTTGTTTTCTTGTGCCATGTCGTGTGCCTGTGTGCATGCCGTGCCAGCAGCCCCGCCACATGTGCTCAGGGAGCAGGCGGCAGCACTGAACACCGCTCGACGGTCCTTGCTGCAGCAGCTCAGCCAGCACGTGGAGTCAAGCAGAGAACTGGGAGCGAGAGTAGCACATCCGCATGCTGCATCATCACACACGCATGGCTCTGGGACATCAGTGCATGATGCCATGCCGTCTCCATGTCGCGACTGCAAGACATCAGTGCAGGATCCCATGTCATCCTTATGTGGTGAATCTGTAGCACCATTACCTGATGTCAAGCTGCCTGCAGCCCCACTAGCCACACCATCAGCAGCAATTACTTCACAACAGGTGGACATTGGGAGCCGGTACAAGCAGGGTGGCGATGTAGTGGGTGGTAGTGAGTCGCCAGTGTTGAGGTTTGCGGACGAATTGGCTTCGGAATTTCGTGCACGATGTAATCAAGTCATGGGTATTGAAAGAGAATGAATATGATGCCTTATTATGAGTAAGACAAAGTGCTACGCAAAACATCTTTGATTTGATTGAACGTATGTTCAGATTTGTTGGTTTTGTCAGGGTCGACAATATCGAGCGCGTATTCCCAAGGACACACCCTTGAAATCCCGCTGAAGGTCGCCTGAAGTGTGCGAGTCGCGCGATACCTGTAAAGCCTCGAGATCTCCTAATCGCGCCCCACCACCCATCACACGGAGCACCACCTAGACATCTCCTCGTCACCCCCACGACCCCCTCCACACTCGGCTTCCGCGTCCCTCCCTCTCCACCCTTCGTTTCTGTTTCTGTTTCTTTCCGATCCAGTTTCATAGCGTGCCTCTCCCCGTCCGTTTTTTGTAGTCTCTCTGTCCCAGTGAGTCCGGCGACGAGTGCGACGAGTGCGACGGTTGCGACGCGTGCGACGGCAGCATGGCGTCGGAGGAGGGGCACACGGTGTATCTGGGCGGGCTGCCGTTCGACAGCGACGAGGATGCCATCAAGAAGGTCTTCGAAGAGTTCGGCGAAGTCCTTTCCGCGAAGGTAACTTCATCGCCAAGGAAATTTCGTCCGTACGGTAACGGTAACGGTGACTCCACCACAACTGTAGCTTCGGCGTCGCGGTTACGATTTGGTTACCGTTGCTCGCCTCTCCCCGGCCATTTCGCAAAAATCGACCTTTCGTCGAGCTTTAGATCGATTTCGCGAGTGCCTCGTCGAGTGTAAGCGCGCCGCTTCCTGAACCATTTGCTGCGTGGAGGCGACTCTGACAAGGCGGGAGCTTCGGATCCATCGTCGTAATCGTCACATCATCCCTTGGCTCTCCTCGTCTGCTCCCCCCCGTCCGTGCGGCTTACCGCTTGCTGCTGCCTGCGTGTTGCTGCCGCTTGCTGTTGCTGTAGTATGCAGGTGATCCACGCCAGGGAAACAGACAAGGCTCGAAATTCCTTCATAATCTTCCTTCACACATCGCTCTCCGTCCGTGCTGCTTGTCCCTGCCTGCGTGTTGCCTGTCGCCCCTGTCTGGCAGGTGATATATGACAGGGAGACGGGCAAGGCGAGGGGGTTCGGCTTCGTCACCTTCGCATCGCCCAAGGCAGCTCAGGACGCCATCAAGGCCATGGACGGCGAGGTGAGGCGGGCTAAGGTCGAGGTGAGGCGGGCTTTAAGGGCGAGGCTTTAAGGGCGTGGTGAGGCGGGCTTAAAGGGCGAGGTGAGGCGGGCTTCGAGGGCTTGACAGAGGCATATGAGAAGCTAAGGTCGTACTTGGAGATTCACGAAGCCACAGATTCTAATGGAACGAATTTTTGTTGTGACAATATTTGCCTGCCCCTCTGTGTGTGCTGACGCAATGTTCTTCTGTGTGCTTGTCTTGTTTGCATGTACCCCTGCGTGGATCGGTGTGTTAGTGCTTCTGGATGCCTCTCTGTTGCCGCACGCTTGCCTGTGTCTGCCTGTGCGTGTGTGCATGTGCATGTATGCCTGTGCTCGCACGTGTATGTGCGCATGCATGTACCGTATGTCCATGTGTGTGTGTGAGCGAGTGAGTGCACGGTCAACCACCAGATAGTGGACGGGAGGCCAATCAAGGTGTCGGAGGTGCGCAGGCGGGGAGACGGGGGGTTCTTCCGGCAGTCCTCCTTCGAGCGAGACCGCGACCGGACCCGAGGGTGAGCCTGCTCTTGAACTCCTGGGTTCGTTCGCAGTTACTCCTAGGCAGACTCTGTATGGATACTTACACTTCTGTGTGTAGCGGTTAGGGCGTGGTGCATCATATGCAAGCGGGGTCCAAGTGTTGGAGCCCGAGGTGGGTAACCCTACGAATGTGATAAAAACGCGTGCGAGTGTACCCCTCTATATTAGTGCTGTAGCACGAAACAAAAGTTTGCTGAACTCGGGGTCAAGCATGTGACCGTTGCACAATTGAACCGCAGGGTCAGCCAGTCAAGAAAGGTACCATGTTGCACTGTCTAGGCAGGCATGCCAAAATACTGCATAATTCACTTAACGCCCACCCGAGTGTGACAAAAAACTGCTCATAAGTTTCCCTCCTGAACCTTTCCTCCCCCCGTGGCTCTTCTCTGCAGTGGTGTTGCTCGCCGCCCCTCCATGTCCCCACCTCGCCGCTCCCGCTCCCCGCCATCTCGCATCCGCTGTAAGCCCCTCTCTCCCCACAACCCTAAGTGAATTCCCTCTCCCACCTCCTCCTACCAATGCCCTCGTCTCTCTCACTTTCGCATCTCTCCCTCGCCCTCTTCACTCCCTCGCCCTCTTCACTCCCTCGCCCTCTTCACTCCCTCGCCCTCTTCACTCCCTCGCCCTCTTCACTCCCTCGCCCTCTTCACTTCCTCGCTCTCTCCTCGCTCTCTTCCCTCCCTAGCTCTCTTCACTGCCTCGCTCTCTTCACTCCCTCGCTCTCTTCACTCCCTCGCCTTCTTCACTCCTTCACTCTCCTCACTCCTTCGCCCGCAGCTCTCCCATGCCCTACCGCCCTGCCCTGTCGTCATGCTACCCTTGATCTCTCCACACAGTTTCTCCCCCTACGGGGATAACTCACATGCATTCCCACACCAACTCACACACACCTCCCTCTCTCCATTCTCTCGCCTCCATCCCATCTTCCTCATCTCCTCGCACCTGTTTCCTTGCATTCTTCCCGTCGTTTCTCCCTCCCCCTTCCCCTTGGAAGACCCTTCCGTTCTCAGCCTTATTCCCACGCATCCTCCGCTCCCCTTCGCTCTCCCCCTCCGCCCGTCCCCCTTCCTTCTCCCGCACCTCTCCCCCTTTGCCTGGCAGATCGCAGCCGCAGCCCCCGAGGGGGAAGCCCCTATGCTTCCCCCGACCACCCCCCTGCTGGGCGCAGCAATGGGGGAGGGCCGGGGGGAGTTGGAGGTGGGAGGGGGCGGAGGGGAGGGGAGGATGAGATGGGGCGGGGGCGGGGCGAGGGGGAGTATGATGAGGACGACCGCATGCCGCCCGATGCATCTGGACACGTGGCGGTGAGTCATAGGCGCATGGTGTTTGGATATGTGGCAACTTTTTTTCCCCTCCATTCTCCCTTGTTCGATTCACCTTCCATGCCACTAGTTCTCATGTTCCTCCCTTAGCCACTCTTCATCCCACTTCACACCCTTGAGAAATCCGGAAGCAGTTTTTGTCATTTTGCCATTGCCCGTATGCCTCCCATGCCATCCCATGCCTGCCTTCCCGCCAGCAGCGCCAGGCTCTTCACGGCCAACCAAGGGAGGGCGCAGGGGGAGAGGGGGGAAGGGGCGCGCGGGGTCAAGCAAGTCAAGCGGGTCAGGGGGGTCAGGGGGGTCAGGGGGGGCAAGGGGGCGAGTCGCTGGATGCTCTGCGGGCGGCAGTGGAGCGAGCGAGGAGGGAGAAGCAGAGTGTGGCTGCGCAGGTGAGGGGATGGCGGGTGTGGGAGCATGCATGTGCGTGCGAGTACGAGTGTGCATGAGTGTGTGCATGTATGCATGTGTGCATGCGTCTATGTGTGTGCGCATGCATGTATGCTATGCGTGAGAGTGGGGGGGGGGGGGGGAGGAAGGGGGGAGGGGGGAATAGCCCTACTCTGCTGCTGCGATATTTGCGTGTCTCGTTTCAGTCTGGCTGTGTTCATGACCCAATCCTGTATGGTCGGGTGCGTGCATGCGTGCGTGTGGGTGTCTGTGTGTCTGTGTGCACATGTGCGTGGGGCGTGTGGGATGCAGATGCAGCAGCTGGAGCAGGCGCTACAGAGGGCCACGGCCACGGAAGTGAGCCTCAAGGAGCGAATCAAGGTGCGTGCAGGGCAAGGGGAACAGCACGGTGGGGTGGGACAGGGAGAGGCAAGATCGGGTGCGAGGGGGAATGTGAAAGTGGGCGGGTAAGGGAGATGCAAGGGAAATGTGGGACGAGCCAGAAGCTGGGTGCATCCTTGTGGCATCCTTGTGGCATCCTTGTGGCATCCTTGTGGCATCCTTGTGGCATCCTTGTGGCATCCTTGTGGCATCCTTGTGGCATCCTTGTGGCATACGTCTGACATTTTCCCAGTTGGTAGAGATAGATATTGGGTTGTATCACATGCATCGCATGCATGACATGCATTATCAGCACTTACGTGCTTTCCTACCCTCCCACCACTCTCCCCACTCCCGCCACTCCCACCACGCCACCACTCGTGATGCTCGGAACATGGTCCGCACACCGCCACCATGAACAGGTGCTGGAGGCGGCCAAGAAGCAGGTGGCTGCTGGGTACGAGGAGAAGCTGGCGCTGCACAGCAAGGTGGGCGGGTGGTGTGGGGGAGGGGGGAGTCTGGTGAGTGGGAGAGGCGGGGGAGAGGGAAGGGTGTGCAGGTGCGGGATAAGCGGAGGAAGGGACGAAGCAGGTGGTTTCTGGGTACGAGGAGAAGCTGGCCCTTCATAGCAAGGTGGACGCGATTTGAGAAGATGGGGGAGTTTGGTGAGAAGGGGGGGGGAAGGGGCAGGGGTTCAGATGGGGGAGAGGAGAGGAGGGAAGGTGGGTGCTGGGTACGAGGAGAAGATGGCTCTGCACAGCGAGGCGGGCGTGAGGTGAGATGGAGGGGGGAGGGCGTTGATAGGGAGAAGGGAGGGCGGTTAGAGGTAGTGAGATGGCAGAGAGAAGGTGCAAGCGGGATAGGCAGAGAGAGAAACGAGAGGTGGAGAGGGGGGAGAAGGGAGAGGGGGTGATGGAGGAAGGAGGAGAGGAAGAAAGGGAATGGAAGAGGCTGGTGGCAGCAGGAGACAGAGTGGATTTTCTCTTACACAGCATGGTCGGAGGACAATACAGGAGGAGGGAAGGTACTGAGTGTAGTGAGAGGATGGTGAGAGGTTGGTGAGAGGGAGAGAGGGAGAGGAGGAAGGGAGAGAGATAAAGGGAGAGACGGGAAGGAGAAGGATGGGAGAGGGGAAAGGTGGGAGAAAGGGAGAAGAAGGTGTAGGCAGCAGGGGAAAGTAAGGATTGCTGTGCAAAGCAAGGTGGGAGGGCAGTGAGAGGGAGGGAGGAGTGGGGAGGGGGGTGAAGGCCTACACTATCTATCTGTGCTTCATTGCAATGTTGTACAGGATTACTAATGGGAAATCTCGTAACCAGTACATTTCAAACATATATGTATTGTTGGCGCAGTGCATTTGCAACCTGTGTGTTCAGCTCCTTACTGCCCTTGGTCCCACTGTGCATGCAGGCGTTAGCAGCCATGGCGAGGGTGACTTGTGAGTTGACTCATCACCACTCACCTCACTGCCCGCCCTCCTTCCCACTGTGCTCATGCAGGCGTTAGCAGCGGTGGCGAGGGTGCAGGAGGCACAGGAGACGCTTGCAGCGAGACAGAGGGAGCTGCAGGTGAGGTTCGGGGAACAGCTACGTGGGGGGCTTACATCCCAGGTACCAAGGGGCGGGCGTGTGGGGCGAGCATGTGGGGCGAGCATGTGGGGCGAGCATGTGTGGGGCATGCGAACATGCTCGTGCCAGGCAACTTGAGCTGCCTGCCCAACGTGTAACTTTCTAACTTGATCAATTTGAAAAGTTTACCATGTAGATCTCGTGTTTCCTTCTTATCCTGTGTTGTGTTTCCCCTTCTCATGCTCATTGCCACACCAGCTGCTGCTGCAGCCAGCGCTAATAACAGCACTGCACGACAAGGAGGGGGCAGCAGCAGCAGCAGGCATGGGAGCAGCAGTGACGCCATCACCTGCAGGGGTGGCAGTGGGGTCGGGCATGTCGTCTCTCTCCCAGCAACCGCTCTCCTCTCCGCTGCCTGCCATGCTGCTGCCGTCCCAGCTGCACGCGCTGCAGCAGCAGCACCAGGGGCAGCAGGCAGGGGGACAGCAGCCAGGGCAGCAGCAGGGGCATCAGCAAGGGCAGGGCATGTATGCGGCCTCGCCAGCAGGGTCGCAGCAGCAAGGGCTGGCACAGGGAGTGGTGCTGCCAGAACGAACCCCCAAGCTGCCCATCCTGCTGCCGCTGCAGGCACAGCAGCAGGGGCAGCAGGCGTGAGTGACAATGTTCACTTGCATGTGAATGCTGACATTGTGATTGTACTTCTAGCCATTATTTCTGATTGTATAGAGAGAGCAGTTGCTGAGAACGACAAGTTACTTCGGGTCGCCATTATCCTCAATAAAGTGCCAGGAAAAAAAAATCTTACTTTTACACTATGTCCTGAATATCCCAAACCCTGACATTGCAACTGTATACGGTAATAATGGAGTTGATTAGCTTAGCGCCTGGTATAACCACTGCCTTACGGAGTGCATCTCAGGCGAGGTTTTGCCACCTCAACCTATCCGCATGAATTTCGAGTCTGTTTATAGAGCGGTCGTTTACGCCTGTTGCCTTGCTCCGTCATTCGAGACACGCGCCCTCGCAGCTACACACGCACGCCAATGTGCTTCATCAGACGGTCGTAGCTGAACGGGGGAGAGCGGGAGGGGAGAGGGGGAGGCACAGGGGGGCGAGAAAAGCACGAGGAAAGCACAAGAGGTGGGTTAGTGGTGTCGCGGGGCAGCAGTGCGAGGGATCGAGGGCGTCGGCAGCGTAGACGAGATGTCTACGCCCACCGCCGGGTTAGCCTACCGCAGAGGCGCGGGGTTAGACGCAACTTACCGCGTGTCCCGAGACTCTCTGGGGACGTCAATGACATGGCTCATCGTGCCGGGCCAGTTATGTGATCGGCTCTTAACGAGTTAAGGCACGACTTACAGAGTGTCCTGCGGCTCCTTGGGCAGCTGGTAGAACTCGAAGAGGTACTGCATCGTGTCCAGCGACATGGCCGTCAGCTCCTTCCGGGTAGCTGGGAACCTGACCGGCAGCTCGCCGGCGTCGTTAGGCACGCGCTCCATGGGGTCGCGGTCGCGCGTGCTGAACGAGTTGAACAGCCGCGCCTTTTGCTGCGCGTCCCTGCCAAGGCGGCGGAACGAGAGTCGAGGGGGAAAAGGGAAGAGGGAGGAGCAGCGCCGTTTGGTGCCCGCTTCAGTCACGCGTGTCGACCGATTAGCCAAGGAATAATCATGTGGGAGAAGACCCAGATGACACGAGTTGGCAAAAGCCGAGGACCTCCCTCACGTGCGCGTGAAAGTAACATCATTTAGACGTTTCCCTTGACAATCCAGAACGAAGGCGCGAAACTCACTTGAAGGAGATGAGTTCCTTGGCGTCCAACAGCCACTCCCGCAGCAACGTGAAATGAGTGAGGTTTCAAGACGTCTCAAGAACTCACAATCAATTCACGTGGCAACCCAAACGAGCATGTGAAACTCACTTGAAGGAGATGAGCTCCTTGACGTCCAGCAGCCCTTCCTGCAGCGCGTCCTTCACCTGCTGCGTGCTCTCCTTCAGCGCTCCGCGCGCCTCGCTCTGCGCCACCGCCTGCGACTGCGCCTGCGCCTTGGCGCACTGCACCTGCACCTGCAGCTCCGCCACGGTTGAGCGGAGCGCGGTGATTTCCGCCAGCATGTGATTCATCTGCTGCGTCATCTGCGCCACCTGCATCGCCGTCTGCTGCTGCATCACCATGTTGCCCACCTCCGCCGCTTTGAACAGCGAGTTCCACCCAAACGGCTTGAGCTGTGTGGTTGTAGCTTCGCCGGCGGGAGAACCGGGCCGGGTGAGTTCTACGGCGGGTGCGACCGGCTTGAAGAGGCTTTCGACCACGTTGCGCTGCGGCGAGCCGGGATGGTTAGCGAACACCGACTTTGGTGACGGAAGGCCGCCGGGAGCGACGGCGGGAGGAGCGGAGGCAGCAGCGGTCAACTCAGCCATACCATCGACTTTGTACGGCGCGGCGGCACCGGACTGCTGGAGGGGAACGTAGAGCGGCGGCTGCTGCTGTCGACCGAAGGATCCTTGCGACTGGAGCACGGGTTGCTGTGGCTGAGCCGGCCGCGCTGGCGCCTGCAGCACCGACTTCTGGGGGACAGGACTCGGCGAACGGGCGACGCGGTTGGGCTTGGGAGTGCTGAAGGCCTTGCGTAGAGGAGCGCCGTCGCACCCCATGTCGTAGGGCGGCATCTGCGTTGCCACGGCCATTGTGGAAGGTGGGAGAGGCTCGGGGAAACTAGAAAGCGGAGTGTTGCGTGGTCTCAGTCAATCAAGATATCAAGTATCGAGGAGAGTAATGTGTTGGAAGCACAAGCATACTACAGTATATTGCTAGCTTGGAGGACACTGCTTCTGTGGAGTGAGGTGAGGGGCTTTGTATGGCTGGGAGGGCGATGGGGCATGTTAGAACAGGCCTAGGTTGGGGCGAAATGGAAACTGAGAACGGGCCCTCTGATTGGACAGCGATGCGAGCGAGGGGCTAGCGGCAGTCGAAGTAATCAACGAACCAATCAGGGATGTGCTAGAGCGCCTTGAATGGGGATGTGGAGGTGTACACAAGGCCGTGGCGCGGTGCGTGCACAGCGCAGGAACAAGCCCCACGTCCTAGTTCATTCCGTGAAATCGCGCGTCGCGCGAGTCCAAAGGGTCAAGCTGCGGCTCGATGAGGGGGTTCCTTCACCCTAAACCCTGTGCTGTTCAGAGCAGGGCGAACAGATGATGGCACCTGAAAAATAGTCAGCAAAATATGTTTACAGATTTTCCAACTGTCATCTCACCACAGGTGTGTCATCTTGCGCATTCGTCTAGTTTCTAGAACTTAGCCAGTTGGGAAGTATTGTCAGCCTGCATCTAAGATATCCTTCGGATTTCCTCGAAGAACTTTGGGTAGTTCATGTCCGAAACGTGCCATTCCACAAACCCAGATTGACCGGCCCTGAAGCATGTGCGCTCCATCCGAGATTGAAACAACTTTCGTACTTCGCTCTTGTATATAGAAGCTACACTAATCAGATACACCGACAGCACAGAAATTTCCATTTTCCATCATTAAAACAAAACTAACCGCATACTATCAATGACTAGCGCCCTCCATGAAACATACCATGGCACCTCATCTCTCTGCACGAAACATACGGGGATGACTCGAGTCGACTCACCGCTCCCGTGATTCATTCTCTTTTACCGAATATGACAAAAGAGTAACGCATAATTGCATTATGTAATATCGTACTTGCAATGGTGTACCGAGTACAGCACACAACTCTCATACAGGTTATCCTTTCGTATACACACACCAAGCTCAAGCCCTAACGAGCGCAAGGCCAGTAGTTCTTGCTGTGTCTCCGCGCTCCCATAGTGCTTGTCACCGTGGTGGAACGAGACAATGACCTGAAAAAGGCAACGGGATGATGACTCATGGTTGCAAGGGGGAAGGCTAGCAAGGGCTGATGATGTCAGAGAAAAAGGCAACGGGAACCAAGGTGCAGGAACACATGGAAACGAGAGTCAATCACAGTCCCTCTCCTCCCCCCACCCTCCCCCCCTCACCTGGCAGACGGGCAACAACAACCTTTGAGGCTCCTCGTAATTCCCCACTTTCCCCCGTTCCCCCCTGACCTTCCTTCCCCACATGCTCACCTGGTGACTCCACGCCTTGAAGATCGCTTCATGCAGCGACACTTTTGGAGGCGCCTCAAAAGTCCCCACCCCAGTACACACCTGGCAGACGGGCGGGGCGCGCTTGGCGTGAGTCCACGCCTTGAAGATCGCTTCATGCAGCGACACGTGGCCGCCGATCCTCAAGATGTCCACGATGGAGTGGTTGAGAAGCTTCATGGTGCCTTCCACCGTCATCGCCTCCACCTGGATGGGCGGCGGCAGCGACGAGCCGTCCATGCCGGGCGGCGGGGCCACGGCGTATTCAACGGGGTGCTCCTCGATGTCTAGCGGGTACACCTGGGGGTGGACGGCAGGAAGAGGGGGCGGAGTGGGGGGGTCTTTCTGAACCAAAAGGTGTCCATGCGAGGCGGCGGGGCCACAGCATACTCTACAGGGTGCTCCTCAATGTCCAGCGGGTACACCTGGTAACAGACAGGGGGCCGGAGGATGAGGGGGGAGGAGTTGTATTGACTCAGGAATTGCCACGTGGGGAGGCGGGGTCACGGGTCACGGCGTATTCTACAGGGTGCTCCTCGCCTGGATGTGCAGCGGGTACACCTGGGGGTGGATGGGAGGGGCAACGGGCAGGGGATTCGTATGGTGCCCATGCCGGGCGGCACGGCCACGGCGTATTCTACAGGGGGTGGTGTGGGAGGAGAAGAGAAGGGGGTTGGTTTGCCTCACAAGGTGTCCATGTGGGGCTGTGCCAAACGTCGTATTCTATCGGGTACCCCTGGGGGTGGAGAGTTGTGAGTGAGGGGGAGAGGGCGAGGGATGGTGTTTAGCTTCCAGAGGTGTGCTCTCATTGTCTACTGGGTTCACCTGGTGGCGGACACGGTGAGAAGGGGGGTTGTGGGGGAGGGAGGGACCATGAACAATGGTGATGGGGAGACATGGAGGCACGGATGGTGAGGTGAGATGGAGGCATGGTGATGGCAGAGGAAACAACCATGGGGTCACAGGCTACAGCCGCCGCTGTCGCACTCTGTCAGGCCCCATGGCGCACAACAGCAGGCACGGGCGTGGCAGCCTTGACTCGTGCCACCAACCCATGCCCATGCACTCTCTTGAGGTCACTCCTGACTCCACCCACACGCACACATGCGCACTGCGCAAAGCAAGCTACCTGCAGGGGGCGGTCATGCGGCGCCAGCAGCCACACATGGTGCACCCACCCACGAGGCATGCGCATTGCATATGCGCCTAACTCACCTGCAGGGGGCGGTCGTGCGGCGCCAGCAGCCACACATGGTGCACCCACCCACGAGGCATGCGCATTGCATATGCGCCTAACTCACCTGCAGGGGGCGGTCGTGAGGCGCCAGCAGCCACGCATGGTGCACCCAGGAGGCGGGCGGGAGGTTGTCAATCTTGTCCCCGATCCACCGCATGCCCTCAGGCGTGCTATCAAACGCGTGCACGCGGCACCGCAGCTTGCGCATCAGCGCCCAGTCAAAGCTGTAGTCCACCCCAGCCACTGCCGAATACACCACCGGCTTCCTCCCCCTCGCCTCCCCCCGCGCCCCCACCCACGGGTCCAGAAACACCGGGAAATCCCCCCCCGGGTACCCCATCTTGTGGAACTTGCCCAGAAGCCCGCGCACGCAGATGGAGACAGGGGGAGGGGCGTTCCAGACAGGGACCTGCTGGTGGAAGTAGCGCCAGTCGTCCACGCACTCGTCAAAGGTTCGCGTTTCCATGTATTGCCGGGCGGCGGCGGGGACCTCTCCCGCGTCTTTATCGAAGATTTCGCGCCAGTCTGCCGCCCAGTCGTCTTCTGCCCGGCACAGGTCGATCCCGTGGGGCTGCGCGCCAAAGATCCGCTCGGGCAACGCGAGGATGTATTTTGCGGCCTGCCCGCCGACCACGGTGGGGCGGCAGGGGCGGCACTTGGCGCCGTTGAGGGCGGCAGAGGTGGAGGAGAGGGCGGCTGCGACGGGGAAGGCTGGGAGGCCCTTCTTGCGGCTGAGGATGCAGAAGGGAAAGTCGTAACGCGCTACCTGGGGAGGTGGGGAAAGAGAGTGAAGGAGGGGAGAACGGAAGAGTGGGAGGTTGGAAAACATGTGGGAGAGTGTGTTGCAACTGGGAAGGCCGCAGACCGGACTTGCGGCTGAGGATGCAGAAGGGGAAGTCATAACGCGCCACCTGGGAGGGTGGGGTGATGACAGCAAGCGGAATAATGAAGAGATGAAGAGTAGGGAAGGGCAAGAAATGGGAAGACGAGGAAATTGGAGCATATGTGGGGGGTTGTGGAAGCAGGCAGGCGGTGGTTTCTCACCGTACCACAACCGAGCTCTTTCTCACAACCAGCCACAAGCGCTCCTCATTCCCCGCCCATCTCCCCTCTCTCCCCACTTTCCCTCCCCCCACCTCTCCCACCTTCCCCCTTTTCTGCAGAAACGCCATCACGCACCCCCTGCCCCCTCCCCTCCCTCCTGCCCACCAATCAGACTGCTCCAGGCGCCCCTACGCAAGCCACCCCCACGCCCCCTGCTGCACGTGCAGCAGCAAACACTTCATTTCATCCCAGCCACTCACATGCACTCCACACCATCACCTGCACTTGCCGAGATTTGCAGGAGCGCAATTAGCGCCCACAGCACAGAGTGACCCCACCCAACAGCCGTAAAGAGTGTTCCTCCCCCACTCAACCACACTGCTGCCTCTGCAGCCCGCTCACCCGCTTCACAGCCTCGCATCAGCCTGCCCTTGCCTGCACCTGTGGGAACGCCATTTGCACCAGGTAAACCCGCGTCCGATTGACTTTGCTGCATCCCCGGCGCTCCACCAGCAGCTGCAACACACTCAGCCTTCCCAGCACCTTCCACCCACATGCATTCCCCCCTCATCTGCACCGTTACATGCATGCACCTACCCGCTCCGCGCTCAACTCGCTATAACTGCCACTCTCCACCAGTGCACCTCACCTCACTACCTTCCATCCGTCCATCTCACCTGCACTTGCAGGAACGCCATTTGCGCGAGGTAATCCCTTTCCGCGTTCAGTCAGAGTACCCCTCTCGCTCCACCAGAGGCCACAGCGCGCTCAACCTTCAACCATCACCTTCCCAACCACTTTCCCGCCTCACCTGCACTTGCAGGAACGCCATCTGGGCCAGGTAAACTCTTTCCGCGTTCATTTCAAAGTACCCTCTCCTCTCCACCAGCGGTCGCAGCACACTCAACCTTCAACCAGCACCTTTGACCCGCTTGCATTCCCGCCTCACCTGCACTTGCAGGAACGCCATCTGGGCCAGGTACACCCTTTCTGCGTTCAGTTCACTGTACCCTCCGCGCTCCACCAGCGGCCGCAGCACGCTCAGCCGTCTCAGCGCCTTCCAGCTTGCCTTCCTGCCGCCCATCCCCAGCCGGTCGTTCAGCCCGCCCCAGTCGCTGCCGCCCGGAATCGTGTACGAAATCGGATCCAGCACCGCCAGGGGCGGCGGCGGCCCCATCCAGTACCCGTCCACGCGGGTTCGCAGAATCCAATCGTATCGAATCGCGTGGGTTTTCTCGTAACGCGTGATGGCGGTAACACAAAGCTCCACGGCTTTAAACTGCTGCATCAGCCCCTGCCGCGTCTGCGCCTCGCTCCCCTCCACCACTTCCAGCAGCCGGTCGGTGATTTTTGTCTCATTCACCGGCACGTCCGGCAGCACACTCACCTGCACCAGGGAGTATCCCGGAAAATCTCCGCCCCACCGCCCATCCCCTTCCCCCACCCCTTCCCCCGCTCCCCCTGCTCCCCCCCCGCTTCCCCCAAGTTCCCCCAAGCGCGGGGCGCCGAGGTGGGGCCAGGCGAGGAGGGAGAGGCGGTGGGCGGAGTGGTCGAGAGGGGCGAGCAGGAAGACGTGCGCCGAGGGGTAGGCGGGCAGCAGGTGGCGCTGCAGCGTGGGCGCTGTCAGGTGGAACTCCCGTGCTCCGCCCACCAGGCAGATGGCCACTCGGGGGGTGGGCTGGGGACGGAGAGGGGCGGGGGGGGGGTGAGGGAATGAGGGCGAGGGCAGGCAGGTGTGGGCAGGGGGAGGGATGTGGCCAGGGGGGAGCACGGCTTGAGCAGCCCCAAAGGGGAGGAGCAGAGCAGGTGGCGCTGCAACGTGGGCGCCGTCAGGTGGAACTCCCGCGCTCCCCCCACCAGACAGATGGCCACTCGTGGAGGGGGCTGGGGAAGGGACGAGTGGGGAGGGGGAAAGGGGGTAGAAAAGGAGGGGGGGGGACATGATCCCACGCTTCGCCTACCAGGCAGATGGCCAGTGGGGGAAGGGAAGGCACAGCGAGAGGGGGGAGTTGGTGCGGGAAGCCATGAGGGGGAGGGTGGAGGGGTGCCAGGGGTGGGGTTGGGGGGGTGGGGGGGGGGGTTGGAAGAGGGAGGGAGTGGGGAAAGGGCGGATGACCCCCCTGTCTGAGTTCCGCAGGCATTCATTGGCAGCCAATGAAAGCTGCGCTTCTGCTGCCCACTCGTCTCCTCCGCGCCCACTTACCTTCTTCCCTTCCTTGCTGATCGCTCTTCCCTCCCCTCCCCCCTCCCCCACCCCCTCACCTTATTTTCGGGGCCATATCCCCCCCATCCCCGCCATTGCTGTCCCCCTTCGCCCCTCCTCCGCATGGCATCCGCTCCCCTGCGCCGCGCGCGCCCCTCCTTTAGCCACTCTCTCCGCCACATCCGCAACTCCTCTCCCCCGCTCCCCCCGCCCCCTCCTCCTGCGCCAGTCCGATTCCCTTCCCCCTCCCCCGCCACCAGCTGCGCCATTGCGCTCTGAGCGCCCATTGCGCCCCCCGCCTTTCCCTTCACCGCCGCGCCGCCTTCCGCCATCAGCGCATCCAATGCCGCTTTTCCCCCACTACCACCCGCTCCCGCCGCCGTCCCGTTCCCCCTGCCCACGTCCGCCGCCTGGCCGCGGATGAGCGCGCGCATTCCGCGGGGATTGAGGCGCAGATGCAGCAGCGACATGTGGTGGCCCGCGCCGCTGACGTGGCTGGTCGCGTCGCCCGGGTGCAGGCGGAGGTAGATGCGGAGAGTCAGAAGATATGCCACGGGGATTAGCAGAAGCGTCGCCCACCGCACCCACCGGCTGCCTCTGCAGCCGAATCGCCCCACCTGCCACGTGGCACGCCTGCGGGCCGCAGCCGACTGCTGCTTTCCCGGTTGCATGGTCTACGAAGCGCGCTGCAGGCGGTAGCAGCTACGCGACGCGCAACTAATGGGTTGATGATTCAAAGAGCAGTGATGGATGCGCGTTGATCGCGGTCCCGCGAGGGAAATGCGCCATTTGCCGCCTTGACCGAACAAGCGGCATTTGCAGAGTGAGCAACAGAGTGCTACTGGGGGACTGGGGAAACGCGACAGCGCGGAAAATAGAATTTGTGAAGTCGGGGAACAGAAGCGGGGGATTGGCGAGAGGATGAGAGGACACTGAGCACGAGTGCGACCTTAGCTGCTTCGGCCGGCACTTCCTTGGTTGATTAGGAGATGGAGTTCGGTAGCGATGAGAGGTATGTTGTTGCCGTCGACGTTGCTGGTTGATGGAAATTTTGGTTTGAGAATCTAACTTTCGCGTGGTAACTTCTTGTGAATGTAACACTCTTTTTGAAATTAGCATTTCTCTACATACTCTTTGCGATTGCAGCAGAGTGTATAACAGCGCGTATAACCGTTTCCCAAGCCTGCAACCCAAGTTCCCCCTCTTCAACCAAGCAACGCGCAGCATGAGTGAGGATACTAGCCACGGGTAATGTGTACAGTGCACGATTTAGAGACCTATTGCGTCATCATCGCTTCTTCCGGTCGTGCGTATGTCACCTAATCGATGTATACGGTCTAGCGACTAACGAAAACAGTTCTTAGTGGTTCCGAAAGCCGCGCGGTGATGGCCGCAATGGCGCATGCCGGTACGTCCGGGGGGGGTGGAGCAGGGGGGGGCGGGGGACAGGGGGGATCAGGCCGGGGGGGTGCGGGCGGTAGTGGCGAGCGGGGAGCGGCGGCGGACATTTTGCGGCGGCTGCTGGCGGAGCTGTGTACGCGCACGCCGTACGCGGCGAAGGAGGAGGGCGCGCTGACGCTGCGCCAGCACGTGGAGGAGGAGGCGCGCGATCTCAGCGGCGAGGCGTTCACGCGTTTCATGGACACGCTTTACGAAAGGATCAACGTGCTTGTAGAGAGTACCTCGCCGTCCGATAATCTCGGCGCCGTTCACGCGATCGACGAGTTAATCGACGTGCCGCTCGGGGAGAGCGCCGCCAAGGCGTCGCGTTTCGCGTCGTTCCTGCGGCGAATCTTTGAGGAAAAGACAGACGCTGACACGATCTCCGCGGCGGCGGCGACGTTGGGACACGTGGCACGCGCGGGCGGCGCGATGGCTGCTGACGTGGTGGAGTTTCAGGTGAAGGAGGCGCTGCGGTGGCTCGAGGGGGAGCGCGTCGAGGCGCGGCGATACGCGGCCGTGCTTATACTGAAAGAAATGGCGACGAACGCGCCGACGGTCTTTAACGTGCACGTCCCGACATTCATCGACGTCATCTGGGCGGCACTGCGCGACCCGAAACTCGCGGTGCGGGAGCGCGCGGTTGAGGCGCTGCGCGCGTGTCTGCGCGTTATCGAGAAGCGCGAGACGCGGTGGCGCGTGCAGGGTTACTATCGACTATTCGAGGAGACTGAGAAAGGGCTGCAGCGCAGCGCGAGCGTCGAGAGCATCCACGGCTCGCTGCTCGCGATCGGCGAAATGCTTCGCAACACGGGCGAATTTATGATGGCGCGTTACAAGGAAGTCGCGAACATCGTTCTCAAGTACCGCGACCATCGCGAGCGCCTCATCCGCCGATCCATCACCGCGCTGCTGCCGCGCATCGCGCATTTCCTCCGCGACCGCTTCGTGAGCAGCTATTTAAAGATCTGCATGGACCACCTCCTAGGCGTCATGAAGAACCCCGCCGATCGCGACGCGGGCTTCGCGGCGCTCGGCGAGATGGCCAGCGCCGTCGGGCCCGCGCTGCGCCCATACCTCCCCGCGATCTCCGCGCTCCTCCGCGAGGCGCTGACTCCGCGACGCGGGCGCGCGTCGGTGGAGGCGCTGACATGCGTGGGGCAGCTGGTGGCGGCGGTGGGGGACGACATGCGCGAGGTTGCGCGCGAGCTGCTCCCCGTGTGCCTGCACACGGGGCTCTCCCTCCCCCTCGTGCACACGCTCGCGCACATCTCCGCGCATCTCCCCGCGCTCAAGCCGCTCGTCCAATCACAGCTCATTGAGGCCATTACCGCCGTCCTCGCGCGCAAGCCCTCCGCGCGGATTGGAACCAGCGCTGGCGGCGCGTTCGGCTCGCTGACGGGCGCGCGCCCGCCCGCGGGCGCAGGCGGTGGCGGAAGCGGATCCGGGGGCTCGCTGACGCTCGGCGGAAGCGCCAGCCTGAGCAGCCTGGCGAGCGGCGCGCTCACAGGCGCGGGGGGCGCGGGAGCGGGGAGCAGCGCGGGAGGCGGAACCGGAGGAAGCGTGGCCGGGGAATTATCAATGGCCGGGGTGACGCAGCTGGCGCTGTGCACGCTCTACTCGTTTGACCTATCAGGGCACGACCTGCTGGAGCTGACGCGTGTACACGTGGCGAGGTACCTGGAGGATGATGACGTGGCGACCAGGAGGGAGGCTGCTGTGTGCTGCGCGCACGTCCTCGCCCACACCGCCTCCGCCCTCTCCGCGCCCCCCTCCCCCTCCCCCGCACCCTCCCCCGCATCCCAGGCAGAACCTGGCGGCGCCGGCCCAGCCTCTGGCGCTGCGGGCGGTGGGGGAGGAGCTGCGCGGGCGGCAGGGGTTGTTTCCGGCGGCGTGGGGGGCGGCAGCGGGAGGGGCAGCAGCAGCGCGGCGGCACTCAAAGTGCAGCGAATCGCGCAGCAGCTGCTGCTACAGCCGGGCATGCGGAAGAAGCGGCGATGCATTGTGGAGGACATGCTGGAGCGCCTATTGGTCTCCTCCGTTGCTGACGTGGACGCTGGCGTGCGCAAGGCCGTCCTCGCGTGCCTCTCCGCACCGGCCTCCACCGCACTGGACTCCTTCCTGGCGCAACCCGACTGCCTCCGCGCGCTCTTCATCGCACTAAACGACGAGACCTACGACGTGCGAGAGCAGGCCGTTCTCCTCGCCGGGCGGCTCGCCGCCCGGAACCCGGCGTATGTGCTGCCGGCGCTGCGGCGGCATCTGGTGCGGCTGCTGGGGGACGTGGAGCACAGCGGGGACAGCCGGCTGCGGGAGGACGGCGCGCGGCTGCTGCGCTGCCTCATCCACTCGTGCACGCCGCTCGTTGCTCCCTACATCGCGCCCATCCTCAAGGTGTTCGTGGCGCGACTCAAGGCTGTCTCGGCCGCGCATGCGGCCGCCGTGGGTACGGTGGGTGGCGGTGGGACGAGTGGGGTGGTGGCGTCGATGCTGGCAACGGTAGGTGAGCTGGCGAAGGTGGCGGGGAGTGCGCTCACGCCCTACGTGCCCGACCTCATGCCTCTCATAGTGGACTCCTTGCATGATACCACGGGGCCGGGACCGGGAGAAAGGAGGGAGGTGGCGGTGGTGACGCTGGGGCAGGTTGTGGAGAGCACGGGTTGTGTCGTCGCGCCGTACCGCCACTACCCCCAACTTTTGGGGTTACTTCTGTCGATGCTGAACGGGCAGCTGGCGTGGTCGATGCGGCGGTCGGTGCTGCAGGTGCTGGGCATTCTGGGCGCCTTGGACCCGCACGTCAACAAGCGCAACCAGCTGCTGCTGCTGCCGCCAGCCATGGCCGCCCAGGGGGGCGTGGACGCCCGGGGGGACTCCGCAGGAGGGGGTGGAGGCGCGGGTGGGGGTGGCGGAGCAGCAGGGGGAGGCGGGGGGGGCGGGGGAGCGGGAGCAGGGGGAGCGGCGGGAGGAGGAGGGGCGGGGGGAGGGGGCGGGAGGGGCGGGGCGGCGGGAGGCGGAGCAGGGGGCGCAGCTGGGGCGGCAGGCGGGGCAGTGGGACCATTACAGCCGCCGCGCGTCCTCCAGGGCTTCGACCGCATGGGCGGCATGGGCGGCGACGACCCGCTAACAGACGTGCCATCAGCGGGAGGCCTAACAGACGAGTACTACTCCACAGTGGCCATCTCCGCCCTCCTCCGCATCCTGCGCGACGGCGCCCTCGCAGCGTACCACCTGCGCGTGGTGAGCGCGCTCATGTTCATCTTCCGCACCACGGGGCTCGCCTGCGTGCCCTTCCTCCCGAGGGTTCTCCCCGAGTTGTTCAATGTCATGCGCGCATGTGACGAGAGCCTGAGGGAGTTTCTCTTCTGGCAGCTGGCGCAGCTGGTCGGCATCGTTCGGCAGCACATGCGCAAGTACCTGCCGGAGATCACCGCCCTGATCCACGACTTCTGGCACCCGCTGCTGCTCTCCGTCTTCCCCCGCCCGCCCGCACCCTCCCCCGTGCTCAACCTAGTGGAGCAACTCGCCCGCGCCCTCCCCGAGGACTTCAAGGCGTGCCTCCCGGACTTGCTCCCGCGGTGCGTGGCGGTCGTGGCGGACGCGGAGCGCAGCGGCGACTACAAGCGCGTGCCGCCCGTGCTGCACGCGTTTGAGGTGCTGGGCGGCAGCATGCTGGGCGGCGACATGGAGCCGCACATGCACCTGCTGCTGCCCGCCGTGGTGCGCCTCTTCAAGCCCGGCGTGTCCGACGTGCCGCTGCCCATCCAGCGCGCTGCCGTGCGCACGCTCACACGCCTGCTGCCGTCCTTGCACATGGCGGACCATGCGGCGGCCATCCTGCATCCGCTGGCGCGCGTGCTGGACGGGCCCAGCGAGGAGCTCCGCAGGGACGCCGCTGACGCCATCTGTGACCTCGCTCTCGCCCAGGTCAGTTCCCTGCTGCTTGCTGCTTGCTGGAAGTTGGGTGGGGATATAGCAGCCTGGTGGGTTGGCACTGCGTGCACTTGATGTGGGAATATATGCTCCCTCTGTTTCACTGTCATGTGACACTTTTCCCGCTTGCTTCCAATCGCATCTCCTGCCTCTCGCCACGCTCCCATCCCATCCACACGCTTCTCTCCATCTTCCCCCGCATTTCTCCTACCCAATTACCCAATGCTCCCCATTCCCCCTCCCCACACAATCCCTCCCCCCAGGGACCCGACTTCGCCCCATTCATCCCCACCATCCGCCG